GCTAGTGACTGAACAGACGACCAAATATCCCAGCGAAGTGACAACTGCAAAGGTTATTGAAGAAACTACTCTTCCTGTAGGATCAACGGATAGAACTATTACTTCCGAAAGATCCGACATACCGACGACATTACCTCCTGGTACAACCCCTAGTCAAATGACTGAACAAACGACCGAATCTACTAGGAGAGTACCAACGAGTTCCTTCGAGAGCTCAACTCTTAGTCCAGGCTCATTGGAAACAACTGTCCCATCGATAACCTCAGAAATCACTACAAATATTCCGATCGGTACAACTCGTGGGCTAGTGACCGAACAGACCACCAAATATCCCAGCGAAGTGACAACTGCAAAAGTTATTGAAGAATCCACTTTGCCTGTCGGTTCAACAGATAGAACTATTACTTCCGAAAGAGCCGACATACCGACGACATTACCTCCTGGTACAACCCCTGGACAAATAACTGAACAAACAACAGAATCTACTAGGAGAGTACCAACGAGTTCCTTCGAGAGCTCTACTATTATCCCCGGGTATTTAAGAACAACTCTCCCATCGATAACCCCAGAAATCACTACAAATATTCCGATCGGTACAACTCGTGGGCTAGTGACTGAACAGACGAACAAATATCCCAGCGAAGTGACAACTGCTAAGTCTACTGAAGAAACTACACTTCCTGTGGGATCAACGGATAGAACTATTCCTTCCGAAAGATCCGATATGCCAACGACATTACCACCTGGTACAACCCCTGGACAAATGACTGAACAAACGACAGAATCTACTAGGAGAGTACCAACGAGTTCCTTCGAGAGCTCAACTCTTAGTCCAGGCTCATTGGAAACAACTGTCCCATCGATAACCTTAGAAATCACTACAAATATTCCGACCGGTACAACTCGTGGGCTAGTGACCGAACAGACGACCAAATATCCCAGCGAAGTGACAACTGCTAAGTCTACTGAAGAAACTACACTTCCTGTGGGATCAACGGATAGAACTATTCCTTCCGAAAGAGCCGACATACCAACGACATTACCTCCTGGTACAACCCCTGGTCAAATGACTGAACAAACGACAGAATCTACTAGGAGAGTACCAACGAGTTCCTTCGAGAGCTCTACTCTTAGCCCCGGGTCTTTGGAAACAACTGTCCCTTCGATAACCCCAGAAATCACTACAAATATTCCCATTGGTACAACTCGTGGGCTAGTGACAGAACAGACTACCAAATATCCCAGTGAAGTGACAACTGCAAAGGTTATTGAAGAAACTACTCTTCCTGTGGGATCAACGGATAGAACTATTACTTCCGAAAGATCCGACATACCGACGACATTACCTCCTGGTACAACCCCTGGTCAAATGACTGAACAAACGACAGAATCTACTAGGAGAGTACCAACGAGTTCCTTCGAGAGCTCTACTCTTAGCCCCGGGTCTTTGGAAACAACTGTCCCATCGATAACCTCAGATATCACTACAAATATTCCGATCGGTACAACTCGTGGGCTAGTGACAGAACAGACTACCAAATATCCTAGTGAAGTGACAACTGCAAAGGTTATTGAAGAAACTACTCTTCCTGTGGGATCAACGGATAGCACTATTACTTCCGAAAGATCCGATATGCCAACGACATTACCAACTGGTACAACCCCTGGACAAATGACTGAACAAACGACAGAATCTACTAGGAGAGTACCAACGAGTTCCTTCGAGAGCTCTACTCTTAGCCCCGGGTCTTTGGAAACAACTGTCCCTTCGATAACCCCAGAAATCACTACAAATATTCCCATCGGTACAACTCGTGGGCTAGTGACAGAACAGACTACCAAATATCCCAGTGAAGTGACAACTGCAAAGGTTATTGAAGAAACTACTCTTCCTGTGGGATCAACGGATAGAACTATTACTTCCGAAAGATCCGACATACCGACGACATTACCTCCTGGTACAACCCCTGATCAAATGACTGAACAAACGACAGAATCTACTAGGAGAGTACCAACGAGTTCCTTCGAGAGCTCTACTCTTAGCCCCGGGTCTTTGGAAACAACTGTCCCATCAATAACCTCAGATATCACTACAAATATTCCGATCGGTACAACTCGTGGGCTAGTGACAGAACAGACTACCAAATATCCCAGTGAAGTGACAACTGCAAAGGTTATTGAAGAAACTACACTTCCTGTGGGATCAACGGATAGAACTATTACTTCCGAAAGAGCCGACTTACCAACGACATTACCTCCTGGTACAACCCCTGGTCAAATGACTGACCAAACGACAGAATCTACTAGGAGAGTACCAACGAGTTTCTTCGAGAGCTCTACTCTTAGCCCCGGGTCTTATGAAACAACTGTCCCATCGATAACCTCAGAAATCACTACAAATATTCCAATCGGTACAACTCGTGGGCTAGTGACTGAACAGACGACCAAATATCCCAGCGAAGTGACAACTGCAAAGGTTATTGAAGAAACTACTCCTCCTGTGGGTTCAACGGATAGAACTATTCCGTCCGAAAGACCCGACATACCAACAACATTACCTCCTGGTACAACCCCTGGTCAAATGACTGAACAAACGACAGAATCTACTCGGAGAGTACCAACTAGTTCCTTCGAGAGCTCTACTCTTAGTCCAGGAGCATTAGAAACAACTGTCCCATCGACAACCCCTGAAATCACTACAAATATTCCGATCGGTACAACTCGTGGGCTAGTGACCGAACAGACGACCAAATATCCCAGCGAAGTGACAACTGCAAAGGTTATTGAAGAAGCTACTCCTCCTGTGGGATCAACGAATAGAACTATTCCTTCCGAAAGATCCGATATGCCAACGACATTACCACCTGGTACAACCCCTGGACAAATGACTGAACAAACAACAGAATTTACTAGGAGAGTACCAACGAGTTCCTTCGAGAGCTCTACTCTTAGCCCCGGGTCTTTGGAAACAACTGTCCCATCGATAACCCCAGAAATCACTACAAACATTCTGATCGGTACAACTCGTGGGCTAGTGACCGAACAGACGACCAAATATCCCAGCGAAGTGACAACTGCCAAGTCTACTGAAGAAACTACTCTTCCTGTGGGATCAACGAATAGAACTATTCCTTCCGAAAGATCCGATATGCCAACGACATTACCACCTGGTACAACCCCTGGACAAATGACTGAACAAACAACAGAATTTACTAGGAGAGTACCAACGAGTTCCTTCGAGAGCTCTAATCTTAGTCCAGGAGCATTAGAAACAACTGTCCCATCGACAACCCCTGAAATCACAACAAATATTCCGATCGGTACAACTCGTGGGCTAGTGACCGAACAGCCGACCAAATATCCCAGCGAAGTGACAACTGCAAAGGTTATTGAAGAAACCACTTTGCCTGTCGGTTCAACAGATAGAACTATTCCTTCCGAAAGACCCGACATACCAACGACATTACCTCCTGGTACAACCCCTGGTCAAATGACTGAACAAACGACAGAGTCTACTAGGAAAGTACCAACGAGTTCTTACGAGACCTCTACTGTTTCGAATGAATTACCAACGGCGAAAGATCTTACTGTGACAGGTAGCGCAACGACAGAATCTGTAAAGAGTTGTAGAACAGAACATGACTGTTTGGACGACCAGACATGCTTGGGTGGGCTGTGCATATCGCCCTGTAAATACTTCACCAACCTTTGCACTGTGCAAAATCTGACTATTTGTCGTACATTGAACCACACCACAATGTGCTTTTGCGATACCGGCGATGATGTAAATAGACCCGATTGCTCTATGAAAGCAGGTAACTAAAGTTGTGTATATAGGTTGTAAGTCTTGTTATCAAATCATAATGAATGAATTGCAAGGAACCACAGGGTTGCGGTAAACTCTTGGCATCGTGCAACGCCGACTACTTTCAACGCCAATCACATAACTGGCAAATCGTAGTGCCTACTTCAGTTTGATGTCATGTTTTCTTTCTCTTCTCTTGGACTTCCAGCCATTATCCTTCTTGTGGCCCATATATGTGTACGACCAGCCATTCAACTCGTGCGGGCACCTTGCATGCAACCATTTGGATTATTTCCCGCAATTCCCGTGTGTTCTTTGTTCTCAAATTTTCCAAATGCATTTGTCTTGGTTCCCCCTCTTATTGCTTCTCTGGCTGTATTTCGTTGAAAGCCTTGCACCTTCACCCACCGATCTCTTCACCACGAGCAGCACCCGAGATAGTTTGAATTTTCTGTGTCCTTCACCAAAGAAGCTTTTGATCGAATGCCAATGGGAGTTCCCTGCGAATTCACTCTCTACAGCAGTCGTTTGCATGTCGATTTATGTTGCAATGTTGCTCGTTCATGTTAGTTGCCTGCTTGTTGTCTGCCTGAATGCCTGCTGCAAGAATCATCATCAAATCCTCAGCCATCGTCCACACCACTTTGAATGTTTCTCGTTATGTCTTCAATTGATCTCAATTCGCATGTTTTTATCTCAGCGCGACACCTTTAAAATGTGTTCTAATCTGTGTTGATTTTGTTGTATTTAGTACATACTCGTTGTCGTTAATCATGTATCGTAAGTGTATTAGAAATAAGTTTTGCATGTGGTGTTTGGACTACTAATAATAACAAACCCTAGCTAATATATTTGAGCACTAACTCACTTAATGCTTTTGCATGTGTATATGTTGTTTTAAGCAACAGCTAAAAACTAAACTATATTTAACTAATGCTAAAGCCTGCTGCATAGTATTTAGATTGCTTGAAACTGGAGTTGAACAGTTAGATTAAGGATACTATATTAAAAGATAAAGTTATACTAACTGCATTGAAAAATTAATGAAAAAGAAAACTACCTACCGAACAGGATTCTTGACCTAAATAAAAGGAATGACTTAAATTATAACGACTTATACTATTAATGCACATATGTGCTTAGATAAAACGACTTAAAGAACCCCAACTAATGCCTAATCGTCCTTTGCGAACAGAAATCGGTTGCGCATCGAGTGATGAGTGCCCCTCCCAGCAGGCGTGCATCAATGCTCTTTGCGTGGATCCTTGCACCCACCACAATCCGTGCAGCCGAAATGAAGACTGTCGTGTTCTCAACCATCAGCCGCTTTGTTCAGCAGGTGGGTATCAATGAGGACTTAAAAACTACTTGAAACTTACTACTTAATATCTTAAACCTACAGAACATGGTCGCACACCTGGCTGTGAGCATTGTCCACCAGGAGCTAACTGCGATCCGACAACCGGTGCTTGTATAAAGGGTAAGTTCAACTGGCAGTTCTCTACCTTAATGAATCTAAAACTCCTAGTGTTAAGTGTAAATACAATGTGTACATATTCTAATATTAAATTAACCACCCGTTACCCGTGTAAATACATCTCTCTCCTTAGCTAATGTAACAATAACAACTATTACTACCAAGAACTCCACATCTACCAAGATACCAACGAAACCAAGAACAACAGCTAACCCAAACACAGGCGTCAAAACGACGCCGACAACCACGGGGGCCAACACAAGAACCACCACCACAACCACTACTACCACTTCCTCCACTAGCACTGAATCGAGCACAATCACAAGCGCTACTAACCAGACCAGTAAGAACCACAAACCAGACACAGAAAGCACCACCTCCCACACCGATGCCACGAGGCGGTATCGCGATGGTGAGAACAATATCACCGATACGCCAACCCCGAGGCCCACGATCCAGACGACCACGTTGCGGGGCGAAGATATCATAAGTGACAGTCAGAGGCGGTCCACCACGACGCCCAAAATGAAGACGACCCGGCTGGACACTTCGAACGAAGTCCCAGACACCACAACGCCGTGGCCCTTGGAGCTGCCCACCATGGAGGGCACCACCACGGAGGTCTACAACACCATGTTTGCCCCGCTGGGCAACACCACTGACACCTCATTAATTAACCCATGTACAGTAGATACTAATTGTGCCCCTAGCGAGCACTGCAAGCTGGGCCATTGCCGTAAGAAAGGTATATTAACTTTATATGTGACATGCACGCCACTTTGGGACTTAACCCCTACACTCTCAGTCTGAATCCCTTTAAATTGGCCACATATGTATTGTTGTTTCAATATTAAATTGGCTGATCAATGTAATAAACTCTATAAGTTAAAAAAAAAAAAAAAAAAAAAAAAAGCATATGTGGTCATATTTAACTGTGGCAATTTATCTCTCCCAAAGTGGCACTAATACTGATCGATTGTACATAAATTCTTATGTAAAGGGCTTGTTTTCTGGCCATATCAATTAATTTTGTTGTAAAAATTGTACATACATAAATAATTACCAGTGCCCTTGTACATATTTATGATTTAATTTGTTAAAAACCGAAATCACCATCATTTAATTAACTATTTAACTCACTAAATCCTTTCTAACAAGTAGAACCGCCGGGTTCACCGAAAACGCCCGAACCCTGTCAATCTAACAACGACTGCATTGAGAGCGAGGCCTGTTACATGGGCCTGTGCCAGGATCCGTGCGAGTTTGCCAAGATCTGTGCCGCGACCGCCAAGTGCACGGCCAAGAGCCACCGACCAGTTTGCACCTGTCCGCAGGGCCATGAGGGCAATCCGATGGTCAAGTGTGTAACCACTCAAACCTCAAGTAAGGCACTAATCAATTAATCAACAAACTTTCATGCATGGAACTAGCTAGCAATACTTTCGGAATAAATAATCTGCTTTTGCTATCTTAATAACATTGTTAAAACCAACTTACAGTTGAATGCACTGACGATTCGGACTGCGGAGTCACGGAGGCGTGCATCAATCAGCTGTGCCAGCATCCTTGCGATGTCCATGATCCCTGTGCCACGAATGCCGTTTGCATCAACACCAACCATGCAGCCGATTGCAGCTGTGCGGATGGATTCCAGGGCAATGGATTCGTTGGCTGTCAGCCAGGTTAGTATGCCCTTGATCAACACGATGGCGCACCTTTGTTGTCCTCCTCAAGAAATCCTCTGCTAATGTGTCACCATGTCTTGTTTTCAACCAATCTCTCTCTTTCATACACTGTACAAATCCCCGTACACTATGTATACACCATGTATAAAAACTTGTACCGTCCCGCCACCAAATCAACTCTAAAAACCAACCAACAAACTATATATAAATACACCCACCGATCCAACCGAATCGCACCGTAACCTTAACCACAGCACGAACCCCTGTCTGTCAATACAACGAGGACTGTCCGCCGACGAAGCTCTGCGATCGCCTCAACCGGCGCTGCATTAATCCGTGCCAGGAGGACTCTTGCGGCGAGAATGCCGAGTGTATTCCGGTGAACCACGGAACAGACTGTCGCTGCCTGCCCGGATTCCTTGGCAATGCCTATGTGCAGTGTCTGCCCAGTCAGGGTTGCCGTTCCGATTCCGAGTGTGATTCCAGTCAGGCCTGCATCAACGGAAAGTGCTCATCGCCCTGTCAATGCGGTGCCTTTGCCCTCTGCGATGTGGTGAACCATCGCGGTGTGTGCAAGTGCCCACCGGGCTACAACGGAAATCCCCAGGTGGGCTGCAGTCCACCCCAGGATCCCTGCGACCCCAATCCATGTGGCTTGAATGCCCTGTGCGAGCTCGACAATGGCAACCCCATCTGCTACTGCCCCAAGGGTCTTACCGGAAATCCCTTCAAGAATTGCAGTAAGTATTGTTTTAGTTTTAAAAGAACCAAAACTTAAAAAAAAAATTATATTTGTTTTAGTTCCCGAGGGAGATGAGTGCACCCCGAATCCTTGTGGACCCAATTCCGGCTGCCGTCGCGTGGATGGCAACCCGATTTGCTTCTGCCTGCCGGAGTACGAGGGTCAGCCGCCGTCGATTCCCTGCGAGCTGCCCTCGAATCCCTGCGATCCTTCGCCCTGTGGACCCAATACCCAGTGCTCCGTTCTGAGCAACGGTTTCTCCAAGTGCACCTGTCTGCCCAACTATGTGGAGAGCCCCAACACCATCCGTGGCTGCGTTGAACCCATTAATCCCTGTGACCCCAATCCCTGTGGAACTGGTGCCATCTGCGATTCATCGCGACAGCCCGTCTGCTATTGTCCGGACAACAAGATTGGAAATCCCTTCAGGTTGTGCGACAAGCCAGCCGTCACCATTGAGCTTTGCCAGCCGGGACCTTGCGGAAGAAATGCCGACTGCTATGTGGCCGGAAATCGTGAGGAGTGCTACTGCCGCTCCGGATATGTGGGAGATGCCTATCAGGGATGCCGTGAACCCAGTCGCACCGTTTGCGATCCCAATCCCTGCGGACCCAATGCCAATTGCGTGGTGGCAGGCGATGGACAGACCGCCTGCGTTTGTCCCGATGGCCTGTCTGGTGATCCCACCTCCCTGATCGGTTGCCACGGCTACGAGTGCCAGGTGGATGCCGATTGCCCGAACAGCAAGGCCTGCATGGGCTACCGCTGCTACGATCCCTGCCCCGGAGCCTGTGGCCAAGGAGCCCACTGCCAGGTGGAGGAACATCACCCGGTTTGCTCCTGCAATGCCGGATTGACCGGCAACCCAGGAGTTCGCTGCTATGCCCTGGATCATCCCAAGACGAATCCTTGTGTGCCCAGCCCATGTGGTCGGAATAGTGAGTGCAAGTTGCTGAATAACCGCGCCGTCTGCTCCTGCATCCCAGGCTACCTGGGTGATCCACAGTCGGGCTGCCAACCGGAGTGCGACATCAACTCGGATTGCGGGGATACATTGTCCTGCATTAACCACAAGTGCGTGGATCCTTGTGCCGGTGCGATCTGTGGCATCAATGCCATCTGTAATGTGCGCCAGCACACGCCAGTTTGCCTCTGCTTGGACGGATTCGTCGGCGATGCCTTCTTGCAGTGTGTACCCATTGGAATACTGAAGAATGTTTCGCGGGATCCTTGTGCCCCGTCGCCCTGTGGACCCCGAGATGTCTGCTCGGTGTTCGGCGATGGTGTGGCTTTATGTGATCCTTGCTTTGGACCCAATGCCCAGCAGAATCCACGCTGCCGGCCGGAGTGTGTGGCCAATTCGGATTGTCCGTTTGATCGCGCCTGTCTGGGCCAACGCTGCCAGGATCCCTGCCCCGGATCCTGTGGACGGAATGCCATCTGCAATGTGTACGAGCACAACCCAGTGTGTGCCTGCCCCACGGGTCTCTTTGGAAATCCCTACGAGCAGTGCACCACGCAGTCGGTGGTGGAGCCACCACCACAGCCTAGCTGCGCCAAGCTGCGTTGCGGAGCCAATGCCGAGTGCAGGCGTCAGTCCGGCGGTCTGGCCTGCGTCTGCCGCAAGGGTTACTTCGGTGACCCGCATATTGGCTGCCGGCCGGAGTGCGTGCTTAATAGTGACTGCCCGGCGGAGAAGGCCTGCCTGAATTCCAAGTGCGTGGAGGCTTGTTCGGGTGTGTGCGGCATCAATGCCGTCTGCCGTGTGGTCAACCATGCGCCGGTTTGCATCTGTGCCGAGGGCTTTAGTGGAGATGCCTCGATAGCCTGCAATCCCTTCTACCTGCCACCGCCAGTGCGTCCAACTCCATGTGAGCCATCGCCCTGTGGACCCAACTCGCGCTGCAAAGCCACCCCCGATGGCTATGCCGCCTGCTCCTGCCTGCCGAACTTCAAGGGAGCTCCGCCAGTCTGCCAGCCCGAGTGCGTGGTCAGCTCGGAGTGTGCTCCCAACCAGGCCTGCTTGAATCAGCGGTGTGCCGATCCCTGTCCCGGTATCTGCGGGGGTGGAGCCCGCTGTGAAGTCTTGAATCACAACCCCATCTGTTCTTGTGAGGCCAATTTCGAAGGCGATCCGTTTGTGGCCTGCTCACCCATCCAGGATCCAGGACGCGACATCGCTGTGCCAAAGAACCCGTGCGTGCCATCCCCTTGCGGACCCAACTCCATATGCCAGATCAAACAGAACCGACCAGTCTGCTCCTGTGTGGCCAACTACATTGGCAGCCCGCCATATTGCCGGCCGGAGTGCACGCTGAGCAGTGAGTGTCCCTCGGACAAGGCCTGCATCCAGGAGAAGTGCCAGAACCCGTGTGCCAACATCTGTGGACACAATGCCCGCTGTACGGTCATCGCCCACTCGGCCCACTGCAGTTGCGACGATGACTTCGAGGGAGATGCCTTCATCGGTTGCTCTAAGAAGATTCCAGAAAGTAAGTTTGGGTGGCTTCTAATAGAAGCCTTCTATTGAAATACATATTGTAAACATTTTTTTTTTTTTTTTTTGTAAATTTAGAACCCGGCGACCACATTGATCCTTGCTACCCCAATCCTTGTGCCGAGAACGCTGTGTGCACACCGCACAACAATGCCGCTCGCTGTTCCTGCATTGAGCCCTACAATGGAGATCCTTATAGTACAGGATGTCGTCCGGAATGCATCTACAGCTCCGAGTGCCCCTCATCGCTGGCCTGCATCAAGCAGCATTGTCGCGATCCCTGCACGGCTGCTTGTGGACCGAATGCCGAGTGCGCCGTGGTCAACCACTTGGCCTCCTGCAGTTGCACCCGAGGATTCGAGGGTAATCCCTTCGAGGGATGCAAGCGGGTGCCGATTGTGAGACCCGAGAGCGTGTGCGAACCGAATCCGTGTGGACCCAATAGCATCTGTCGCACCGTCGAGGGACATCCCACGTGCAGCTGCCAGGCCGGCTACTTCGGAGCGCCGCCTCAGTGCAGACCCGAGTGCGTGGTCAGCTCGGAGTGTGCCCAGCACCTGGCCTGCATCAACCAGAAGTGCACGGATCCGTGTGCGGAGACCTGCGGTTTCAATGCCAAGTGTCAGGTGAACAACCACAATCCCATCTGCTCCTGCCCAGCCAACTATGTGGGCAATCCATTCGAACAATGTGTCCCGAAACGTAAGTAGATCATTATAAATTTAAATTAAATTTATTTCGAATTTATTATTGATTGGAAAACCTCTGTAGCACCACCAGAACAAGACCGCCATGTGGATCCTTGCCTGCCCAGCCCATGTGGCTCCAATTCCATTTGTCGCAATGTGAACAACCGAGCCGAGTGCTCTTGTGCCCCCGGAATGTTTGGGGCTCCACCGAATTGCCGACCGGAGTGTGTAATTAACCAGGATTGCCCATCGAATCGGGCTTGTATTCGTCAACGATGCGAGGATCCCTGCATCGGCATCTGCGGCTTTAATGCCGTGTGCTCCACCCAGAATCACCAGCCCAAGTGCAGTTGCATTGAGAGCTTCGAGGGTGATCCGTACACCGCCTGCCGAATGCGTGAGAGTGAGTACAGATCTTTGGACTATTTGCTATCCCTTCCTGGAGCACGGATGTGTGCCCGAGACGCGCCCTTAATGTTACATGTTCCTTTCAGTGGTGCTCTAGAAGTATTGGTATTGTGGTGTACATCCTATGCATGTTCCTCGTATTGTGTACATATTACGAACTTCATCTTTACATCTATCTACCTACTTTTATTATTATCTGTATTATTATTATTATTGCTTAGTTCTAAGTCTATTGTGTTTGTACATTCCTCTGTATGCATCCGCATTGCCTGCTTGCTATTTTCATGACCATGACAGTCGTGGTGCCAGATCCACCCTCCGATCCATGCTATCCATCGCCCTGTGGCGCGAATGCCATTTGTCGGGTGCGCAACGGAGCCGGCTCCTGCACCTGCATCCAGAACTATTTCGGTGATCCGTACCTCAATTGCCGCCCGGAATGCGTCCAGAATAGCGATTGTCCCGGCAGCCGGGCATGTATTAATATGAAGTGTCGCGATCCTTGCGCCAATGCCTGCGGATTCAATGCCATCTGCCGGGTGGCCCATCACCAGCCGGTTTGCAGTTGTGAAACGGGCTTCACCGGCAATCCACTGCGCGCATGCGTGGAAAGACCCTCAAGTATGACCCAATCCTGGGGTGGGTCGATTTGTTATGAGAATGTCCAATTCTTGTTTTTTTTTTTTTGTAGATAAGCCGAAGGCACATTCTTTTAATGTTTTAATGTTTGTCGATATCACATAAACATGATAAACAACCATTTCTTGTGAGGCGTGTTAATATAGAATGCGCCTACTTCGGTTTGAACCCAAAAAAAAAAAAAAAAAAAACTACTTAGATCTTTAGAATAAAAGTTTTATGAAGAAATTCCAATTTGAAACATTAGATTCCATCTCTGTTGCCCCTATTTATTTGGCATCTCTATAAATCGACCCACCCTTTCGTACACCCCTCTATCCAGAGTTATTGATCTAACTGCTCTGCCCTTCCTCCCCATAGATATGTACCTACCCCTGCCCAAAGACCCTTGTAGACCCTCGCCTTGTGGCCTGTTCAGCACTTGTCATGTGGTTGGGGATCGTCCCGTGTGCGCCTGCTTGCCAGACTACATGGGTGCTCCGCCCAACTGCCGGCCCGAGTGCATGACCAGTGCCGAGTGTCCCTCGGACAGGGCCTGCATCAACCAACGGTGCAAGGATCCTTGTCCCGGAACCTGTGGCTACAATGCACGCTGTCGCTGCACCAATCACTCGCCCATCTGCAGTTGCTACGAAGGCTACACCGGGGATCCGTTCCACCAGTGTGTGCCCGAAAGAAGTAGGTTTTCCTTAGGTCTCCTCCCACAATCCTTAGAATCCAACTAAGAGAGTATTGCAATTGTAGAACCACCACCGCCAATAGCCGATCCCATTGTTCCGCCCAATCCTTGTGTGCCGTCACCCTGTGGGCCCAACTCTCAGTGCCAGGTTTCCAGCAGCGGAGCTGTCTGCTCCTGCGTGACCAACTACATAGGACGTCCGCCTGGCTGTCGGCCAGAGTGCAGCATCAATTCCGAGTGCCCGGCCAGAATGGCCTGCATCAATGCTCGATGTGCCGATCCCTGCATTGGATCGTGTGGAAATAACGCACTCTGCCATGTTAGCCTGCATGCTCCGGTTTGCATGTGCGAGCCTGGCTTCTCCGGTGATCCCTTCTCCGGCTGCTACAAGATCATAGAGAGTAGGTTATTGTGAGGGTTTCCTTTGAGAGCTAGATACTTACTCCCCTGCTTGCCCCGCCCATACAGCGCCCATTGAGGTGATCCAACCCTGTCGTCCCAGTCCGTGTGGCTTGAATGCCCTTTGCGAGGAGCGAAATCAGGCTGCCGCCTGCAAGTGTCTGCCGGAATACTTTGGGGATCCGTATGTAGAGTGCCGCCCCGAGTGCGTCATCAACTCTGACTGTCCCAGGTCGCGTGCCTGCGTCAACCAGAAGTGCGTGGATCCCTGCCCGGGAATGTGCGGTCACAGCGCCCTGTGCGCCGTCTTCAATCACGCGCCCAACTGCGAGTGCCTGCCTGGTTACACGGGTAACCCCATCGTTGGTTGCCACCTGGTGCCCGAGACTCCGCGCTGTAAGATGTCGTTCTAGTTTCGTTAGCAGTGATGGGAAGTACCTAGGTAGATAGGATTCTATACGGAGTTTAACTGATCGAAAATGTTTTCCTAACGCTACAAGTTGATAACTTATAATTAGTTCGATAGGTTTCATTCTACCTTGGTCTCCCTTCCTTCACTGCAAGTTAGGAATCCTTAGATAGGAACCCTATTAATAGCTTACCACGTCCGTAGATCCCGACCCCATAGTGCCCGAAAATCCCTGCCAACCATCGCCCTGCGGCCTCTACAGCAACTGTCGTCCGGTCAATGGCCACGCAGTCTGCTCCTGTGTGCCCAACTACATCGGTTCCCCTCCCAACTGCCGGCCCGAGTGCATGAGCAGCTCGGAGTGCGCCCAGGACAAGTCGTGCCTCAACGAGCGCTGCAAGGATCCCTGCCCAGGCACCTGCGGCAACAACGCCCTGTGCCGCGTGGTTAACCACAATCCAATCTGCTCCTGCAGTCCCGGCTTCAGCGGTGATCCCTTCGTGCGCTGCTTCCCCCAAGAGAGTAAGCATCGGCCAGGAGTCGAAGGAAGCTTAGCTTCGGCCAGCCGGAGATTTAAATTCCCCTGCAGAAAGAAGTGTTTAAAAAGTCCGTTGTTCTCTTCAAGACCTTCCAGAAATACCCACAGTATTATAGGTTTCCTTCTACTTTATCTGCAGGGGTATTTAAGCCAATCACTCACCGAATCATCTCTTCATCCGAGAGCCTTTCGAGCCCTTAATCCATTTCATACCCGCTTGACAACATTACTCGCATCCTCTATATATATACTTTCCATTATGTTTATTTCTTTTATATGTACTCTATGTATGGCTTATTTTGGTGCATGATGATTATCGTACTTGGTGTAATGTGATGGTTAAATGGTTATATCGAATGTAGAGCGGCCCCCCATCACCCATGATCGCATCGATCCGTGCGTGCCCTCGCCATGTGGTCCCAATTCCGAGTGCCGGGTGTCGGCTGCCAATGAGCAGGCGGTCTGCTCATGCTTGCAACATTATGTGGGTAGGGCGCCCAACTGCCGGCCCGAGTGCACCTCGGACTCCGAGTGCGTCGGCAGTTTGGCCTGCATCAATCTGCGCTGCCGGGATCCGTGTGTCGGAACCTGCGGCTTCCAGGCCACTTGCCTTGTAAATAACCATAGACCCATTTGCCGCTGCATCGACGGCTATGCAGGGGATCCGTTCTCAGAGTGTAGTCCGAAGAGTAAGGGACCTGGAAGACTTGCTTTCCAATCGGATAATACTAAACCGTTGACCTTTTCCCCCTCCCCCCATTAGTTATTGTCCCGCCCGAGGTGGCACAGCCCTGCAACCCGAGTCCCTGCGGCGCCAATGCCATTTGCAAGGAGCGCAATGGAGTTGGCTCTTGCTCCTGCCTGCCGGAGTATAATGGAGATCCGTATACCGAGTGCCGTCCGGAGTGCGTGCTGAATAGTGACTGCTCGAAGAACCGCGCCTGCCTCAACAACAAGTGCCGCGATCCCTGTCCGGGTGTCTGTGGCGTTTCCGCCGAGTGCCATGTGATCAATCACGCCCCCAGCTGCAGTTGTCCCTCAGGATACACTGGCAATCCCTCGCAATATTGTCGGGAGATACCCAAATGTAGGAAGAAGTTTCCCCTGGGAGTGGGTTGAGTCTTTGGGAAAGGATTAGAGTTTTTACATAGATCTTATGTGATCTTAAGTTAATTTACAATCAGACCTCAACATTTCTTGAGTTGTCTTTAGTCTTTTTTAAAAACAATTATAGTTTTCAATGGATTTCCATTTAATCTTAAGTTAATTTTCAATAGGGCTTCAGAATTTCTTGAGCTGTCTTTAGTCTTTAGGAAACGAATTTCGTTTTCAAAGGAGATCCATTTGATCTTAAGTTAATTTTCTTGAGTTGTAACTCGAATCCCGAAGAGTCGACCCACTCTGCAATACTCCCAACCTAATAGATAGCTTTAATAACGCTCACCCTGATTTGTAGTGCCCGCCCCCGTGGAACCCTGTCGTCCTTCGCCCTGCGGTCCTTACAGCCAGTGCCGCGAGGTGAACGGACATGCGGTCTGCTCCTGCGTTACCAATTACATTGGCACTCCGCCCGCCTGTCGTCCCGAGTGCTCGGTTAGCTCCGAGTGCTCCCAGGACAGGGCGTGCGTGAACCAGCGCTGCGTGGACCCTTGTCCGGGCACCTGTGGCAACGAGGCCATCTGCAAGGTGACCAACCACAATCCGATCTGCTCCTGCCCAGCCGGCTACAGCGGCGATCCCTTCGTACGCTGTGCCCCCTGGCAGGAGGAGCCGGAGCAACCGAAGTCCAACGAGAATCCCTGCGTGCCCAGTCCCTGCGGACGCAATTCCCAGTGCCGTGTTGTGGGCGAGACGGGTGTCTGCTCCTGCCTGCCCAATTTCGTGGGCAGGGCGCCTAATTGTCGACCCGAGTGTACCATCAACACCGAGTGTCCTGCCACCCAGGCGTGCGTCAATGAGCGCTGCCAGGATCCCTGTCCGGGATCGTGTGGCTTCAATGCCTACTGCAGTGTGGTGAATCACTCGCCCGTCTGCTCCTGCGACAATGGTTACACTGGTGATCCCTTCGCCGGCTGCAATCCGCAACGTAAGCTCGAAACTTAGAGTCCCCTAGAACTAGAGTCCTAATCCTCCTTCGCTTTGTGGCCCCATAGCTCCCACCGTGCCCGATGAGCGACTGACTCCCTGCCAACCCTCGCCCTGTGGCCCCAATGCCGAGTGCCGCGAACGCAACGGAGCCGGCTCCTGTACTTGTTTGCCGGAGTACTTCGGTGATCCGTACAGTGGCTGTCGACCGGAGTGCGTGGTGAACAGTGATTGCTCCCGCGACAAGTCGTGCGTCAACCAGAAATGCGTGGACCCCTGTCCAGGTGTTTGTGGTCTGAATGCCCAGTGTCGGGTGTCCAATCATCTGCCCAGCTGCACTTGCCTGGCCGGATACACTGGAAATCCGTCGAGCGCGTGCCGTGAAATTCCTCAGTTGCCCCCACCACGTAGGTTCACCACTAACTACTCGTATAACCCATGGGCAACACCTACTGATCCACCCCTACTTTCCCAGCCGAACGGGATGAGAACCCCTGTAGACCCTCGCCCTGCGGTCCCTACAGCCAGTGCCGCGAGGTCAACGGCCATGCCGTCTGCTCCTGCCTCCAGGGCTTCGTCGGCTCGGCACCCAGCTGCCGGCCCGAGTGCATCATTAGCTCGGACTGCGCCCAAGATCTCAACTGTCAGAATCAGAAGTGCGTGGACCCCTGTCCCGGCACTTGTGGCATCGAGGCCCGCTGCCAGGTCATTAACCACTATCCCGCATGCTCCTGTGCCCCAGGTTTCACCGGAGATCCCTTCAACCGGTGCACTAAGATATTGTGTAAGCATGATTAGTTGAAAGGATGAGGAGTGCAAGCCAAAAGGGGGGAAGATTTCTGATTATTGATCCTTACTATGGTGTATTTTATATTCCCTTAAGCCAGTGGTGGCCAGCAGAAGCAGCACATTTTCTGCTTTACAGCGTACGTGAGCGTCGAATCGCTAGCAGCGCAGCGGCAGAGAATTTGCCTATGCCTGCTGGCCACCACTGCCATAAACGTTATGAAACCCCAAAAGCACGGTATACAATCTACTCCCCCACTTGGCTTGCCAACCCACCCAAGGTTTCCATCTCCTGCATGTATTTCCTATTTAATGTTTGATTTCTTCCATTCTCTATCCATTTTTATTTTATGTACACTTTGTAAACAACTATCCACAACTCTACTATCCTATGAACCTATGTAAATGTTTGTCTAAATGTGCTATGATCCCACCTCAACTATCTATGGCATGGCTAAATGTGTAGTGGAGCCCCCACCCACCGAAAAGTCCGGTAATCCCTGCATCCCCTCACCGTGCGGACCCAACTCGAAATGCCTCGATGTCGGCGGTTCGCCTGCATGCTCCTGCCTGCCCGACTACCTGGGACGTCCGCCCAACTGCCGGCCCGAGTGCCTCAGTAGCGCCGACTGTCCCGCCAACCTGGCCTGTGTGAACCAGCGCTGCTCGAACCCGTGCATCGGTGTCTGTGGCCTGCACTCCACGTGCACGGTCATCAAGCACCGACCGGCATGCGAGTGTGTGCCTGGCTTCACCGGAGATCCCTTCTCCGGCTGTGCGATCGTGCAGCAAAGTAATATATCCCAGGCTGCTAAACTGAATCTCTGGTTAACCCCACTAACTTGAATATTGCATTTCCCATCTCTCCTCTAGTTGCTCCGCCGGATGAGCCCAGAAACCCCTGCAATCCCAGTCCCTGCGGAGCGAATGCCATTTGCCGGGAGCGCAATGGAGCTGGCTCCTGTGCCTGCCTGCCGGAATACTTTGGAGATCCGTACAGCGGCTGCCGACCGGAATGTGTCCAGAACGACGATTGCGATCGGTCGCGTGCCTGCATCAACAACAAGTGCCAGGACCCATGTCCCGGAGCCTGCGGCATCAATGCCGAGTGTAGGGTGCTGAATCACGGACCCAACTGCAACTGCTTCGATGGCTACACCGGAGATCCGCATCGCTCGTGCTCGCTGATCGAGGTGGTCACCCGACGACCGGAGAATCCATGCCAACCCTCTCCCTGCGGACCGTACAGCCAGTGCCAGGATACCAACGGACATGCGGTGTGCAGCTGCCTGGAGAACTACATTGGAGCGCCGCCCAGCTGCAAGCCGGAGTGCGTGGTCAGCTCGGAGTGCCCCCAGAACAGGGCGTGCATCAACCAGAAGTGCGAGGATCCGTGCCGCGGATCTTGCGGCAACAATGCCAAGTGCCAGGTGGTCAACCACAATCCTATTTGTACATGCCAGCCCGGCATGACAGGAGATCCCATCTCGGGCTGTGCCCCCGCTCCGGAGGTCAAGAACGTGGAGAATCCCTGCGTGCCATCGCCATGTGGTCCCAACTCGGTGTGCCGAGAGATTGGCAACCAGGCCGCCTGCTCCTGCCAGACCAACTTCATTGGACGTCCGCCCACCTGTCGGCCGGAATGTACGAACAACGACGAGTGCCAGAACCATTTGTCCTGCCAGCAGGAACGTTGCGTTGATCCCTGTCCCGGTTCGTGTGGCAGCAATGCCATCTGCCAGGTGGTGCAGCACAATGCTGTCTGCTCCTGTGCCGATGGCTACGAGGGAGAACCGCTCTTTGGCTGCCAACTCATCCCGGCTGTGACGCCCACTGAGTCACCTACGTCGCCCTGCGAACCCTCGCCCTGTGGCCCGCATGCCGAGTGCCGGGAGAGGAATGGAGCCGGAGCCTGCTACTGTCATGATGGCTTCGAGGGTAATCCGTATGATGCCCAACGAGGATGCCGACGCGAGTGCGAGAACAACGATGAATGCTCGGCTGTCCAAGCCTGCTCGCGATTCAAGTGCGTCGATCCGTGCAACAATATCTGCGGAGACTATGCCATTTGTACAGTTGACAAACATGTGCCCACCTGTGACTGCCCGCCGGGTTACACTGGAGATCCGTTCTTCAGCTGCAAACCTGTGCCGGTCACGCCGCGACCTCCTCTGAATCCCTGCAATCCATCGCCCTGCGGACCCAACAGCAACTGCCGTGCCATGAACAACCAGGCCGTGTGCTCCTGCCAGGCGGGATTCATCAACCAGCCGCCCAACTGCAAGCCGGAGTGCGTGGTCAGCGCCGAGTGCGCCCCGGAAAGGGCCTGTGTGAACAAGAAGTGCGTGGATCCCTGTCTGCACACCTGCGGCATTCGAGCCATCTGCACCACCAAGAACCACAGCCCCATCTGCACCTGTCCACGGACCATGACAGGAGATCCGTTTGTTGAGTGCACCCGAGTTGGTAAGTCTGCGATTGTTAATAGATTATTACTAAAAACTGGGCCTTGTCCGTTCAGCCTTTTGTCCGTATCTAGAATTCCTGAGAAAACCAATTGTACCTTTAGGTCAAAAGCTTCTTTCCCTTTAAAAGGAGAAAATAAAAAAAGATTTTCGCTTTACTTACTTATATATGGTAAATAAATTAGTTTGCCTGTAATCCGATCCTTACTAAAAACTTGGCCCTGTCCGTTCAGCAATTCAACAATTCTATCTAGAATTTCTAATGAAACCAATTGTTCCTTTAGGTTAAAAGCTTCTTACTCTTTAAAAGGGTAAAATGAAAAAGATATTAGCTTTACTTACTTATATATGGTTAATAAATTTGTTTTGTCTGTTATTCAATGTTTACTAAAAACTTTGTCCGTTCAGCCTTTTGTCCGTATCTAGAATTCCTGAGGAAACCAATTGTTCCTTTAGGTCATCAGCTTCTTTCCCTTTAAAAGGGGAAAATGGAAAAATATTTTCTATTTAGCTCTCATAATAACTTTTATAAAAATTCCTGTAGCCATCACCAATGACAATACGACACCGTCGCCGGCACCCGCATCGTGTGTGCCATCTCCTTGTGGACCCAACGCCAAGTGCCAGATTGTGGGCAACAGTCCCGCCTGCTCCTGCCTGCCGAACTTCATTGGAGCACCGCCTCGCTGTCGCCCAGAGTGCGTACTAAACTCCGAGTGCGGACCCACGGAGGCGTGCATCAACCAGAAGTGTGCCGATCCCTGCTCAGGATCCTGCGGATTCGAGGCCAAGTGCCATGTGCTCAACCACCTGCCCATTTGCAACTGCATCGAGGGCTACGAGGGCGATCCGTTCGTGCGTTGCACCAAGAAGGAAGAGGAGAGAACTCCGCCCACAGTGAATGATCCATGCAACCCGAATCCGTGCGGACTGAATGCAGACTGCTTTGCCGGCGAGTGTCGCTGCCAGAATAACTACCAAGGAAACGCCTACGAGGGATGCCGACCCGAGTGTACGCTCTCGGCCGATTGTCCCAGGGACAAGGCCTGTATGCGCAACCGGTGTGTGGATCCCTGTCCAGGAATCTGTGGCAACAATGCCATGTGCGAGGTGATGAACCATATACCAGTGTGCTCCTGCGTGCAGGGCTACGAGGGAGATCCGTTCGTCAATTGCCGCGTGAAACCGGTCGTAGAGGATCCCATAATCGAGGCCTGTTCCCCATCGCCGTGCGGATCGAACAGCCAGTGCCGAGATGTCAACGGACATGCGGTATGCTCCTGCCTGGAGGGCTACATTGGAGCACCGCCCCAGTGCCGTCCCGAGTGTGTGGTGTCCAGCGAGTGCTCCGCTTTGCAGGCTTGCGTGAACAAGAAGTGCGTGGATCCCTGCGCCGCTGCCTGTGGACTCGAAGCCCGCTGTGAGGTTATCAATCATAGCCCCATCTGTGGCTGCCCACCTGGTCGAACTGGTGATCCGTTCAAGCAGTGCGTGGTCTTGCAACCCATTCCCGCACCGGATGTCAAGACTCCGCCCCAGGATCCTTGCGTGCCCTCGCCCTGCGGACCCAACTCGATCTGCAAGCCGGACAGGAATGGACCCGTCTGCCAGTGCCAAGCCGAGTTCTTTGGCTCGCCGCCCAACTGCCGACCTGAGTGCATCATTAATCCGGACTGTCAATCGACGCAGGCGTGCATCAACAATAAGTGCAGCAATCCCTGCCCAGAATCCTGCGGAACGAATGCCGAGTGTCGTGTGATTGGACACGCTGTGTCCTGCTCCTGTCCGCCTGGCTATGCGGGCAACGCCTTCGTCCAGTGTGTGCCGCAGCAGGAGGAGCCACCGAAGCCCTGCCAGCCATCGCCGTGTGGAGCCAATGCCGAGTGCATTGAACGCAACGGAGCCGCCGCCTGCAAGTGCATCGATGAATACCAGGGCAATCCCTACGAGGGATGTCGCCCCGAGTGCGTCCTCAGCTCCGACTGTTCCACGGACAAGACGTGCATCCGCAACAAGTGCCAGGATCCCTGCCCCGGAATCTGTGGCTTGAATGCCCAGTGCTATGCTGTGAACCATGTGCCCAACTGTGTCTGTAATGATGGCTACACTGGAGATCCCTTCGCCAGTTGTCGCCGCGTGGAGGTCTCGACGCCACCACCAGTTGCCGATCCCTGTATTCCATCGCCCTGCGGAGCGAATAGCAAGTGCCGGGTGGCCAACGGCTTGGCCGTCTGCTCCTGCCTGGATACCTTCATTGGAGCGCCGCCCAATTGCAAGCCAGAGTGCACGGTTAATGCCGAGTGTCCTTCGAACAGGGCGTGCCACAAGTTCCGCTGCGCCAATCCCTGCACCAAGACGTGCGGCCTGAATGCCAAGTGCGAGGTGATTAACCACAATCCGATCTGCAGCTGTCCTTTGGACATGACGGGTGATCCATTCGCCCGCTGCTATCCATCACCTCCACCGCCGCCGCCGGGACGCGATGAGCCTGTGAGGAGACCATGCCAACCATCTCCCTGTGGCCTTAACTCGGAGTGCAGGGTGCGCGACGAGCAGGCCTCCTGCTCCTGCCTGCCCAACTTCATTGGAGCACCGCCCAATTGTCGGCCCGAGTGCGTTGTCAACACGGATTGCTCACCGGACCGAGCTTGCATAGCCGAGAAGTGCCGCGATCCCTGCGATGGCTCCTGCGGCGTGGACTCCGAGTGCCGTGTGCAGAACCACTTGGCCATCTGTACCTGTCGTGGTGGCTTCACCGGCGATCCGTTTGTCCGTTGCATCGAGTTTATTGAGGAGACTACAAAGTCACCGCCGCTCACTCAGGATCCCTGCGATCTGCAGCCATGCGGTTCGAATGCCGAGTGCAGGAATGGAATATGTAGCTGTCTGGCGGATTACCAGGGAGATCCCTACACCGGCTGTCGTCCGGAGTGCACGCTGAGTACCGATTGCCCGCCCACCAAGGCTTGTCTGAACAAGAAGTGCGTTGATCCCTGCCCCGGAGTTTGTGGCCAGAACTCGCAGTGCGATGTCTCGAATCACATTCCAATCTGCAGTTGTCTGCAGGGCTACACGGGTGATCCATTCGTCCACTGCCGCCACGAGACTCCAGTTGCTAAAGACCCATGCCAACCGAATCCCTGCGGACCCAACAGCTTGTGCCACATTTCCGGTCAGGGACCCGTGTGTGCCTGTCAGCCGGGAATGCTGGGCTCACCGCCCGCCTGCAAACCCGAGTGCATCGTCAGCTCCGAGTGCTCGCTGCACATGGCCTGTGTGAACAGGAAGTGCGTGGATCCGTGCCCGGGAGCCTGTGGTCAGTTTGCCCGCTGCCAGGTGATCAACCACAACCCGTCGTGCTCTTGCAACACGGGCTACACCGGTGATCCGTTCACTCGCTGTTACCAAGAGGAGAGAAAGCCACCACCAACGCCGGATAACCCATGTCAACCGTCGCCCTGCGGACCCAATTCCGAGTGCAAGGTGCTGAATGGCAATGCAGCCTGCTCGTGCGCAGCTACCTTCATTGGAACGCCGCCAAGCTGCCGACCCGAGTGCTCCATCAATCCGGAATGTCCACCGACCAAGGCCTGCATCCGCCAGAAGTGCTCGGATCCGTGCGTGAATGCCTGCGGATTCAATGCCCGCTGCAATGTGGCCAATCATCAACCCATCTGCACCTGCGATGTGGGCTATACTGGAGATCCGTTCACCGGCTGTCAGAAGGAGCAAGGTAGGAACCCGTTTTCATTTAACCTAGCAGTTAGGTCAGGGCGTAAACCAGCTTATAAACGATAATTCTGTGGTTTCGGTTGCTCACTGGGCGCCCAGTACAACACCTGCTATTATTAAAAAACGAACAAAGATGCCGCACAGCCAAAACATTTGGTTACGCCCTGAAAGATTTGAAAGAATGTGAAACTATTTAAAAAAAGATCTCAGTATTGGCTTACCAAAGATTACCAAAGAAACTCAGTGATAATCCCCTGTTACCCTTAATTTAAAGACCCCTCAAAACCCAAAGTTTCACATTCCTTATAAGCACATTAGAATAAATGAAAGATGATCACTAGAAAATCAGTTACAATCGCTGTAATTGATTATACTTGTTTTGCACTCTATGTTGGCACTTGTTTTTCACCTTATACGCGTTACTTGTTCTAATGTGCTTTTAGGCAGCCTTTTTGTACCACACAACTTACATTCATTAAGATCTATGATTACCGCACGCACAGGCACAATGCATTGCAATTTAAGGAGTGTTCTGTTCATGTTTTTTACACTAAATCACAATGCACTCGATAGGCGAAATGCAAATTTCAATTCAGCACGCACTCTGTACGAATTGTCTGAGTGACTGTGCTATTGAAAGTGTCTGTACGCTGGGATAGTCAAAGATTTTAATTAGTTTTAGTCAATTATTTACTTGCTTTTTACCGCCCCTAACGCCTCAATTACAATATGCAAACTTGCCACGCCTTATTGCTTCCTTATATACAACCTTTAATGCCTTTACACCAAATCACCCGCCTTGATTTTTGCCTTTAACCCTTGATGATATATCGTTGTTGCCTCCAAAAGTATTACCCTGCGACCCCTTAATGTTGTTGTTTTCGATTTGAGGGATAATCCACGCGAAATGCTTTTACCTAATTCGTTATTTGGCCCAAAAAACACAAATGTCCTCGTCTCTCCACTCGCTTACTACCCAAAATTTGACCTAACCCAACTACCCGAAATTGAGTACTGCGTTGTTGTTGTTTTTGACCCCAAACCAAAATTCTGCCTTCGAAACGCCAAAGACATTAACCTAGTACTAGTCGAAAAGAAACCAAAAAACCGCGTTAGCACTTAATTATAGCATTAAAATTGTATAACATTGTAGCGTATGAGAATTGTTTAACAAAGAGCAATAAATCAAATGATATAACCCCGCCAAAAGGACACTTGTTTTACTTACGACACAAAAAAAAACATAACTCAAGGCCCATTGAATTGGGCCATTGCACTTACATAACACTGAAAAAGCACTCAGCACACAGAGTTTAACCCAACTAAATGAAGCTCTGCACCTGGTCCTTCGAAAGGATGCGAACACCTAACTAGTACTTGTACTCTAATCCGCTACAATAATACCACCACTGCAAACGGATTAATCAGCTGAAAGCAAACAGAAAGTATTGTACTAAACCCTATTCACTCGAGAGCAATTAATGAAAAAATCTCTGTCTTTGTCCCATCTCTTCCTTTGACTATTTTCACCCCACCTAGAACGCATTGTCAATGAGCAGGTTACCCCCTGCGAACCCAATCCCTGTGGCTCGAATGCAGTGTGCCGCGAAAGAAACGGCATCGGTTCCTGCCAGTGCCTGCCCGATCACTTTGGTGACCCCTATCAGTCGTGTCGTCCGGAGTGCGTTCGTCACTCGGACTGCCCTTCGAACAGGGCCTGTCAGCAGCAGAAGTGTCGCGATCCCTGTCCCGGCACCTGTGGCACCAATGCGGACTGCAGTGTCACGAATCATCTGCCCACCTGTACCTGCCGCCTTGGATTCACTGGCGATCCGTATCGCTACTGCCATGTGGAACCAACTCAGCGTAAGATAGTTAAACCCAAGATCACCCTGGACTATCCCCTGACCTTAGACCCCCCATTTCTAGTCCCTGCCCGTGTGACCGAACCCAGCCAACCCTGTCGCCCCTCGCCATGTGGTCCCAACTCCCAGTGTCGCGAACTCAACGGTCAGGCCGTCTGCTCCTGTCTGGAGCTCCACATCGGTCTGCCACCCAATTGTCGACCCGAGTGTGTGTTGAGCACGGAATGCCCCACCGACAAGGCCTGCATCAGTCAACGTTGTCAGGATCCGTGTCCAGGCACTTGTGGCTTAAATGCCGAGTGCCGGGTGCGAAGTCACAGTCCGCTGTGTCAGTGTCGTCAAGGATTCACCGGTGATTCCTTCACGCGCTGCTATCCCCTGCCACGTAAGAGTTGTCCTGCGATCTTCGCCAAGCATTCAGTTAATTGTTATGTTAATATGTTAGCCCCACCACCTGTAATCGAACGTGTTGAGCGTGATCCCTGTCTGCCCTCACCCTGCGGTCTGAATAGTCAGTGCCGCAATGTTCAGGGAGTGCCTTCCTGTTCCTGCCTGCCGGAATTCCTGGGGGCTCCGCCCAACTGTCGACCCGAGTGCACCATCAGTGCCGAGTGTCCCTCAAATCTGGCCTGCATACGCGAGAAGTGCATTGATCCGTGTCCCGGTTCCTGCGGCTATGCAGCCGAGTGTAATGTGGTCAACCACACGCCCATTTGCGTGTGTCCAGCTGGTTTTACGGGTGATCCGTTCAGTAGCTGTCGTCTAGCGCCACCTCCTGAACCTACGCAAAGTAAGAAAGTGGAAGAAAAACCTGAAATAAACTCACTTAACCGAACAACCCAATTAATAGACGAATATGTGGATCCCTGCAACCCATCACCTTGTGGCCCCAATGCCCAGTGCAATGCTGGAGTCTGCAGCTGCCTGGCTGAATTCCATGGCGATCCTTATTCCGGTTGTCGGCCCGAGTGCGTCCTGAGTTCCGACTGCCCGCGGGATAAGGCCTGTCATCGCAGCAAGTGTGTGAATCCCTGTCCTGGAACTTGTGGCGAGAATGCCATTTGCGATGTCATCAATCACATACCCATGTGCAGATGCCCGGAACGCACCGCTGGCAGCGCTTTTATCCGCTGTTCTCCTGTGCAGAGTACGTCCAAGTGGTTAATCCCCTTAATTGCTCCTCTAACAACTCGTCCACCCCTAGTTTCAGTCACCAATCCCTGCCGACCCTCACCGTGTGGTCCCAATTCCCAGTGCCGCGAGGTCAATCAGCAGGCTGTTTGCTCGTGCCTGCCCAGCTTCATTGGAGCTCCGCCATCCTGCCGACCAGAGTGCACCTCCAACGCGGAGTGTGCACCCACCCAGGCTTGTCTCAACCAACGGTGCGGAGATCCCTGCCCCGGAACGTGTGGAGTGGGTGCCCAGTGTGCTGTAGTCAGCCACAGTCCCTTCTGCACATGTCCTCCGAGGTTCACGGGTAATCCCTTCATTCGTTGTCAGCCTCAGAGTAAGGATGCTATGTCAGATAAAAAGAAGACACCTTCACAACAGTTACCTTTCCCAGTTGAACCTCCTGTTCGTGATGTGGCTCCCGTTGATCCCTGTCGCCCCTCTCCTTGTGGACCCTACTCCCAGTGTCGCCCTGTAGGCGAGGCTCCCGCGTGTTCCTGCCTGGAAACCTACATTGGACGTCCGCCAAACTGCCGTCCGGAATGTGTGACCAGTTCGGACTGCTCCAGTCAACTGGCCTGCGTCAACCAGAAGTGCGTGGATCCCTGCCCAGGACGTTGTGGCCTCAATGCCGAGTGCCATGTGGTCAGTCATGCTGTGCAGTGCATCTGCCAGCAGGGCTTCAGTGGAGATCCCTTCGTGCACTGCCGTCCGGAGATTGCCTATGAAAATGAAATACGCACGCCGTGCAGCCCAAGCCCTTGCGGATCGAATGCCGTGTGCCGCGATCGCAATGGAGTGGGATCCTGCCAGTGTCTGCCGCAGTACTTTGGAGATCCTTACGAGGGATGTCGCCCGGAATGCATGCTTGACTCGGATTGCCCCTCGAACAGGGCTTGTCAGCAACTGAGATGCCAAGATCCCTGCCCAGGAACTTGTGGTCTAAATGCCAACTGTCAAGTGGTTAACCATTTGCCGCAATGTAATTGCCTCAACGGATATGTGGGTGACCCATACCGTCAATGTAATCGACTGCCAGAACGTAAGACCCAATTATCGAGATCTTCTGTTCCCCTACTCAAGTCCCAAATTTTAGCACCCCAAATGGAGTACGTTAATCCCTGTCAGCCCACACCGTGTGGTCCGAACTCTCAATGCCGGGTTTCCAATGAGCAAGCCGTTTGCTCCTGCCTGCCCCAGTTTGTGGGAGCTCCACCGTCCTGCCGACCCGAATGCACCATCTCGTCGGAATGTCCTGCGGACAGGGCGTGTGTCAATCAGAAGTGCGTGGATCCTTGCACAGCAGATACTTGCGGAAACAATGCTGTTTGTAGGGTTCGAAACCACAGTCCCATTTGCAGCTGCCTCAGTGGTTACACAGGCGACGCTTTCACTCGTTGCTTCCCCATTCCACGTAAGCCTGATTCTTGTAATCCTCGGGTAAAAGATAGTAAACCCTTCCGTACCACAGCGCCGATTATCGAGACCAAGGACGAACCTCTGAGGGATCCCTGTGTGCCAACACCCTGTGGTCCCAACTCCGAATGCCGCAATATTAACGGTGTGCCTGCCTGTTCCTGCCTGGTCAACTTTATTGGCCAGGCTCCCAATTGTCGCCCCGAGTGCACTATTAACTCAGAGTGTCCCAGTCAGTTGGCTTGTATTAACCAAAAGTGTCGCGATCCCTGCCCGGGAGCCTGCGGTCAAAATGCCGTTTGCAGCGTCATCAATCACACACCACTCTGCGCCTGCATCGAAGGATATATAGGAAATCCATTCACCAACTGCAATCCCAAGCCCCCAGAACGTAGGTGTTTCCAGTAACTCTACAGAAGATCGGTGCTTATTCCCCTCGATATTTTTCCCTTTTATAGCCGTAACACCACCACCAATTGCCGACGATCCTTGCAATCCATCACCTTGCGGAGCCAATGCTCTTTGTCGCAATGGACAGTGCTCGTGTATACCCGAGTACCAGGGAGATCCGTATGTTTCCTGCCGCCCCGAGTGTGTACTAAACACCGATTGTCCCAGAGATCGAGCCTGTGTGCGCAACAAGTGCGTGGATCCCTGCCCCGGAACTTGTGGTGTGAACGCTTTGTGCGAGGTGACCAATCACATTCCCATTTGCCGCTGCCCCGAGCAGATGTCCGGTAATGCCTTCTTCGAGTGTCGACCCGTGCCGCCGGCAAAGATTCAAGATCCCTGCCAGCCATCGCCATGTGGTCCGAACAGTCAGTGCCGCGTGGTGCAACAGACTGCGGTCTGTTCCTGCCTCTCTAACTATGTGGGCAGTCCGCCGCAGTGTCGACCGGAATGTGTGACCAACTCGGACTGTCCTGCGGATCAGGATTGCCAGAATATGAAGTGTCGCGATCCGTGCCCTGGTACCTGTGGCTTTAATGCCCTCTGCAAGGTCGTCAACCACCGTCCCTTCTGCAGCTGCCCCACTGGCATGTCCGGAAATCCCTTCGTGAGCTGCCAGCAACTAAGTAGGCATCCTCTTACCTTTTTTAAACCCTCCCCGATGCTCACATCTGGAGTTCTTTCAGTAATACGCGATGAGAGACCGCAGAATCCCTGCCAGCCTTCACCTTGTGGTCCCAACTCCGAATGTCGTGTGTCAGGAGAATCACCATCCTGTTCTTGCCTAGCCGAATTTGTGGGTGCACCGCCCAACTGTCGACCCGAGTGCATCTCCAACTCGGAGTGTCCCACAAACCGGGCGTGTATTAATCAGAAGTGCGTGGATCCTTGTCCAGGATTGTGTGGTCAGAATGCTAATTGTCGGGTGTTCAGTCATAGTGCCATGTGCTTGTGTGACAGTGGCTTCACCGGAGATCCGTTTAGTCAGTGCAGTCCGTTTAGGGATACTCCTCCCGAGATCCTGCAGCCCTGCAATCCCAGTCCTTGCGGCGCAAACGCCAAGTGCGAGGAACGTGGCGGTGCAGGATCATGCCAGTGCCTGCCTGACTACTTCGGAAATCCCTATGATGGCTGTCGTCCTGAGTGCGTTCTCAACTCTGACTGCCCCTCCAATCGGGCATGTGTCAACCAGAAGTGTCGTGATCCCTGTCCGGGAACCTGTGGCCAAAGTGCCGAGTGCCAGGTGGTCAACCACTTGGCCACCTGTAACTGCCTTTTTGGTTACACCGGCGATCCGTACAGCCTGTGTCGCATCATAGTCAACGAGCCACGTAAGGATGAGGTCCAGTTTGCCCTAGGATTTTGTGACCCAACGATGGTTTCTATTCCAGCTGAACGCGTCTATGTGAACCCCTGCCAGCCGTCTCCATGCGGTCCAAACTCCCAATGCCGTGAAGTCAACGAGCAAGGAGTCTGTTCCTGCTTGCCAGAGTTTATTGGCAGTCCGCCCGCCTGTCGTCCGGAATGCACCAGTAGCTCGGAGTGCGCCGCCGACAAGGCTTGTGTGAACCGCAAGTGTGTGGATCCCTGTCCCAATGTTTGTGGCCAACAGGCCGAGTGTCGCGTTCGCAACCACAATCCCATTTGCACCTGTCTCAGTGGATTCACGGGTGATCCCTTCACTCGTTGCTACCGTCAGCCGCGTAAGAAAACGGATACGATTCAAAAAGGTCTTCAGCTTACCATAGAAAACAAATCAATTCCAGCTCCTCCTCCGATCATCGAACGTGAACCCCTTGACCCTTGCGTTCCTTCGCCCTGCGGAGCGAACTCCCAGTGTCGCGAGATTCATGGCACACCATCCTGCTCGTGCCTTCCACAATATCTGGGTACTCCACCCAATTGCCGACCGGAGTGTTCCATCAATGCCGAGTGTCCCAGTCATCAGGCCTGCATCAATCAGAAGTGCCGCGATCCCTGTCCGGGTTCCTGTGGCCTCAACACCCAGTGCAATGTGATTAACCACACGCCCATCTGCAGTTGTGTATCGGGTTATATTGGGGACCCGTTCAGCGTTTGTAATCCCCAGCCAATACCAGAGAAAAGTAAGAAACAATCGCAACCAAGAGTCACGATTATAAATCATATCTTAAATCTTAAAATAGTACGTGACCCAGTGCCACCCGAGGATCCGTGCAATCCATCGCCTTGTGGTTCCAACACCCAATGCAACAATGGGGTATGCTCCTGTTTGCCCGAATACCACGGTGATCCTTATACCGGTTGTCGTCCCGAGTGCGTCCTGCACACAGATTGTGACCGCAGTCAGGCTTGTGTTCGTCACAAGTGCGTTGATCCCTGTCCAGGTGTCTGTGGCATCAATGCGATATGTGAGGTTCTGAATCACATACCCAATTGTCGCTGCTTGGAAAGAATGCAGGGCAATGCCTTCATTCAGTGTAGTCCCATTCCACGTAAGAAAAGTTTACCCCAAGCAAAGATCTCGTACTACAAAGTCGATTACCTTGCAGAGCTCGACGTCGTTCAGAATCCTTGCCAGCCCTCACCCTGCGGACCCAACTCTCAGTGTCGCGTTGTTAACCAGCAGGCCATCTGCTCCTGCATCTCGCCCTTCATAGGAAGCCCGCCCTTCTGTCGTCCGGAATGTACCACCAATTCGGAGTGCCCCTTGAATTTGGCCTGTCGCAACCAGAAGTGCAGTGATCCCTGTCCCGGCGTCTGTGGTCGCGGTGCCCAGTGTCATGTGACCAATCACTCGCCCTTCTGCCGCTGCTTGGAGCGCTACACGGGTAATCCGTTTGTGAGTTGCCAGCAGATTATCGAACCACCGGTTCCGCCGCCAAGGCAAACGTGCCTGCCATCACCCTGCGGACCGTACTCTCAGTGTCGAGAAGTAAACGAGTTGCCCTCTTGCACCTGTCTGGCGGACTACATTGGAGTACCGCCCAATTGTCGACCCGAGTGCGTGACCAGTTCGGAGTGTCCCACGAATCAAGCCTGCATTCAGCAAAAGTGTCGCGATCCTTGTCCAGGACTTTGCGGACAATCAGCGGAGTGTCGGGTTCTTTCGCACACGCCAAGCTGCGTTTGTCCGGAGGGAATGGAGGGTGATCCGTTTACCATTTGCACGGAGAAGAGGATTCAGGTGCAGGACCAGTTGGATCCCTGCAATCCCAGCCCTTGTGGAATCAATGCCCGCTGTACCGCCCGCCAAGATGCCGGCTCATGTCAATGTCTGCCCGAATACTTTGGCAATCCCTACGAGGGATGTCGCCCCGAGTGCGTCCTCAATTCGGATTGTCCATCGAACAGGGCTTGCCAGCAGCAGAAGTGCCAGGATCCGTGTCCAGGAACTTGCGGCCAGAATGCCATCTGTAATGTACTCAATCATGTGCCCAGTTGTAGCTGCATCACAGGATTCTCCGGTGATCCGTATCGCTCGTGTGTCCCAGAACGTAAGAGTAGTTATCAGAGTTCAACGAATTTTGTTAACTTCCACGAGTTACCTCCCATTATAGCCGTCAAGGAGTACGTGAATCCCTGCCAGCCATCGCCCTGTGGTCCCAATTCCCAGTGTCGCGAGGTCAACGAGCAAGCCATTTGCTCTTGTCTGCCGGAATATGTGGGAGCTCCGCCTGTGTGTCGCCCCGAGTGTACGATATCCTCAGAGTGTCCGGTGGATAAGGCCTGTGTAAACCAGAAGTGTGTAGATCCCTGTCCCAACACTTGTGGGGAACAGGCCATCTGCCGGGTGGTAAATCACAGTCCCATTTGCTCATGTCGCGCCGGTTACACGGGCGATGCCTTCTTCCGCTGTTTCCCCAAGCCTCGTAAGTGGTGTCTTTCCCAAGTGTTTGATCCCAGTCTAAACTGTATTATCATTCCCGAAGCTGAACCACCGGCACCTGTACAAAAGACTCCGGTTGATCCCTGTGTGCCCTCCCCCTGCGGACCCTACTCCCAGTGCCGTTCTCAGGGCGATGCTCCCGCCTGTTCCTGTTTAGTAGGATATTTGGGAGCTCCTCCCAATTGCCGACCCGAGTGTCGCATCAACGCCGAGTGTCCCAGCAGTCAGGCGTGCATCAATGAGAAGTGCCGGGATCCCTGTCCCGGTTCCTGCGGCTATGGGGCCTTGTGTAATGTGATTAATCACACGCCTAGCTGTACCTGTCCAGCAGGATACTCGGGAGATCCATTCAGTCAGTGTCAGCCACTGCCACCACCGCCAGTAATACGTAAGATTCAGCAGTAAAGGTTAAAAGTGTAGGAGGGACTTAAATCATTCATTTCCTCAGCCGCTAAGCTAGATGATCCGTGCAACCCCTCACCCTGCGGTCCCAATGCTCAGTGCAACAATGGAGTCTGTACTTGCATTCCCGAATACCATGGCGATCCCTACAGCGGTTGCCGACCCGAGTGCATCACCAGTGCGGATTGCTCACGTGAGCTCGCCTGTTCGCGTCACAAGTGCTTCGATCCTTGCCCCGGAACCTGTGCCCCCAATGCCATCTGTAGTGTCCTCAACCACGTGCCCATGTGCACTTGTCCAGAGGGTTTCCAGGGCAATGCGTTTGTACAGTGCCAGCCTGCACCACGTAAATATTTTCCTTCCTGTCATTGGTCCTTCGAACCGGATATCCAATGCAACATTTCCCTTGCAGCCCCTGTCCTTGTCCAGCCATGCCAACCCTCTCCGTGCGGACCCAACTCGCAGTGCCGCGAGGTCAACCAGCAGGCCGTGTGCTCCTGTGTGGCTGGGTACTTTGGAACCCCGCCTCTCTGTCGTCCCGAGTGTACATCCAACTCGGAGTGCTTGTCCCGCCAGGCGTGTGTAAACCAGAGATGCAGTGATCCCTGTCCCGGTTCCTGTGGCCGCAATGCCCAGTGCAGTGTGGTTAACCACAATCCCTTCTGCACCTGCCTGCCGAGATTTACTGGCAATCCCTTCGTGGGTTGTCAACAGATCATCGAGCCACCGCGTCAGGATATTGTGCCTCAGGATCCTTGCCGTCCATCGCCTTGTGGTCCGAACTCTGAATGCCGTGCTGTTGGCGAGACACCAACTTGCACTTGCCTTGCGGAATTCGTTGGCTCTCCGCCTTATTGCAAGCCCGAATGTGTGGCCAACTCGGAATGTGCCTCGAATTTGGCCTGTATCAATCAGAAGTGTCGCGATCCTTGTCCTGGACTATGTGGTCTAAGTGCCACTTGCCGCGTTGTCTCGCACACAGCCATGTGCACTTGCGACATTGGCTTCATCGGAGATCCCTTCACCCAATGTCAGCCTATTAAGCAGGATGTGGAGATCATCAATCCCTGCCAGCCGTCGCCCTGCGGCGCCAACGCCGAGTGCATCCAGAGGAATGGAGCCGGAGCCTGTCAGTGTCTAACGGATTACTTTGGAAACCCTTACGAGGGCTGTCGACCGGAGTGTGTCTTGAACTCGGACTGCCCCTCGAATCGAGCCTGTCAGCAGCAGAAGTGCCGTGATCCCTGCCCCGGAAGCTGTGGACAGAATGCCGAGTGCAATGTAGTGAACCACACGCCCATGTGCAACTGCTTCGCTGGATATGTGGGCGATCCGTATCGCTACTGTAGCCAACCGCCAGAACGTAAGCGAGTTCCAATTATTCACGTAGTTGTACTAAACTTGGTCGTAGTCCTGGATGTAGTTACTAATTTTTTGTACTGTATTCCTAACCCCATAACTAGCTGTTGTCCATGAGTATGTGAATCCTTGTCAACCCTCACCCTGTGGCCCGAATTCCAATTGTCGCGAGGTCAACGAGCAGGCGGTCTGCTCCTGCCGCGCGGAGTTCGAGGGAGCACCGCCCAACTGTCGACCCCAGTGCACCTCGAGCTCTGAATGCTCGCCCAGCAAGGCGTGCATCAAGCAAAAGTGTGTCGATCCCTGTCCCGGTGTTTGTGGCCAGCAGGCAATCTGCGAGGTGCGCAACCATAGTCCCATTTGTAGGTGTCCCACCGGCATGACCGGTGATCCCTTCGTGCGCTGTCTACCTCGACCAACAAGTAAGGATGAGTGTTGTGTGTATTTGACCAACCCTAACCCGTTCTACCCCAATGTTAGTTTCACCACCGCCCCTGAGGGATGTAGCTCCCTATCGCGATCCCTGCCTGCCCTCACCCTGCGGCCTGTACTCCTCCTGCAGGAATCAACAGGATCAGGCCGTTTGCTCTTGCCTGCCCAACTACTTTGGCACTCCGCCGCATTGTCGTCCCGAGTGTTCGATCAATGCCGAGTGCCCCAGTCACTTGGCCTGCATCGGCGAACGATGCCGTGATCCTTGTCCCGGTGCCTGTGGTCAGCAGACCGAGTGCCGAGTTATCAGCCACGTTCCCAGTTGTGTTTGCCTGCGTGGCTATGTGGGCGATGCCTTCCTAGCCTGTCATCCGGCACCACGTAAGAGTTGTCTATTGGTGATCCCTCCTTGAGACTAAGACCAAACCCCCTTTGCAGCCCCACCAGCCCGTGAAGAACCCCGTGATCCCTGCAATCCCAGTCCCTGCGGCAGTAATGCCATCTGCTCCAATCAGGGAGATTGCTCATGTGTGGCCGACTATCAGGGTGATCCCTACGTGGCCTGCAGACCCGAGTGCGTTCTCAGTTCGGAGTGTCCCCGTAACCTGGCCTGTGTGCAGCAAAAGTGCACTGATCCCTGCCCCGGAACCTGTGGCTCCAATGCCATCTGCGAGGTGGTCAATCACATTGCCATGTGTCATTGTCCCGAGCGAATGACGGGCAATGCTTTTGTGCAGTGTACCCCAGTGCAACGTAGGTTTACCCCTCTAGTCTTTAAGAATCCCAGTTCATTCTTTAACCCTTCTCCAGTGGATGTGTACCGCAATCCTTGTAATCCCTCGCCATGTGGTTCCTATGCCGAATGTCGGGAGCAGAACGGTCAGGCTGTGTGCAGCTGTCTTCGTAATTACTTTGGTGTGCCACCTTCTTGTCGACCCGAGTGTAGCACCAACTACGATTGTTCCCCCAGTTTGGCCTGTCAGAATCAACGGTGCGTCGATCCTTGTCCAGGATCGTGTGGGGCCTATGCCGAGTGTCGAGTCGTTAGCCACAGTCCCTTCTGTAGTTGCCGACCCGGTTATACGGGAAATCCCATCGTTCAATGTCATGTGATTAGTAAGTTAAAAAACATCTTCAGAGGAGATCATACATTTAACGACCCACCTTTAGTTGAACCCCAGCGAGATATCGTACCCCAAGATCCTTGCCAGCCCTCTCCATGTGGACCAAACAGCGAATGTCGCCGCGTGGGCGATACACCTTCCTGCTCCTGCCTGCCCAACTACTTTGGCACTCCGCCCAACTGCCGACCCGAATGTGTCTCCAACTCCGAGTGCAGTCAGTTGCAAGTGTGCACGAATAACCGATGTAGGGATCCTTGTCCAGGACTCTGCGGCACCGATGCCGTATGTCGTGTTATCAGTCACAGTGCCATGTGCTACTGCCAACCGGGATACATCGGTGATCCCTTCGTCCGCTGTGAACCACAGAGACTAAGGGAACCGATTGAGATAGTTCAACCCTGCAATCCGAATCCCTGCGGCTCCTTTGCCGAGTGTCGTCAGCAGAATGGAGTCGGTTCCTGTCAGTGTCTGCCCGAGTATTTCGGCAATCCCTACGAGGGATGTCGCCCTGAGTGTACCATCGACTCCGATTGCTCCTCTCAGCTGGCCTGTGTCAATCAGAAGTGCCGCGATCCCTGCCCCGGAAGTTGTGGCCAAAATGCCGAGTGCTTCGTGCGTAATCACCTGCCCACCTGCAACTGCCTGAGTGGCTATGTGGGAGATCCCTATCGGTATTGCAACATTGAACCGAAACGTAAGGAGAACCTCTTACCACCCTTCAACTTGCCTCTAGACCTCTTGACATCTCTTACAGCCATTCGGGAATATGTAAACCCCTGTCAACCCTCTCCATGTGGACCCAACTCTCAGTGCCGCGAGCTAAACGGAGTGGCCACCTGCTCCTGTCTGCCGGAGTATGTGGGTCTTCCGCCGGGTTGTAGGCCTGAGTGTACCGTCTCCTCGGAGTGCAATCTTGACAGGGCCTGCGTTCGTCACAAGTGCACTGATCCTTGTCCAGGAGCCTGTGGCACTTCTGCCAACTGCCAGGTGGTTAACCATGCTCCACTCTGCTCTTGTCAAGCGGGCTTCACAGGAGATCCCTTCACCCGTTGTTACCCGATTCCTCGTAAGTTTTCCAAAAGCTGAGTTGCCAAGTGCACACGTCTTAACTCCTCCTTAATCCTCCCCCGTTTAGCTCCACCCACTCATATACTCCAAGATATAGAGCGCGATCCTTGCCAACCATCTCCCTGTGGGGCAAATGCCCAGTGTAGGCAGTCCCAGGGTCAAGCCATCTGCTCCTGTTTGCCCAACTACTTTGGTGTCCCGCCCACATGTCGACCCGAGTGCACTCAGAGTTCAGAGTGCCCGTCCAGTCTGGCGTGCATCAATCAACGATGCGTGGATCCCTGTCCCGGTTCCTGTGCCTATAACGCCCTGTGTCATGTGCGCAATCACGTGCCCAGTTGTCAGTGTCCCGTGGGCTATGTGGGTGATCCGTTCACCAACTGTCAACCCGAACCTCCAGCACCACGTAAGAACTATAAAACCCAGTTGGTCCATGTGTAATACCCTGTCCTTACCCCTCCAGCCAAACCCATTGCTCTCGACGACCCCTGTAATCCTTCGCCCTGTGGACCAAATGCCCTGTGCCAGAATGGTCAGTGTTCGTGCATTGAAGAGTACCAAGGAGATCCTTATACCGGCTGTCGTCCGGAGTGTGTGCTTAATGCAGATTGTGCGCGAAATCGAGCTTGTGTTCGTCACAAGTGTGTTGATCCTTGTCCAGGTACCTGTGCTCCCAACGCCATTTGCGATGTGATCAACCACATTGCCATGTGTCGTTGCCCACAGCGCATGACAGGCAATGCCTTTATCCAATGTGAGACTCCTCCAGTTTCGCTGGCTCCTCCTGATCCCTGCTACCCCTCGCCCTGCGGTCCCAACAGTCGCTGCCGTGTGTTTAACAACAATGCCGTGTGCTCCTGCATCGAGGATTTCATTGGAACGCCACCAAATTGCCGACCGGAGTGTACTCATAACTCTGATTGCCTGCCCAGACTGGCGTGCCAGAGGCAGCATTGCATGGATCCGTGCCCAGGAACTTGTGGCTTCAATGCTCTTTGCCATGTGGTCAACCATGCTCCGATTTGCAGCTGCCCACCCAGGCACAATGGAAACCCCTTCCTGGGCTGCTTCCCAGAACCAGTGCGACGTGATGAGATCATAACCAGGCATCCGTGCCAGCCGTCGCCATGTGGACCATATGCCAAGTGCACAGCGGTGGGAGATCAGGCGCAGTGCAGCTGCCTGGCTGAATATATTGGAACGCCGCCCAATTGTCGACCGGAGTGTGTGACCAATTCGGAGTGCTCCTTCGACAAGGCCTGCTTGAACCAACGTTGCCGCGATCCCTGTCCCGGAACTTGTGGCTCGAATGCCAATTGCCATGTGCTAAGCCATGCTGCCATGTGCTACTGCCTACCTGGCTACACTGGTGACCCGTTCACGTCGTGCCGTCAGGTGCCATTGATCCAGCACGAGGAGATCATTCAACCCTGCTCTCCCAGTCCTTGCGGAGCCAATGCTGTGTGTCGCCAGGAGGGCAATGTCGGTTCCTGCCAGTGTCTTCCGGAGTACTACGGCAATCCCTACGAGATTTGCCGACCGGAGTGTGTAACGAATAACGATTGCCCGGCTCACAAATCCTGCCAGCACATGAAGTGCCGGGATCCTTGTCCCGGAGTCTGTGCCTTGAATGCCTTGTGTCGCGTTATTGATCACTTGCCTACTTGTCATTGTCACAATGGCTACGTTGGTGACCCCTATCGCTACTGTCAGATTCCCGAGAAACGTGAGTCTCAGATTGATTGTGTTTCGTCCTCCTAAGCTAATCAGTAAATTCCCCCTACCCTTTAGCTGTCCTCAAAGACTATGTCAATCCCTGCCAGCCCTCGCCGTGTGGTCCCAACTCGCAGTGCCGTGAGAACAACGAGCAGGCCATCTGCTCATGTCTTCCCGAGTACGTGGGTGTTCCACCCAATTGCCGACCCGAGTGCGTGACCAGTGCAGAGTGTCCGCATGACAAGGCTTGCATTGGGCAAAAGTGCAGCGATCCCTGTCCCGGTGTGTGTGGCACCAATGCCGAGTGTCGTGTCATCCAGCATGCCCCCATTTGCAGTTGTCGTCCCGGTTTCACAGGCGACGCGTTTTCGCGCTGCTTGCCCCTGCCACGTAAGATATATCCTCTAGGATGTCCTTAAGACATTTACTTGACCTTGTTCCTCCTCCAACTTACAGCCCCAAGACCACCACAGTTGGACGTCTATCGAAATCCCTGTGTGCCCTCGCCTTGTGGCCAGTATGCCGAGTGCCGGGATAACCAGGGAACTGCCACCTGCAGTTGTCTGACCTCCTACTTTGGGACTCCGGCCAACTGTCGCCCCGAATGTACGATCAATCCCGACTGTCCGGCTCATTTGGCCTGTCAGCAGCAGCGGTGTCGCGATCCCTGTCCCGGAGCCTGTGGATTCAATGCCCTGTGCACGGTCATCAATCACAATCCCACTTGTCAGTGTGCCCCTGGACTAATCGGCAACGCCTTTACATCCTGCCATGCTCCACCGCCAATCGCTCGCGATCCCCCGCAAATAGTTGATCCCTGTTCATTGATCACCTGCGGACCCAATGCAGTTTGCAATCAGGGACAATGTAGTTGTCTGCCTGAGTTCGTGGGTAACCCATTGGTGGGATGTCGTCCGGAATGTGTGCTGAGTACGGAATGCGACTGGAACAAGGCGTGCGTGAGGAACAAGTGCATCGATCCCTGTCCCGGAACCTGCGGCTCCAATGCGATCTGTGAGGTGCACAGACACGTGGCCATGTGTCACTGTCCACCGGGAATGACTGGAAATGCCTTCAGCCAATGCCGACCCTTGCCACCAGCTATAATACGAGATGTCATCGATCCTTGCCAGCCCTCGCCATGTGGACCCAATGCCCAGTGTAGGAATATCAATGGACAAGCCGTTTGCTCCTGTCTTCCTGACTTCATTGGAGTCCCACCTTCCTGCAGACCAGAGTGCGTGAGCAATGCGGAGTGTCCGCTGCACTTGGCTTGTCTCCAACAACATTGCCGCGATCCCTGTCCCGGAGTTTGTGGCCAGAATGCCGAATGCCGTGTGATTAATCACAGCCCGAACTGCAATTGCATTGGATCCTTCACGGGAAATCCATTCGTGGCTTGTCATCGTCCACCGCCACCGATTAGACAGGATCCCATCGATCCTTGCCAGCCATCGCCATGTGGAGCCAACGCAGAATGTCGTAACCAGGGAAGCAATGCTCAATGCACTTGTCTAACCGGCTTCATTGGTACTCCACCGAACTGCAGACCCGAGTGTGTTTCCAACTCGGATTGTCCCACGAATCTGGCCTGCCTAAATCAAAAATGCCGCGATCCCTGTCCAGGTGTATGTGGCTCCAACGCCGAGTGCTATGTGATTAATCATACACCCATGTGCACATGCTTGGCTGGACAAACCGGCAATCCTTTCGTGGGCTGTCAAGTGGTTCGGGATGTCCCTGCACCACTTACACCGTGTGTTCCGAGTCCTTGTGGAGCCAATGCTCAATGCACTGAAAGAAATGGAGCTGTAGCTTGTCAGTGCTTGCCCGAATTCTACGGCAATCCCTACGAGGGCTGTCGACCAGAGTGCGTGCTCAACTCGGATTGTCCCAGCCACCTGGCTTGTCTGAATCAACATTGCCGTGATCCTTGTCCCGGAACTTGTGGTCCAAATGCCCAATGTCAAGTACGCGAACATCTGCCGCAGTGCAACTGCCTTGTGGGCTACCAGGGAAATCCCTACGTGTACTGCAGTGTCCTAAGAGAACGTAAGACGAACTTAGAAGGACCAAATAATAGATTTAGAACTTACCCTGAATTTTCCCCAATAGCTCTGCCTGAACCGATTCCCTCCCGTCCATGTCAACCCTCGCCCTGCGGTCCAAACTCTCAGTGTCGCGAGTCGAACAACCAGGCCATCTGCAAGTGCTTGCCCGACTTTATAGGATCCCCACCTGCCTGTAGACCCGAGTGTACCATCTCCAGCGAATGTGATTTGACCCTGGCTTGCGTCCAACAACACTGTATCGATCCCTGTCCAGGTGTCTGCGGCACTAGTGCCCAGTGTCGGGTGATTAATCACAGTCCTCACTGTAGTTGCCTGCCTGGTTTCACGGGTGACGCCATCAGTGGTTGCCAGCGCATACGTAAGACTCGGATTTGTAATACCTCTGTGAGCCCTTGTAACCCCGAACCCTTTGCAGCACCCGCAATTAGTTACGATGTCCCCAAGGAAACCTACCGCGATCCCTGTGTTCCCTCTCCCTGCGGAACCTTTGGCCAGTGCCGAGCTCAAGGCAACCAGGCTGTATGCTCATGTATTCCCGGCTACTTTGGAGCTCCTCCGAATTGCCAGCCGGAGTGCGTGATTAATCCGGACTGCCCGTCCCATTTGGCGTGCATCAGTGAAAAGTGTCGCGATCCGTGTCCCGGTTCTTGTGGCCTTCAGGCCCAATGCAATGTCATCAATCATACACCCATCTGCAGTTGTCCCTCAGGCTATCAGGGCAATCCCTTCGTCAGCTGCCAACGAACTCCTCCTCCGCCGCCGACAACTCCAGTCCTTCGCGATGCCTGCAATCCCTCGCCTTGCGGATCCAATGCAATCTGCAGCGCCAATGGTCAGTGCTCATGTCTTCCTGACTTTGATGGCAATCCCTATGTGGGCTGTCGTCCCGAGTGCGTCCTTAATACGGATTGTGCGAGAGACAAAGCCTGCCAGCGCAGCAAGTGCAAGGATCCCTGCCCCGGAGCATGTGGTGTGGGATCAGTTTGCGAGGTTCGCAACCACATTCCAACCTGCAGTTGTCCGCCCGGAACTTCGGGCAACGCCTTCGTTCAGTGTACCCTGGTGCAATGTGGGTTTCAATCAGATTTTAGTATCCAGAACCCTTTTAACAACTCCTTACTCCTCCGTTTAGCTTCACCAGTGATACCTTTGAACCCCTGCCAACCGTCGCCGTGTGGAAACAATGCCCAATGCCGGGTGGCCAACGATCAGGCCGTTTGCTCCTGCTTACCTGGATACTTTGGTGTTCCACCCAAGTGTCGCCCCGAGTGCACCATCAACTCGGACTGCGCCCCACATCTTGCGTGCCTGAATCAACACTGTCGGGATCCTTGTCCCGGAGCCTGTGGGCAGTTTGCCCAGTGCCAGGTCATCCGACATGTGCCGCACTGTAGTTGCCCGCAAGGATACTCAGGCAATGCCTTCATCCTGTGTCATCGTCTGCCGCCCCCACCATTGATTCAAAGGGAACCGCTCAATCCTTGCTCGCCATCACCTTGTGGACCTAATGCAGAGTGCACTAATCAAAATGAACAGGCCGTTTGCAAGTGTTTGAAGGACTATGTGGGAACACCACCCAACTGTCGACCCGAGTGCATAACCTCTTCCGAGTGTCCCAATCACCTAGCTTGCATTGGTCAGCAATGCAAGGATCCTTGTCCCGGACTTTGCGGCAACGCGGCCAGCTGTCAAGTGGTTAGCCATGTGCCCTCGTGCATCTGCATTGGGGACTTCATTGGTGACCCCTTCACCGGCTGCTATGCCCGGCCGCAGATTCAGCGGGAGCAAATTAATCCCTGCGCCCAGAACCCGTGCGGCAGCAATGCCGTGTGTAGGGAACGTGGAGGAGCAGGTTCGTGCCAGTGTCTGCCGGAATACTACGGCAATCCCTACGAAGGATGTCGACCCGAATGCGTGATCAACTCGGACTGTTCGAGCCACCTGGCCTGCTTGAATCAACACTGCCGCGATCCCTGCCCAGGAAGCTGTGCCCCCAATGCCCAGTGTCAAGTGGTCAATCACGTTCCCAGCTGTAGTTGCTATCCCGGATTTAGTGGTGATCCCTATCGCTATTGTCGTGTGGAGGTCCAGGCGGAACGTAAGAAGCCCTCCCCCAGTCAATTGTCTAATCTTTGCACTAACACACCAATTTACCATTATCCCCAATCTGCACCCTTATGTCCCTCTTTAGCCGTCCAAGTTGTCCACTTTGATCCCTGCCAGCCCTCGCCGTGTGGTCCCAACTCTCAGTGCACAGAAACCCAGGGTCAGGCGGTATGTCGCTGCCTGCCCGAATACTTTGGTTCCCCACCCGCTTGTCGACCTGAGTGCACCACCAATCCCGAATGTCCCAATGATAGAGCTTGCGTGGTTAGGAGATGCACCGATCCTTGTGCGAGTGGTGGCTGTGGTCAGAATGCCATTTGTCGAGCCCATCAGCACAGAGCTCATTGCTCGTGTCATCCGGGTTACACCGGTGATGTCTTCATGCGATGCCTACCTATCCAACCTGTTAGGGATTCGCCTGTGATCCATAGAGATCCCTGTTTGCCCTCGCCCTGTGGACAGTTTGCCCAGTGTCGAGTGGAGTACGGGCAAGCAGTGTGCTCCTGCCTGGAGTCCTACTATGGTACTCCTCCCTACTGCCGGCCCGAGTGTACCCAAAATTCAGATTGTGCGAGTCACAGGGCTTGTGTTAATCAAAGGTGCGTGGATCCCTGCCCCGGGGCATGTGGTCTAAACGCCCAGTGTGATGTGCTCAATCATGTGCCCAGTTGTTCGTGTCTCAGAGGTTTTACGGGAGATCCCTTCTACCGCTGTTATCCCGAGCCAACGCCTTCTCCAACCCCTATTACTATCGTAGCCGATGATCCTTGCCAGCCCTCGCCTTGCGGTCCCAATGCCCAGTGCTCCAATGGTGTCTGTAGTTGTCTGCCTCTCTACCAAGGTGATCCCTACATCGGCTGTCGCCCAGAGTGCGTCTTGAGTACCGAGTGTCCGTGGGACAAGGCCTGCATCCGTAATCGTTGCCTGGATCCGTGTCCAGGAACCTGCGGTTCGGGAGCCACGTGCCAGGTGCACAATCATGTGGCCATGTGCCAGTGTCCGGTTGGCTATCAGGGCAATCCGTTTGTGCTGTGCCAGCAAATACCACTCCAGTCACCTGTGGTGCTCCACCCATGCCAACCTTCCCCTTGTGGACCCCACGGTCAGTGCAGGGAAGTTGGCTCGCAAGCTATTTGCACCTGCCTGCCCGGCTTTTATGGAAATCCACCAGCCTGCCGACCCGAATGTGTCAGCGATCCAGAGTGTCCACCGAGCTTGGCTTGTGTGAATCAGAAGTGCCGCGATCCCTGCCCCGGAGCTTGTGGATACCTGGCCCAGTGCCATGTCATCAATCACAGTCCACAGTGTGTTTGCCCTGCTGGATACACCGGAAGTCCCTACTCCCAGTGCCAGTTGATAAGGGAAGATTACACACCAGTTCAACGAGAACCAATCGATCCCTGCCGGCCATCTCCCTGTGGTCCTCATGCCCAGTGCAGTAGTGAAGGAGGCAACGCAGTTTGCCGCTGTCTTCCGGAATACCTGGGAGTACCACCCTACTGTCGACCGGAGTGCATTGCCAACAGCGAGTGTCCCAGCGACAGGGCCTGCATCAATCGGAAGTGCCAGGATCCATGTCCCGGCCTGTGTGGATACAATGCCATCTGTCGCACCTACAACCATCAGCCAAACTGTGTTTGTGCTCCTGGACTGGTGGGCAATCCCTTCAACTCCTGCCTGCCGCCCACACGACCTCAGGTTTCACCAGCACCACCGACAACGGCCATCGAGGTACTTCAGTATGAGGAACCATTGATCAACGGTTGTGAACCCAATCCCTGTGGAGCGAACGCTCAGTGCAATCAGCGGAGGGGAGTAGTCTCCTGCGTCTGTCTGCCCGACTACTTCGGCAATCCCTACGAGGCCTGCCGACCGGAGTGCATTTTGAACTCCGATTGTCCCTCGAGCAGAGCTTGTGTTCAGCAGAAATGTCGGGATCCGTGTCCCGGTACCTGTGGCCTGAATGCCGAGTGCCATGTCCTGGATCATCTGCCACAGTGCAGGTGTTTCAGTGGCTACACTGGCAATCCCTTGGCCTACTGTGCACCTGTTCCAATTGCAATCCAGCAATGTAAGCATCCATATCCATGCGTTCCAAAACATTTCCCCAATTTAGATAATCAATTTATGTCAACCCCTTTAGCACCCCTGACTCCCTGTGATCCCTCACCCTGCGGACCCAATGCCCAGTGTCATCCCTCGAATAATGAAGCCGTATGCTCCTGTTTACCCGAGTTCTTTGGAACTCCGCCCAATTGTCGACCCGAGTGTACCCTTAACTCAGAGTGTGCCTATGATAAGGCATGCGTGCATCACAAGTGCGTCGATCCGTGTCCTGGAATTTGCGGTATTAATGCAGAGTGTCGCGTACACTATCACAGTCCTATATGTTACTGCATTTCTTCGCATACGGGTGATCCATTCACACGATGCTACGAGATCCCCAAACGTAAGAATACAATTGAAGTCTCTTCTGGCATTCAAAATTCGGTTAACCAAAACCCTTACCATTTTCCAATTAAAACAGCTGTGCGACCACAAATATTTGACACGCCTTCTCCTCCCTATCCGGTTGCCATACCTGATCTAGTGTACATACAACAACAACAACCAGGAATAGTGAATATTCCCTCGGTCCCCCAACCAGGATACCCTCCATCCCAGCCGCCACATTATAATGTCAACTATCCAACGCCACAACCGGCTAGTCCCCAAAAACCAGGAGTTGTCAATATACCATCTGTGTCACAGCCAGTCTACCCATCGCCCCAACCACCGATCTATGATGTCAACTATCCAACAACTCCATATCCAGTACCTCAACAACCCGGTGTCGTGAATATTCCTTCCGTACCCCAACCGGTGCCTCCGACATCGCAGAGACCTCTGTTTATACCATCGCCAGCCAACCCAACATCTCCACCTCAGCCTGGAGTGATTAACATTCCTTCAGTTCCACAACCTGGATATCCTACACCACAGACTCCCGTCTATGATGTAAACTATCCAACTACACCGATACCTCAACAACCTAGCGTGGTTAACATTCCATCTGTGCCACAACCAACATATCCTTCTCCGAATCCACCAATCTATGATGTGAACTACCCATCACCACCACCGCCTCAGATTCCAGTACAACCTGGAGTAATCAATATTCCCTCTGTGCCTCAGCCGACACCTCCGTCGCAGCAACCTCCGGTTTATATACCATCACCAGAGCATCCGACTCCACCGGCCAAACCAGGAGTTATAAATATTCCCTCCGCACCGCAACCAGCACATCCTCCTGTTTACGATGTGAATTATCCAACGACACCGCCGCCTACTCCTCAGAAGCCTGGAGTGATAAATATTCCTTCGGCACCTCAACCAGTGCATCCTTCACCCAACCCACCAGTTTACGATGTAAACTACCCAACAACGCCTTCAGTTCCCCAACAACCAGGAGTTGTTAATATCCCATCGTACCCACAGCCAGTGCCACCGTCTCCCCAACCTCCCATATTTATACCATCCCAGGAGACACCGAGACCAACTCCTTCAAGTCCGGGAGTTATCAATATTCCTTCGGTACCTCAACCTGCTCACCCTACGCCACAGGTTCCAGTTTACGACGTACCCTATCCAACACCACCACCTGTGATAACACCGCAACCTGGAGTTATTAACATTCCATCGATACCACAGCCAGTGCCACCGGTTTCTCAGCGTCCCGTGTTTATACCATCACCTGTAAACACGACACCTGCTCCTCAGCCAGGAGTAATAAATGTACCCTCAGTGCCACAGCCAGTGCATCCAACGTATCAACCTCCTGTTGTCCAGCGACCGGCTATATACGATGTGTACTATCCACCACCTCCGTCAAGACCTGGTGTAATCAATATTCCTTCGCCCCCACGGCCTGTATATCCAGTGCCCCAGCAACCGATCTATGTACCAGCGCCAGTTCTTAATATACCGGCACCAAGACCAGTTATACACAACATTCCATCAGTACCGCAACCGACTTACCCACATCAGAATCCACCTATTCAGGATGTCACATATCCTGCTCCACAACCAACCCCTCCAGCACCGGGAATAATTAACATTCCCACGGTGCCTCAACCTGTGCCATCACCCACTCCTGGTGTGATCAATATTCCGTCGCAACCATCTCCACCGATCTCGGTACCAACTCCAGGAATTGTGAATATTCCATCGGTGCCTCAACCGACATATCCACCTTCAAACCCACCTGTTTACGATGTCAGCTATCCCACGCCACAGCCAACTCCTCCGGCACCAGGGATTATCAATATTCCTTCTGTGCCTCAACCTCTGCCATCACCCACACCTGGTGTGATTAATATACCTTCGCAACCATCTCCACCGATCTCGGTACCAACTCCAGGAATTGTGAATATTCCATCGGTGCCTCAACCGACATATCCACCTTCAAACCCACCTGTTTACGATGTCAGCTATCCCACGCCACAGCCAACTCCTCCGGCACCAGGGATTATCAATATTCCTTCTGTGCCTCAACCTCTGCCATCACCCACACCTGGTGTGATTAATATACCTTCGCAACCATCTCCACCGATCTCGGTACCAACTCCAGGAATTGTGAATATTCCATCGGTGCCTCAACCGACATATCCACCTTCAAACCCACCTGTTTACGATGTCAGCTATCCCACGCCACAGCCAACTCCTCCGGCACCAGGGATTATCAATATTCCTTCTGTGCCTCAACCTCTGCCATCACCCACACCTGGTGTGATTAATATACCTTCGCAACCATCTCCACCGATCTCGGTACCAACTCCAGGAATTGTAAATATTCCATCGGTTCCACAACCGACGTACCCTCATCAGAATCCACCTATTCAGGATGTTACACATCCTTCCCCACAACCAACTCCTCCAGCACCTGGAATTGTCAATATTCCGTCACTACCTCAACCTCTGCCTTCACCCACTCCTGGTGTGATCAATATACCTTCGCAACCATCACCACCGACTTCAGTTCAACAGCCTGGAATTATTAACATTCCATCGTTACCTCAACCTACAACTCCAACCTCACAACAGCCGATAAAGGATGTGCAACATGAGACCGCGAAACCTCAACCCACTCCTGGAGTGATCAATATACCGTCCGTTCCGCAACCGACGTATCCAACTCAACGGCCCTATTACCCGGATGTTAGTTACCCAACTCCTCCGCCTCAACCCATTCCCGGAGTGGTCAACGTTCCATCTGTACCACAGACAACTCCAGCTAGGCCCAACTACGATGTGTCCCGGCCAGATTTCGAGTTCAACCCGTGTTACCCATCACCATGTGGACCCTACTCGCATTGTCACAATCGCTTTGGAGTCGCTGCCTGTGTTTGCCTGCCAAACTACAGAGGAACTCCACCCAATTGTCGGCCGGAATGCGTTATTAACTCGGATTGTCCTTCAGCCTTGGCTTGCATCAACGAAAAGTGTCGCGATCCTTGTCCAGGATCTTGTGCCTACAATGCCGTATGCCGTGTGCATGAACACGTGCCGAATTGCTTCTGTCAAAATGGGTACACCGGAAATCCTTTCGTTTCCTGTCAACCCACACCTATAGCACCTGTGGTTCAGCGTGAGCCCGTTGAGGCGAAGGATCCATGTTATCCATCGATTTGCGGTCCAAACGCCGTGTGCAATAATGGAAAGTGCAGCTGTATACCGGAATATCACGGAGATCCCTATGTTGTCTGTCGACCGGAATGTGTTCTCAATACGGACTGTGCGCGGGATAAGGCTTGCATCCGGCAGAAGTGCCAGGATCCTTGTCCAGGAACTTGTGGTCTGAATGCCTTGTGTCATGTGTACCATCATGTGGCCACTTGCACGTGTCCGGAGCAAATGCAAGGAGATGCCTTTGTGAGATGTGACCCAAGACCCAAACCCAAACCTTTTGATCCACCAGCACCACCTACGACTTCGCCAGCTCTCGTGCCGCAACGTGCTCCGATTAATCCCTGCCAGCCTTCACCCTGTGGTCCCAATGCCCAGTGTCGAGCCTTCCATGAGCAGGCGATTTGCTATTGCCTGCCCGATTTCATTGGCACCCCACCCGCCTGTCGACCGGAGTGCACCTCGAACTCGGACTGTCCCCTCGACAAGTACTGCCTGAATCTCAGGTGTCGCGATCCCTGTCCGGGTGCCTGTGGCATTCGTGCCATTTGCCATGTCCAGAACCACGCGCCCTTGTGCGTGTGTCCACCCCAGTTGACTGGTAATCCGCTCCTGTCTTGCCAACCCATAGGTATACCATATAGAGCAACCAAACCAAAGGAACAAGCATCTAACCACCTTACTTTAGTTATTCCCCCTGTAGAACGCGACGAAGTGAATCCCTGCCAGCCCTCGCCCTGCGGCCCGAACTCCGAGTGCCAAGTGACGCCAGGTGGAGCTCGTTGCTCCTGCCTGCCGCAGTTCCACGGCACCCCGCCCTTCTGTCGCCCGGAATGCGTCAATAGCGCCGATTGTCCGGCGGACAAGGCGTGTCGGAATTACAAGTGCATTGATCCCTGCCCGGGCAGCTGTGGTCTCGCGGCTCTCTGTCGTGTGGTGGCCCATAGTCCCGTGTGCTACTGTCGCGAAGGTTATGTGGGCAATGCCTATAGCCTCTGCACTAGACCTGAACCGAGTCCACCTGCCGTGGTGATCCTTCCCTGCAATCCCAGTCCATGTGGCGTGAACGCTTTCTGTCAGCCCCACAATGACTTGAGCGTTTGCCAGTGTCTGCCGGGTTACTATGGCAATCCATCTGAGATCTGCCGACCCGAATGCACCGTCAACTCGGACTGTCCAAGTCACAGGGCTTGCATGAGCGAAAAGTGTCGCGATCCATGCCCCGGAACTTGTGGCATCAATGCCCTCTGTCAGGTGATTAACCACAACCCGGTATGCGAATGCCAGCCGGGTCATGTGGGCAATCCCTACCACAGCTGTCGTCTTCCACTGCGTGAACGTAAGAAGAGATCTCCTTATTCGAGCTATCTAAAACCAACGACCCTAATGCGAATTCTTCCGCTTTGTTTTTTGCCTTCTCTGCCTTACTTTGATATTATAAGCCCATCGATAATACTCTGTGATATTTTGCTGGAACTTTTTAAAGCTGATCTTAATCCGACTACCCCTTAATCCCGCCAACAACAACAACGCTGTACTTAATTCTCCGCCTCAGTTTTTTCTATTTTTAAGTGCCCTAACCTTATCTGCCCATACCATAAGGTTTCAAATCTCATACCGCCTTGACCAAACATTAAAGATGATCTCAAATATCAAGCTACTATTTTGCTACGCTTTTAAGTTTCTCAACGTTTGCTCTTAATATATATTCGCCCTTAATATTCTGTGATGTTTATGATCTCAAGGTGTCTCCATTGAAGCTCTCATCATCAAAGCTCTGTGATATTTTTTTGGGACTTTCAGCAACAACGCAATACTCAATTCTAGACATTAAGCCGATTCTCTTTCAGCTACCTCATTTGTATAATCTCAAAACCATTAAGAGTCCCTTGGATTCTTCCATCGACTATGCTCAGTGACAATATGCTAGCTCTAGAATTATTTACTTAACCTCGCTTTTGGTTGGCTTTAAATCAATGCTTCGCTTTTGAACCGCTATAGTGCAAATGTTAAAAAACCCCCATTTCCTTTAGCCCCCGCACCGGAATATGTGAATCCCTGCCAGCCGTCACCTTGCGGTGCCAATTCCCAGTGTCGCGAGTCCCAGGGACAGGCCATCTGCTCCTGCCTGCCGGAGTTCGTGGGCACACCGCCCTCCTGCCGACCGGAGTGCGTGATCAGCGCCGAGTGTCCGGCGGACAGGGCGTGCATCAACCAGAAGTGCCAGGATCCTTGTCCCGGAGCCTGTGGCCTGAATGCCCAGTGCCATGTCCGTAACCACAGTCCGCTGTGCTCGTGTCAGCCTGGCTTTACTGGAGATGCTCTGACCCGCTGTCTGCCGGTGCCGCCGCCTCAACCACCGAAGTCGAATGATATCCGCGATCCTTGTGTGCCATCTCCCTGTGGACCCTACTCCCAGTGTCGGGTGGTCAATGGCGGAGCCAGTTGCAGTTGCCTGGCGAACTATGTAGGAGCAGCACCCTACTGCCGTCCCGAGTGCACCATCAATGCCGAGTGTCCCAGCAATCTGGCCTGCATCAACGAGAAGTGCCGTGATCCCTGTCCCGGAGCCTGTGGTTTCGATGCCCAGTGTAGTGTCATCAACCATACGCCCAGTTGCTCGTGTCCCGCGGGTTACACGGGAGATCCGTTCACCAGCTGCCGACTGCTGCCACCACCACCGCCCCCGAAGAGTATGCCCGATCTTTACCCTAATCCTCAGACAGTCCCCTCTAAGCTAGGCCCCATTTATCTTTCAGCTCCCTCCGATCCCTGCCAGCCTTCGCCCTGCGGAGCGAATGCTCTGTGCAACAATGGCCAGTGCTCTTGTTTGCCTGAATACCAGGGTGATCCCTACACCGGATGCCGTCCCGAGTGCGTTCTAAACTCGGATTGTCCCAGGAATAGGGCGTGTGTGAACCAAAAGTGCGTGGATCCTTGTCCAGGACATTGTGGAATTAATGCCCTCTGCGATGCCGTCAACCACATCGCCATGTGTCACTGCCCCGAGAGGATGACGGGCAATGCTTTCGTTGTCTGCCAGCCAATTCGCGATGAGCCACAACCGACTCCCAATCCCTGCCAGCCTTCGCCATGCGGAGCGAATTCGCAGTGCCTGGAGAGGAATGGCAATGCCATCTGCTCCTGCCTGGCCGGATACTTTGGCCAGCCGCCGAATTGCCGACTGGAGTGCTACTCCAGCTCCGATTGCTCCCAGGTGCACAGCTGCATCAACAACAAGTGCGTGGACCCGTGTCCCGGTAAATGTGGCTTGAATGCCGTCTGCCAGGCGATTCAGCATAGAGCCCATTGCGAGTGCATCCCGAGATACACTGGAAATGCCTATGTCTTGTGCAATCCCATTCCGGTGCCCAGGAAACCAGAACCAGTTCGCGATCCCTGTCAACCCTCGCCTTGTGGTTCCAACTCTCAGTGCACCAATGTGAACGGCCAGGCGGAGTGCCGCTGTCTGCCGGAGTTCCAGGGAACCCCGCCCAACTGCCGACCCGAGTGTGTCAGCCACGATGAGTGCGCCAATCACCTGGCCTGCATGAACCGGAAATGCGGTGATCCCTGTCCCGGAAGCTGTGGCCAGGGTGCCCAGTGCACGGTCAGCCTTCACACACCCAACTGTCAGTGCCCCGCGGGCATGACTGGTGATCCATTCCGAATTTGCCTGCCCAAACCACGTGGTAAGATCTCCTGAAGAAAAACTAAATTTAGTGGTACAGATATTGATTTAAAACAGTGGTTGTAGGCAATTTCTCTGGCGCTGCGCTGCTAGCGTTTCGACGCTCACGTACGCTGTCAAGCAAACGCAAGTTTGGCCATCACTGATTGAAAATCTTCCTATAACATTTACTTTTAGGGTCCATACTTTATTAAGAATATGACCCCTTGAGATCCCATACTTTTAGGGTCCCTACCAACCCATTTCAACTTACCTGGTTAATATTAAAGTCCTGGTTACAACTGGGAATATTATTTTATAATATTTAAAAAACCCAATATTTCAAAACCCCCCACAAGTTTGCATATTGTAATTAGGCAGGGTTCCTTTTAAGTCTCCCCCCTTTTTATATACCATCCTAACATATGAATACTCCGATTTCAGACGAACCCAAAGTACCGCCTCCTCCCAAGAATCCGTGCTATCCCTCTCCCTGCGGAACCAATGCCGTGTGCCGCGTCCAAGGAGAGAACTACGTTTGCGAGTGCAGCCAACTGGAGTACATCGGCAATCCCTACGAGGGATGTCGCCCCGAATGCGTGGGCAACTCGGAGTGTCCAGCGAACCAGGCCTGCATCCGCAGCAGGTGCCAGGATCCTTGTCCGGGAGTCTGTGGCCTGGAGGCCATTTGCACCATGAACAACCACATACCGGTCTGCTCCTGTCCACCGGGCTACACGGGCAATGCGTTTGCCCAGTGTACCCGTCAGTTGACGCCGCCTCCTCCCTCGGATCCCTGCTACCCGTCGCCCTGTGGACCCAACTCCATTTGCCGCGTCCAGAACGAGAAATCGGTGTGCGAGTGCCTGCCCGGATTCTTTGGTAATCCGCTGGCCCAGGGCTGTCGCCCGGAGTGCACCCTCAGCTCGGACTGTTCGAAGGATCGGGCCTGCATCAACTCCAAGTGCGTGGATGCCTGCGTGGGAGAGTGTGGATTTGGAGCTGTCTGCCAGACGATCAACCACAGCCCGGTGTGCAGTTGTCCCGCCAACATGGTGGGCAATCCCTTCGTCCAGTGCGAGGAACCTCGCCAGGCCGAGCCCGTCGATCCCTGCCAGCCGTCGCCCTGCCGCAGCAATGGAATCTGTCGCGTTTACAACGGAGCTGCCACCTGCAGTTATCCCGAGTGTGTGATTAATGAGGACTGTTCCCGGGATAGGGCCTGCGTGAGTCAGAAGTGCCGAGATCCTTGCCTGAATGCCTGCGGCATCAATGCCATCTGTCGGGCCATCAACCACAAGGCTGTGTGCAGCTGTCCGCCGGAGTTCTATGGTTCTCCGTATGCCCAGTGCCTGCGACAGATCCCAGAGCCACTGCCCAAGCCGGAGTGCGTTAGCGATGGAGATTGCACCAATGACAAGGCCTGCATCAATCAGGTCTGCCGCAATCCCTGCGAGCAATCGAACCTGTGCGCCCAACAAGCGCGTTGCCATGTCCAGCTCCATCGGCCGCTGTGCGTCTGCAATGAGGGATATACCGGAAATGCCCTGCAGAACTGCTACCTTCTCGGATGTCGATCGGATGGCGAGTGTGCCGCCAATGAGGCCTGCATCAATCAGCAGTGCGTGGATCCCTGCGGATTCACACAGTGCGGAACGGGAGCCATTTGCCGAGCGGACTTTAACCACCGAGCCAGGTGTCACTGCCAGGACGGATACCGCGGCAATCCTCTGGTGCGCTGCGAACGTCCTGAGTGTCGCTCCGATGATGAATGTGCCTTCCATTTGGCCTGCCGCAATGAACGCTGCGAAGATCCCTGCAATTGTGGCCTGGGAGCCCAGTGCCGCGTCGAGAATCATCGTGCCCAGTGCCGTTGTCCAGCTGGCTTCAGTGGAAATCCCGCAGTGAGATGCGACCTGGTGCCCTCGCAACCCGAGGGCTGCACCATGGATGCCGAGTGTCCCAGCAAACTGGCCTGCTTCGGTGGCGAGTGCAAGAACCCCTGCGATGTGACGCATCCTTGTGGCGCCAATGCCAAATGCGAAGTGGTGGACACCCTGCCCCTGCGCACCATGATGTGCAGCTGTTTGCCTGGCTTCGTGGGAGAGGCTGACATTGGATGTCACAAAGGTGAGGATCAACTGGATACTTAGGTGTTCCAGCTTAATTTTTATTTATTTCCAGTTTTTATATAAAGTGCTTATACAAATATATATATATACTCGATTACAAAACCCATTTATAGTGATGCACCTCCTGAGCAGTGGCACCTATAAATATTTTGACTGCACTCTATAACTCTTAACTGTTGCACTTTAAACACTTAGCAACCCGATAAGGAGTATAAACATTATGCTAATCTATAATTTCATTACCCAGAACCCCCGCGTGATCAGGGCTGTACGTCGCATGATCAGTGCCAGGATACGGAGGCCTGTCGTGGTGGAAACTGCGTCAATCCCTGCCTGGATGCCTCGCCCTGTGCCCGCACCGCCCAGTGTTTGGCCCAGCAGCATCGTGCCATCTGCAGCTGTCCCGAGAGAACCCAGGGAGATCCCTTCACCAACTGCTATGAGCCACGTAAGCTAATTTAATTTAATTTATTCAATATCCCTGCGCTACAAGTTCACACTTATAATTATCGTGCTAGTCACATTGAGTTCATATTATAAAATTATTACTATTTTTAAATTTTTCAAACAATTTTTTTCACGTTCTTATGTATTATTAATAACTAACATCAAATTTTATTAAAAAAAAAAAAAAATTTTTTTTTATTTTTATTTTTAATTATTTTATACTTGTGTATACTGTGATTTGAAGAGATCTTTAACTCTATTATAAAATTGTAAAATACCCTTGTATTAAAATTCCATCTGAAATCAAACTAAGATTAATCACTAACATCAATTTTTTTTTTTATATTTTTTATTTTTTTTTTAAATTATTATTTTAATTTATTTTATACTTGTGTGTACTGCGATTTTAAGAGATCTTTAACTCTATTATAAAATTGTAAAATAACCATACATTACAATTTCAGCTGAAATCAAGACTGGCTGCACCCACGATTCGGAGTGCCAGCCGAACACGGCCTGCATCAACCAGCGCTGCCAGGATCCTTGTGCCGAGGCCAATCCTTGTGCCGGAAATGCCGAGTGTCGCGTGCAGAACTCCCGACCCATCTGCTTCTGTCCAGCCGGTTGGGGTGGTGACCCACAAGTCCAATGCTACAAACGTAAGTTCTAAAACTAACTCCTTAAAAACTACTTATAATAATATAATATTTAATCCCTCCCCAGCTGAGTGCAAGATCAATGCCGATTGTCCCTATGACAAGACCTGTCTGAATGAGAACTGCGTGGATCCCTGCACCCATGGCCAGGTGCGCTGCGGCAATGGAGCCCAGTGTTTGGCCCAGAACCACCAGGCCGTGTGCATCTGTCCATCCGGAACTCAGGGCAATCCCTTCATCTCCTGCATCACTGGACACTGCCAGTACAACGAGGATTGTGCGGACCACGAGGCCTGCGATCGATTGAATCGCGTCTGCCGACCGGTTTGTGACCAGGAGACCTGTGCTTTGAATGCCATCTGTGTGGGTCGTCGCCATCAGCCGCAGTGCGAGTGCCGACCGGGTTACCAGGGCAATCCGCATGTCCAGTGCGATATACCGGTGAAGACGCCGAAGCCTCAGTGCACCCAGGATGCCGACTGTCCATCGAAATTGGCCTGCATCAATGAGCGTTGCGCGGATCCTTGTGCTACGCCCCATGTTTGCACCCCGCAACAAACCTGCACGGTTCTGGATACCCTGCCCAAGCGCGCCATGGCCTGCAAGTGTCCCGGTGACACGGTCACGGACATCTCCCGCAACTGTGTGCCCATCACAGTGCCCAAGGTCATCACCGGCTGTCAGCACAACTCCGAGTGCGCCAATCCGGAGGTCTGCTCGAATGGCAACTGCCTGGATGCCTGCCGATTGGAGAGATGCGGCGTTAATGCCCAGTGCACCGCAAGGGATCACTATGCCCAGTGTAGTTGCCCCAAGGGCTTCCAAGGAAATGCCCGCATCGAGTGCTACACCACGGAAGTCGATAGGCCGAGGATCCCAAGTCCTGGCTGTTCGCGCAACGACGATTGTGCCGGCGATCAGATTTGTCGCAACGAGATCTGCGTGAGTCCCTGTGACTCGGATGCCTGCGGAATCGGCGCCTACTGCCATGTGCAGCAGCGCAAGGCCATCTGCCGCTGTCCACCTGGCTATTCCGGCAACCCACAAGACCGCTGCCTGCCACGTAAGTGTTGTAACTAAATGCCCTTTTTATACCCTAGCAGGGGGTATTATGATTTCAGTCTGTCCGTTTGTCCGTCTGTCCGTCCGTTTCTACGCAAACTAGTCTCTCAGTTTGAAAGCTGTCTGGCTAAAACTTAAAAGCTTTCTTCTTTCATTCTCTTTCGGAACGACCCGGATCGGAAAACTGTATCATGTAGCTCCCATAGGAATAATAGGGGAAAAAAATTTTAAAAAATGATATCTTGGGTGTGTTTTAACATATAACCTCCTACTTTTGGAAATACAATTTTTTATCTAATTCTGAATTTTAAATTAAATTTTATCAAAATCTGACGACTATATCATATAGCTGCCATAGAAACGATCGGTTAATTAATGAAAATATAATAGAAAATTAATTATTGCTTCGTTGGTTTTTATTGTATTCTCTTTTACTCTGGAATATGACTCTTTTGAAATATTTCCGAATTTCGATTTTAATATTATCAAAATTGAACTACTATATCATATAGCTGCCGTAGGAACAATCCGAAAATTAATGACAAATAATAGTAAATTGAACATTTTTGCAATTTGTAAATTAATAGGAATGATTTGCAAGGGTATATAAGCTTCTTTCTTCTTTGTATTGCCATACTCATTTTGTAAATTAATAGGAATGATTTGCAAGGGTATATAAGCTTCTTTCTTCTTTGTATTGCCATACTCATTTGACTCTCAATCCCTTCCAGCTTCCGATGTGATCCTTGTGGGCTGCAAGTCCAGCACCGACTGCCCCTCGAACGAGGCCTGCATCAACACCCAGTGCGCCAGCCCGTGCAACTGCGGTCCGAATGCCGAGTGCACGGTGAAGAACCACCATCCGATTTGCTACTGCAAGCCAGGATTCTCTGGAAATGCCCAGTTTGGATGCGCACCCATTGGCTGCCAGTCGGACGAGGAGTGCAGCGGCGACAAGCAATGTGTGAACCGCGAGTGCATCAATCCCTGCCTGGCCAGCGATCCGTGTGCCCTGAATGCCGAGTGCTTCGGACGCAATCATCGCGCCAATTGCCGCTGTCCCGTGGGATTGGAAGGAGATCCGTTTGTGCGCTGCCTGCGCCTGGAATGCCACTCCGACTACGACTGCGCCTCGAACCTGGCCTGCGTGTCCAACGAGTGTGTGAGTCCATGTGGTCAAAGGAATCCCTGCGCACAAAATGCCATCTGCCAGGCGCTGCAACATCGCGCTGTCTGCCGTTGTCCTGATCAATTGCCTTTGGGTAATCCCTATGGCTACTGTGAGGCTCGCCATGTGGAGCCAGTGTGCCGGGATGACGGAGATTGTCCCAGCAAGCTGGCCTGCATCGATGACAAGTGCCAGAATCCTTGCACTGAGCTTTCACCCTGCCACCAAAGTGCTAGATGCAGTGTTCTGGACAGCATTCCCGTAAGAACAATGGTCTGCGAGTGCGCCGAGTACGAAGTGCCGGATGCGAGTGGAGCGTGCAGGAAGATGGTGCCTCCTAGACAACCAGGATGCGATAGCGACCAGGACTGTCCCGATCAGGAGGCCTGCATCCATGCCCAGTGCCGCAATCCCTGCAACTGCGGCACCAACGCCGTCTGCCAGGTGACCCAACATCGCGCCGTTTGCAGCTGCCAGGACGGATTCGAGGGCAATCCCTATGCCTCCTGTCGCTCCATTGGCTGCCGCGTCGATGGCGAGTGCGATTCGGGCAAGGCCTGCATCAATGGTGACTGCATTAACCCATGTTTGATCCACGATCCCTGTGGACCCAATGCCGAGTGCTATGTGCAATCGAATCGCGCCCAATGCCGCTGCCTGAGTGGCTATCGCGGTAATCCCTTCGAGCGTTGCCGCGTCATCGGCTGCAGCAGCAACAACGACTGTCCCACGGACAAGACCTGCCAGAACGAGCAGTGCGTCAATCCCTGCGTCTACCACAATCCCTGTGCTCCGCGAGCGGAGTGTCGGGCTCAGAATCATCTAGCCGTTTGCCGTTGTCCCGCCGACTTTTTGGGTAATCCCTATGTGGATTGCCGTCCACCGCCGCAGCCCATCTGCCAGCTGGATACCGATTGTCCCGGCCGCCAGGCCTGCATCAACGAACAGTGCGTGGATCCCTGCGTTGTCCTGGAACCCTGCCAACGACCTGCTCTCTGCGAGGTTACTCCGACATCCCCAGTGCGCACGATGCTCTGCATCTGCCCCGATGGCTATGTGAGTAGAGGAAAGGGAGGCTGCAAGCCGACGCAGGGAATCAAGGATGTTGGCGGTTGCATCTCGGACTCGGACTGTCCGGCGGACAAGTCCTGTCTGAACAGCGTCTGTCGGGATCCCTGCAACTGCGGCCTGAATGCGGAGTGCCGCATCAAGGATCACAAGCCTGTGTGCACATGTCGCCAAGGATTCGAGGGTAATCCAGAGTTCGAGTGCGCCAAGATCGAGTGCAGCATCAACTCGGACTGCCCGGGCACCCACAAGTGCCGCAACCAGCTCTGCATCCCCGCCTGCCAGGGTGAGCAGTGCGGATCGAATGCCCAGTGCCTGGCCATCGAGCATCGTGCGGTCTGCGAGTGCATCCCGGGACATGGAGGAAATGCCAGGATTGCCTGTACCCCCCTGGGATGTCGAACTGATGATGAATGCCCCACGGATAGGGCCTGCGTAAATGGTAAATGCAATGATCCCTGTACCACAACTGCCATCTGTGGCCAGGATGAACTGTGCAAGGTGTACCAGCATCGTCCGCAGTGCGCCTGCCCGCCAGGAACTGTGCCCGGAAGGAATGGCTGCGAGTCGGAGCGCCATGTGCCCATCTGCATCAGCGATGCCGATTGTCCCAGTCAGCGGGCCTGCCTGCGCGGCGAGTGTGTGAATCCCTGCAATGCCACCCAACCATGCGGCGTGAATGCCTTCTGCAGTGTTCGCGATACCCTGCCCGTGAGGACCATGATCTGTGAGTGCCTGGAGGGCTATACGGGTAACCCAGCCGTCCAGTGCGACAAGCGCTCGCTGTGCGTCATCGAGAAGGGCTTCGTGCGCGATGTGGATGGGCAGTGTGTCTGCCCACCGGGAACCGCCTTGGATATCTACGAATACTGCACGCCGTGCCGCGAGGAGCAGGGCTTCCGCATCGACGAGACCGGTCACTGTGTGTGCGCTTTGGAGCGCGGCATGGTGATCGATGAGCGCGGTCGCTGCACTTGCCCCATTGAGCTGGGCTATCGACTGACTCCCCGTGGCGAATGCCAACCGGAGGAGCCGCCCGAGTGCACCAGCAACGACCAGTGCGCCGATAACCGCTTCTGCAATCTGGACACCAAGACCTGCGAGGATCCCTGCCTGACCAAGGTGTGCGGCGTGAATGCCTTCTGCAATGCGGTGAATCACCGGGCCCAGTGCCAGTGCATCACTGGCTACACGGGCAATCCGGAGCTGCACTGCAATCACACCAACTTCCGCACCGACTTCCCGCGACCCGATATGGTGGTCAGCTGCCTGGCCGATGGCGTCCAAGTGGAGATCCACATCACGGAGCCCGGCTTCAATGGCGTGCTGTACGTGAAGGGCCACAGCAAGGACGAGGAGTGCCGGCGGGTGGTCAACCTGGCCGGTGAGACCGTTCCCCGCACCGAGATCTTCCGCGTCCACTTCGGCAGCTGCGGCATGCAGGCGGTTAAGGATGTGGCCAGCTTCGTACTGGTCATCCAAAAGCATCCCAAGCTGGTGACCTACAAGGCTCAGGCCTACAACATCAAGTGTGTCTACCAGACGGGCGAGAAGAATGTGACCCTGGGATTCAACGTATCCATGCTGACTACGGCAGGAACCATTGCCAACACAGGACCGCCGCCCATCTGCCAGATGCGCATCATTACCAACGAGGGCGAGGAGATCAATTCGGCCGAGATCGGAGACAATCTCAAGCTGCAAGTGGATGTGGAGCCAGCCAGTAAGTACCTTAAATATTTACCAGAATTTAATAGAATTTTAGAGGAACCGAAAATAATCATTATTTTTGATTTTTTGAACATACAAATCAGTAATAGGCGGAAAACCAAATGGAATACACCATTTGGTTATTATTTAGATAACGTTTTTAAATCCGCAATGATCATGGTTTTTTGATTTTTAACTGATACTGCTCAGAAATAATCCTTATTTTTGAGTTGTAAAAATAAAAAAATAATGATTATTTGTGAGCGATATTATTTCGCTTAAAAATATCACTCAAAGTGCGATTGCAGCCGTTAATTACGGTCCCTGGAATTTTATGTTTTGTTTGGCTAATCCAAAAAAAAAACAAAAATATAATAGAATGTAAAACTAATCTCTATCTTTTACCACCAGCTATTTATGGAGGCTTCGCCCGCTCTTGCATTGCCAAGACAATGGAGGACAATGTGCAGAACGAATATCTGGTCACGGATGAGAATGGCTGTGCCACGGACACCAGCATCTTCGGAAACTGGGAGTACAATCCGGACACGAACAGCCTGCTGGCCAGCTTCAATGCCTTCAAGTTCCCGTCGAGCGACAACATCCGCTTCCAGTGCAACATACGCGTTTGCTTTGGACGCTGCCAGCCCGTCAATTGTGGCGGCTACAATGCCTTCGGACGACGTCGCCGCTCCATTGCAGACAATTCCACCGACCCAACCGCCATTGCCACCAATTCGGGTGTGGAGGGTCAACTGCGCGAGGAGATCACCATCTCATCGAATGCCATTCTCACATTCGAGAAGCGCAGCGGTCAAGGCCTCAACGATGCCAACAGTAAGTAGTCTTTTGGAGATAATTAAAACCAAACCAGAACTAATATTTATTTTATCTCTTAGTCAAACCGGCTGCTCAGCGAGTCGAGGATATTTGCGTGTCCATGGTGGGACTAATCATTGCCCTGGTCATCACAGCCCTGCTGGCCCTCGTGGCCGTTGCCGTGGCTGTTTCCTGCTGGCTGATGGCCTACAGAAGGAGGCCCAAGACCATTGCGCCCCTGCCCCATCCGCCGGAGTTCCCCAACCCGCTGTTCGCCAATCCTGACGCTGCGCCCGAGCCAACGCCGGACTACATCTCCTAAATCTAACGTAACGATACACTGACATACCAACACACCTAGCTATATCTTTAGACTGTAAGAAAATTGAATGAAAATGAAAACTAGTTGAATATTTGAAAGGCAAGTGCAAAAGGTTTATGCAAAATGCAAAACAGATGAAATCGCGCAAATGATTATCCATATCGAAGAAAAAAAGAAAAACAAAAGTACAGTTGTGAGCTAAAAGTATAGTCGGCTCTGTTGGCCGTAAAACGAAACTATGAAAAAAGATTGAATTGTAAAAAGCAAAAATGACGAAGCGAGAATCGCATGAGCAAAGCACGAAAGTAATTTAGTAGCTTAAGAAAATAATTTTATTAATTGTATTAACGTTTAGTATTCTCCCCTTCAACTAACATGAGAATTCCGCGTAGTGTTTGTACGTTTAGCTGCCACATAGAGACCACAAACTGCCAAACAGACGTGAGGGTAATCACACATAGAGAGAGTGCAGCTACAAACGAATTCTCGTCCTCTAACGACAACTTCTTCATTAGTCGGTTATCAATATTAATACTGTTATATATGTATAACTAAAGACTTCCTATAAATATTTAGGGTGTGGGTAGTAGCAACGACACTTTGTATTATAGCACAGACACACGCACACAACTACTTCCTGTAATTTAGATATGAACTCTACTCGCCCCTTAAAATTGAAAACTGCCTTTAATTTCCAACAAGAACGAACAATGCACCCCTTAATACTCTGTAGCAGTACGTAATAGATCGTTGGGCCCCGATCGATGGGATATTGTTCCGCGTATATCACCCATAACCACTGGACAATATGTCAACGATTGTCCCAGTTGGATTGTAGGCAAGCTGAAGAGTCCAAAACACACACACACACCGAAGAAGAACAGACAACTCCAAGCAGCTTATAAGACTCGGAAACATATCCCATTCAGATTTAGGCACCGACTCAATCGCTAAATGAGGGAACATAACTATAACTGCCACTGAGGCGTCATCAGCGCACAAAAGATACTTATCTATTGCATAGGAAATACTAGGTTTGTTTTAATTTTAATCAACGCAACGACGACTAATGGAGGATTTGATTTTGACCACTGTCCCTCGACCACTTACTTGTACTACACTCTACTATGATTAACCATTATTTTTGTAGTTTTTTAGTCAATTAATATTAAATTGTTGTGATTGTTTTTAATGCAAAAGAGATACTTCCACTAACTTACTAATATGTAGAGACAAAAGTATAGAGAGTACTTAAAAAGGCAACGAACCAGCGCCCCCTTACCGCCCCCCTTTCCTTCTCCATGGGGAGCAGCGCGCCACTGTCAACGCGCCGGAAACTATGCAGCGAATTTCCGTTTCCGGCGCCCGTTTCACAGAGCATGTCTGTTCCTGATGCGATAAAAGAAAGCGGGACTGCGGGATCGGGCCTGGATAATTAAATTATTAAAAATGAAGTTTTAAATTAATATTATTAAACGTAAACAAAATGTATAGTCACTACTTTAAGAAGAAAGATAATTTTCTTTATAGTAAAATACCATACAAAATAAACTCGCACTCAGACACGTACACAAAGAGACAGAATTTGTAAATAATACACAGGCAAACTCTATGGTATTTTTAGTAGCGCATTATTGTGTATAGGTTTCTACACGTTGACTCTCAAATCCGAACTAAATCACAGGCTAACCCTAACCCATGCCAGGCATAAAATTATTTTCTTAATTCCATAGCCAATAGAATATAAAAAAAAAGTGCACAAATTTTACAACCGCCTCGTTCACAATGACAAAAAACTTTTATTTTTCTTCACAAGAACCGCTTATAAATCTGATCCTAACTAGAGTTATATTGAACATAGACAAAACTTTTTGCACTGGCAGCAAATATAAAAGATAAAATAATAAGAGCCACTCTTATTGTAAAAAGAAAACAATAGTTAAATTGTACTTATAAACAAATGTATTTAAAAGGAAAAAACGAGAAACGAAAATAATTGTAATCGCTTATTGTAAACTAATAAATAAATAAATAAATATAAATAAACAAATGCAGGTTGGTTGTGTTTATGACGGGGGTTCACTTTATAATTAAATCACTGTCGACGGCAGTACACGTAGTGACGAAGCACACAAGGAGAAATATATATCAAATAAAAAGACCTCTTAATGAGGTAAAAAACTGGTGACGAACGCACTTTTAACAACATCTGATGTCAACATTTTTGTCGAAATATGAATACATATCAATTTGATATGATGTGTTGTATTTTAAAGTTCTAATATAAAAATTTTTGACGAATAAAATGTTGATATCAAAACTTTTATGCGATCGTCACTGGTTTTTTATATGATTAAATATTCCAGCAGCATTTCAATTGGGCTTGACTTGAATCTGGCCATTTAACTGATTAAGCAGGCATACTTGATATACTTGGCGAAAATTGTAGCTTCTTCTTGGTGGTCATATATAATCTGAATTAATATTCCAGCATTTCGGGACCGAGAACAAGCCTAACCCGTAGGCCCCACTAATGTTACTGGGTCGGCTCTCCGGCAGAGTGGTCGGGCCAGATATGGGAAGAGTGGAGAGATATAGCGGGGCATATATATAGAGAGAGAAGCAGAGAGCGGATCGAGTTTGTGGTGTGCCGCAGCAGTCGCAAGGCAAGTGTAAACGATATTCGCAAACGTGGATTGGATCAGTTGACATTTGACAGCGCGCGTGTTGGCACGTTTTTGGATTCAGTGCTCGGCATTCGGTATTCGGGGCCTCCTCCATGGATCGACGGCTAATCCAAAATTCAGAGCGACTACGCCGGGGCCATTAAGTCGTCGAAAGTGCGGTGTTTCTTGCCAGGGAAATACAGAAAGTTGAACACCCCGAGTATCAAGTATACGCGGCGTTATCTTGATCCGCCCGATTGCCGTTGTCGGTTAATTTAATGTGCGTTGATTATGTTATTACGAGTATTATGATTGAAATTAGGCATTGTTCGGCGAATGAATGAGTGGAGCCACACAGAAATAAATTAAACTGCAGGAAAAAGTGAATGAAAATGAATGAAATTACCATTATTAGTGTCAATCGCTGTCGCTCTGATTATCATAATTAAAGTGTGTGATTATCTTTCGGCTAAGGTGTCAGTTTTTGTTTTTTTTTTTCTGGTCTTTGAGTGCAGCAAAGTAAATCAATAAAAACAGCATTTTATGGCTGTTTGTTTGGGGCAGCAACTGGGCAAACAAAAATGTTGTATAATGGAGAATTTAGCACTAGATGGGCACAGCTTTCATTAACAAGTCGGAGTGCTAATTTCGTACTTTATAGTCCAGTCCGCTACAAGGCGGGAATTGTGCCCGGAATAGAACATCTGTTTAATGTGGCCGCTGCTTCAAAAGTATACACGGTTTACGACTTACAATAAAGTATAAGTATCTTATACGATGTCACTCCCTGTGTGTCCCATTGTTAGACCTCAATTACCAAAACATTTCTCAGGATTTCGCTTTCTCAGCAATACTTCCAGCAGTAAAACCAATTAAGTTATAACATCGCACCATGAGTGATTTATTGGCCGACAGAGGTAATCAATCAGGTTTTTTTTGTTGACGAATTGAATGAAAGCCCCAAAAAAAGCCAAGAGATGATATTTTAAGAAGCTTACACAGTTATGTAAATAGTACCCAGCGTTGTTGGAATGTTTTCAAGCTAAGTTTAATCGGTCTTTATTCGTGCCTCGCGCTCTAGTAGAAAATTTACATATTTACTACTTGAGTCTGGCTGATTTTCATATTACAACGAAACCCCCTAGCGTGCTTCGGCACTTGATCTGTGATATATGATATACGGTTGGCAAGATGCGTAATTATTAATTATTCTCTGCGAACTCAGTGACCCTTGAGCCTCGGTCGCGACCGAAAAGTCACTGGAGCAAATCGCATGCCTATGACGTAGTGCCGCGGTCTTTTTCTTCTTTTTTACACAAGCGGAAACTTTCAAATTCATTTTGTTGTCATACGTAGCCATCAAAACGAAAGCAGTCCGAGAAATGCTTTTCAAGAAGGCGGTTAGAGGGAGGGAGAGGCAACCTTTTAGGGCCAGGCCGCCGATAAGATACAAATTTGTATCTGTGGAGTCAAGTGCGAGCTGCTATTTACCTGTGTGTGTCCAAAGAGCTCGTGCTGGTTTATCTGTGGCGGTGATAAAATAAAATAAAAATGGGACAAAACTTCAGCTTGTTTATTTATATAAATAAATATGAAAAAAAATCATATATTAAGAGCTCGTATAAATTCCGCACTTAAAAAAAAGTTTTATGGTTTAGCAATGAGTTGGGAAAGTGAATTCTGCCGAAAGTGATAACATTTGGCTGAGCTGCTTATCAAACAACAACAAAAATAAAATAAAATATTACTAAATCGGTGAGGGGATAACAAGTTATTTAGTTTTTAATTTAAAACGCCACTTTCAAGAAAGTAATCACCTCTATTTAAGCAAATAAAGATAACTCGTGCTGGCTTTCACATGATTTAGTTTATTTTGATTTAAAAGCTCAAACTCACGCGGCAAACAATAACAACGTTGTGCAATTCAAGGTTTAAATGTGATTTAAAATTGTGTCAACCAGTACTCGCAATCTGCGATTGCGAACATTAAAAATGATAGATATAGATATGAAAGCGGCCCCAGCATCAGCGAACCAGTGCGAAAACCAACAGCAGTCGACGTTCAAAATGATGTTATGATAAAGCGACAAGCAAATAGCAGCCAGCAACTAGCAACACAGCAACTAGCAACCAGCAACTAGCAACACAGCAACATAGCAACACAGCGACAACAGCAACACGAATTTCCCGCCTCCCAGATGGCGGACAAAAAAGAAGCCACCACACCCGACCAGGTGGTGATCAGTCGTGCCCCGCCCACCGGCTTAACGCCCTTGAGGCACAGCCAACTTTCGGATAGCGGAGCGGAGAGCTGCTACGATGGCGACGAGCAGGCGCGACTGATCCGCTCATCCTCGTCGCGGGCCCACAAGTTCATCATCATTCCGGCCACGCCGGGAACTCCACCGGGAACGGTTTCCGGAGGATCTGGACCTGGAGCACTGCCCTTTCGCCAGACCAGCTCCACCACCTCGCTGGTGGCCATGGCGGCTGCTCTGCACAAACAGCCGCCTCATCGCCAGGCAACGCCAGTCAAATCCCGGCCCAGTTCGGAGGTACTGCAGCCGGGCCAGGTGCAGACTCAGCCACCCATAGCCGCCGAATCCACCTCCACGGTGACCTTCACCATCGACGATTGCGATGGGCAAGTTGCTGGTCTTGCTACCGTTCCCGTGCCCGCCATCTCACCCACTCCCGCCACCCTGACCTGCACCACCACCACCACCATGGCCGGGGATGCGGTGGCCATGTCGCCGCTCAGCATGGATCTGCGATCCCGGATAGGCAGCCACCACAGTAGCATGCGCTCCGTGGTCTCAGGTTGGTGACCTCCACTTCCCACCACCCTCATATTGAGTTTCCAAGTACTTTTATCTAATTGGTCGCACTCAATTGCTTTGCTTGGAAACCCCTCTAAATCTTTTAATTACATGCACTTGAAGAGGCATTTGAAAATGTTGTCCTACATATAATTAAATGTCTAGCTCTTAAGTACCCTAGTATTTTGTAGTGAAAGTTAGTGGGGTTTGAAAACTAGACCTAAGCTAAAACCTTTAGTAAGAACCATAAACCGCAAACCAAAAACGGTAGTTGAACAAACCACAAATTGTATTGTTATTACATTATACAATGTTCCAATTTTAATGCCCATAAATAACTGACTTTGAAGCCTAGAGATTTAGAGTAAAAACTAAAGCAAACAATTCTGTTTGCGGTTGTAAAGTACTTACATGAATGATTTCTATACTCTTTAAAAGAGTTCTGTAAATTGTAAATCTATTTTCAAGAAATTGAAGCAATTAAAACTTATAAAAATTCCAGAGATAATAACAAGATTTTATATTATAAAACAGTTGAAAAATTCAATTTATTTAGTTATCTTCAATTCCATAAGTGATATCACTAATATTCTCATTAAAATAGGTCTTAGAGATTATCTTTCACCTGTAATTAAATCGCAAATGTTTTCCCAAATCCCCTGCAGGTTACCTTCCGGGTCTGAGCGACAGCAGCGGCAATCTGGTCGGAGGCATATCGATGCCCACTTCCGGATTACAGGCCCCCAATCCGCTCTATATGCAACCGCAGGCCTCGCTGAGCGGCAGTTCCTATCAGTTTCACGACCTGACCGGCAACCAGATCTACTCCGATGTGACCTCCGTTCGCTCGCTGGCCTCCATTGGCATTGGGTCCACGGACGGACGCAAGCTGGTCATCCGGCGAGTGCCCACCACAGCCAACGAGCTGTTCGACATGGTCAACCCGCAGACGCCGCCGTAAGTAAATTCAAAAAAATTTAATTAATCACACATAATCTACATAAAAAGTTAAAAAAATGCAATCCAAAAGCCTCTTTCTGAGCAAAATATTTTTTTAAATAAATAAATATTACAACGCGAATTCTTTACAAAAAGTGGTTTGAAGATTAGATAGTCATCAAATTTGCTTCCAAATTGAAAATCAGTTTACAAAAATATTTGGTTCCTAAAAATATGATCTTAAAATATTGTACAAAAAAAATTTAAAAATAAAAAAGTAATATAATTAAGTTCAGAATTATCACAACGATTTTTTCTCTGCGTATAGTTAGGCCCATTAGCCTGACAAAGGGGCGCCAATAAAACGATCTAACATTTGTGGCAAATTTGGCCAGCATTTGGCACCTTAGCATAGAAAGCCAGTGTTGAGCATTTGGCAAACAGGGGATTTTAACACCCTTGTGGCATCTTTGGGCGCGGGGTCCACATGATTGCCAACGGGCCCGAAACGTGCCGATCGCGCATCAGCTATTTTTAAGCAACGTTCCTTAACGAGATCAATAGATCGATTCGAATTTCGAACAGTAGTGTTTGTGTTGACCAGAGCAATTACCACTCCCCATTGTGCGCTCCATAAACGGCGAGATTTCAGGTCGAAACCCGGCGGAAAAGTGCCGGATTTGTAATCAGTAGCGCGCTGATCCACAAACCGTTCAGTTCCCAGTTTCCAGTTTCGTCCCAGTATCCTCGCTCCGAATATCCCTGGCATCCAGTGATGGCCACATGGATACCGTGATATTTCCAAGGAAGCATCAGAAATAACTCCTGCAAAACTAAGGATATCTAAGATTGTAGCAAGAGCTTAAGCCAAAGGATTCTGATATATTTGAAATGCCAAATCGCCAGGACTACGATGTCCAGTCCTCGAAGCACTCGGAGCAGTCCTTCTTCCGCTTCAACCGGGTGGCCAAAGTGTAAGAATCTGTCTGTGAAAAACTCCAGTTGCATAACATCAGGCCATTTGATGGTGATCAATAAATATCTGGGTACATATGGATGTGATCGTGGGATTTATTTGCCCTGAACATTAGCGATGAAGCGCTGATTAAACATGAATGATTATTTAATGGTTAACCAGACTTAGCACTACTCCACAAAAGGAGAGTAAATATATCGTTATTTTTTTTTTAATACTTACCTTACCTTACCTTACTTATATAGTGCCACCCAAAAAGTTTTGATATACCAAGAATTTTTAAAGAATGATAATAATTTAAATTAAACTTTTTTTTGGTAATAACGATATATACTTTATTGTTTGAAGTGAAATAAGAATAATTCCATAAAGCAAATTACTATAAACCGTGTTGAAAAGGATTTATTCGGCATGCGAATAATCACAGCTGCATATTTTCAATATTTCCCCGATTTAATCAAAACACTTAAATGGGGGAATCAGACATGAACCGCTGTTTAATTCGTGACACCTCCACCCACAACCGATTGCACCCCATTCAGCAGCCACCCATGACATGACAACCCCATCCCCATTCCAGATTGTGCGGGCACAATGCACCGCCAGTTGGCACCTCCAATGGAATGGCCAGTGCCAGTGGCCAGCCCCCACTTTGTGGGTTTGTGATCCATGTGATTACTGCAATTAAGCCATTTGACGCATCAACTAATTTAGTGTGTGCTCTATGCATTACATATGTATGATTATTTTTAAATCTCCCCCACCCCTTTCTTTTCAGACCCCTGGGCATCGATGACGACGACAGCTACTTGGACATGTCCGACGAGACTGCCCACCTGAAGCCGCGCCAGCAGCACTGGGCCAACAAGATGCAGTTCGTCCTGGCCTGCATAGGATACTCGGTGGGACTGGGAAATGTTTGGCGGTTTCCCTACATGTGTTACAAAAGTGGCGGTGGTGAGTAGGAAAATACTAGGGGTTATAGCATGGTTTAAATTACAATACTTTTATTATAAGATAAAGTCCAATAATTTAGCTAAGTCAGAAATAATTGCTAGATTTCGTATTATATGCACAAACGTATTCTAAACCCCCAATTCCTAGAGGTTTTTGATTAAAGATAAATTGTTCTCCAAAAAAAAATTCATAATAATATTTAAAATCTATAGAAATAAATAAAAAATGTATTTTAAGTAAGTTCTCATGAATTCGAATGTTAAGAATACTGTGTTGCTTATAATCTGACGTCCATAATACTTAAATAATATATATCATATTAGAAACTTCCATTAGTTAAACTACCCAACTTATTCTTAAACGAAACCTATTTATACTCTTATCTGTGCCTCAAAAGAGGTCTCCGATTCAATTGAGAATTAAATATAGGGGTCGGTCGTAGGCAGTTTCACGATTCCCACTGAACACTCGACTTTTCCCGGGAAAGGCTTAGCGGAAGTCCCTCGTGAGAGTCCAACAAGTGACTAAGAAGAGTGCCGTCAAAAGCACATGCGATAAGGCTGATATTGAGATAGTTACTTTGATTTCGTGCGACATCTTTTTTAGTTTGTTTGTTTTAGTTGCTCTAAAAACATTTGACAATTTTGCGCTTTAAGCGGCATTTCCGCTGAAGCGTTTAAAAGCCATAAATTAAAATTTGTTTAAGCTCGAGAGCAGCGAGCATGGTTCTCCATGGAATAGAGCGGTCACTGTCATCATTTCGACGGTGTTTCTCGATCACGCGAGCTCGGAGGCCTGCGTCCATCTTCATTTGCACTTGGAGACTCGGCTTGGCTTGGCCCCCATTATTTACATTCCTCATTTCTCGAGGGGAATGGGGCTTGGAAATGGGTATGGGAATCGTAATGAGCTGGTCCGGCTCAAAAGGAAACTGGCACACGACCTCCTGGTAATGACGCGTAGAGCGATAGACAGTAGCCTTATGCAATTTGCATTTGTTTATGTCAAATATTTATAATTAATTTAAATTATTTGCTTAGCTGCTCTCCCCCATGACTACACGTACATAAATTTCTCGCTGTTTTTTGCTATTGCTTACAGGTGTTTTTCTAGTACCTTATTGCATAATACTGTTCATATGCAGCATTCCGCTGCTCTTCATGGAGCTGTCTGTGGGCCAGTACACCGGAAGAGGACCCATCGGGGCACTGGGTCAACTGTGTCCACTGTTCAAAGGTGAGTTGAGAAGATATTTTATTATTAAAAATTTAAAATACATTTCTATATACTACCTAGTAGATAGGGAATATATAAATATGTTGTACTATTATACTTAAATAGCAATAGAATAAGAATAAAAAAACAACTATTCAAAAATGTATTCTCTTGGTATTACACGTAGTTGATAAAGATATTTTCTAATACAACTTTTTTAGAAATATTGAAATAATAGAAATATCAAAAATTTTCATTACACAATTAAATGGCGTATGCTTTATAATTATCGAAAACTATGACGTATACGACCAGGTGAACAAACGTGAATTATAATACAATTATTTAAAAATTTATTATCTTTGTATTACACGTAATTGATAAAGATATTTTCTAATACATATCTTCTTTTAATAATAAAATAATAGTAATAATATCAAAGTGTTTTATTACACTACAAACTAATCTAACTTTGATTAACATTTTTTTAAAAAATGTTTTCAAGTTCAAAACTCCCTTTTTGAGCTCCGAATCGATTGCGTCACCTGTAAAAAGGCGTCACGCTTTTCAGAACTTTAGAAACCCCCCGTCAAAACAATGGGAAACTAGGCTTGCCCAACCACCATGACAAACAGAATGGAGGGCTCGGGCCCGCTGTTTTGGCCAAGTCCATGGTCAAGGCTAGAAAAATATTTAGTTAGCTTGGCGAACACTGTTTTGCGCTCTGATTTACACCGCTTATGGGTATCCGTATCCGTAGTGGTCAACCTTCCCGTGCGATGCTCCACTTGCATTCGGGCGGAAGCTAATTAGCTGGGTCATTGTTGTGGAGGTGGCGTGAAAACCCGAAGGTAAACCGGGAAAAATTCACCCCCTCCCCCACTGGGCTGAAGGCTACGTCAATCATTACAGCCGTGAGTCTAGGAAAAAATATATGTATATAATACTTTACAATGCATTTTGCCAAACGCTTAATTACTGTCAATATTTTGCAAGCAAACCACGCCCACGCGACCATTGAAAAGGCAGAGCCAGCAAGCTAATAAATATTAATAACGTGTAAAACTATTTAGCTAAGATTCGCGTTCCAATTGTCGTATGTGGCCGACACACGGCCAATTATGCAGATGAGTGCCAGTCTAGACATGTGATTCCGATTCCAAACGAAACCGGTCCGACTTTCATCTGGCCTAATTAAGGCTAATTTTTTGTATGCTCAACTCAATGCAACAGTGCAACACGTATCGCCATAATATTTGGCTGCAACCTATTTGTATTTTGGGGTCATGTATACCCCAATCTTACTTATCCGAGGTTTCCTTCTGCCTCCTCAGGAGCCGGACTCGCCAGCGTGGTCGTCTCGTTCCTCATGTCCACCTACTATAGTGTCATCATAGGCTACTCCATCTACTATTTCTTCACATCGTTCAAAACGGAGATGCCCTGGATTGACTGCAGCAATAGGTGGGTTCTTGAAATTCCTTTTAATTCTTTTAATATCAATTGGTTTTTCCAGATGGAACACACCTGATTGCTGGGTGCCGCAGCGCAAGGAGATGAATGCCAGTGCTCCAGACACATCTCGCACTCCCTCCGAGGAATTCTTCGAGTAAGAAAATATATATTACAATACCTATGAAAATAACCACTTTGAACCCACCTAATTATTTTCGCTAAATAGTTCTCATATTTTAAATTCTTTTGAATTCGACAAAAGACAAGATAAGAACTATTTGTTCTAAGTTGAAATATCATATTTAATATAGATACTTATTTACAATATTAATTTTTATCAGAACCCACTGTTCTCTGTATGCTGTAATTGTTGTTGTATACTTTTTAAATAACACATTTCCTCCCACTTTTTACTCCGGGGAGTTATACCCAAAATCATCCCTATTTCAAAGCCCCTAAAGTTTAATAAGAACATTCTTTAACATCGAAATTCTTTAATATTCATCGATTTCTGATCCTTTGATCTCCTCTTCCAGAAACAAGGTCCTTCAGATTAGTGGTGGCCTGGAATATCCTGGCATGATGCGCTGGGAGCTGTTCGCCTGCCTGATCTGCGCCTGGCTGATGGTCTACTTTGCCACCTGGAAGTCGATCAAGTCGTCGGCAAAGGTGCGCTACTTCACGGCCACCTTTCCCTTCGTACTGATCATCATCCTGATGGTCAGGGCTGTGACCTTGGATGGGGCTGCCGAGGGCCTGCGCTTCTTCTTCCGGCCCAAATGGTCGGAGCTGAAGAACGCCAATGTGTGGATCAATGCCGCCTCGCAGAACTTCAACTCGCTGGGCATCACCTTCGGATCCATGATCTCCTTTGCCAGTTACAACAAGTACAATAATAATATCCTGCGGGACACGGTGGCGGTGAGTGCGGTTAACATGATCACCAGTCTCCTGGTGGGCATCTTTGCCTTCTCCACGCTGGGCAATCTCGCGCTGGAGCAGAATACCAATGTGAGGGATGTGATAGGCGATGGACCCGGGATGATCTTCGTGGTTTATCCCCAGGCGATGGCCAAGATGCCGTATGCCCAGCTCTGGGCGGTCATGTTCTTCTTCATGCTCCTCTGCCTGGGTCTCAACTCCCAGTTCGCCATCGTGGAGGTGGTGGTCACATCGATTCAGGACGGATTCCCGCGTTGGATCAAGCGGCATCTGGGCTATCATGAAATAGTGGTCCTCTTCGTCTGCGTCATCTCGTGCCTCTTTGGAATGCCCAACATCATCCAGGGTGGCATCTACTACTTCCAGCTGATGGATCATTATGCCGCCTCCGTGACGATCATGTTCCTGGCCTTCTGTCAAATGATCGCCATTGCCTGGTTCTACGGCACCGGAAGATTGTCGAAGAATGTCAAGCAGATGACGGGGAAGGCGCCTTCGCTTTATCTCAGATCCTGCTGGCTGGTCCTGGGACCTTGTCTGCTCTTCGTAAGTGATTATCAGACTTTATTGTATGGAATAAATCTTATAAAATAGTTTAATTGACTTTAAGGCCATCTGGGTGCTGAGTCTGATCAACTACCATGAGCCCACCTACCACAATGGACGCTACACCTATCCGGATTGGGCCTATGGAATAGGCTGGATGTTCGCCTCCTTCTCGCTGATCTGCATACCCGGTTATGCGGTGATCAACTTCCTGCGCTCCAGTGGGGACACCTTTTGGGAGGTAAGTTGGAGGTGTTATATCTCTACACAGGAAAAAAAATGGTAATGGTCAATTTGATATTTTTTAAAGATCAAGTTATTCATATCATTTTGATATGAATAAAGATTATAGTAATCTTTTTCATATTATTTGCTCAAGAAAATACTAAATTGGGTACTTTTTCTGATATGATAAAATATCATGTTAATATGTTTGAATATTAAATTTGACACAAATCATATCGGCTTTTTATTGATATGAAATAAGGTAGAAATAACCCTATTTCATTTCTGTGAAATAAGGTAGAACTAACACAATTACATATCTATGAAATAAGGTAGAAATAACCCTATTTTATATCTAAGAAAAAAGGTAGAAATAACCCTATTTCATATCGGGTTTTTTCTGTGTAATGACATAATATATTAAACGATTCTTTTCCAGCGCATCCGGAACACGCTGAGACCAAACATCTACGAGTGCAAGATCTGCGGCGAACACCACTGCGAACACGACTTTCCCGAGCAGGAGCAGTTCATGCTGGCCCAGGAAATGGCCACCATGTACAAGCCAACCAACCACCACCTGCTCCATCACGGCCAGAAGTCTGGATACAACGCCATGCACGCCTCATCCTCTCATGCGGAGGCTGGTGGACCCAGTGGCCCATAGCTTTTAGGAACCTCTTCCAAAATTAGCTATTTCTGAGTATTTTTAACGAATCATTCTTGTAAGTTAACAGCAGAAACTAAAGTATTTAAATAAATTGTAGTACGAGACGATTGGATTTAAATGGGTTTTTTACGTTTTATTTTACAGAATATTTAAAAGTATCTTTGATCATAATAATCTTTAATATAATACATTATGAGAACAATAATATCTGAGGACATTAAATATCCATCACTATAGCTTTTGCACATATTGATATAGTACATCGAATTCCTCCAACTTGGGCACGGCGTTAAAGGTGCTCCTCGTGCGGCAGTATTCGGCATAGATAACCAAACTCTGGCGAGGAACGACCGGCGGACGCACGCTGAGATAGGAGTCAGTGCCGTAGTCACTGAGCGGACGCAGTGTAATGCCCCGCATAATCTTGGCCAGCTCTTGATCGCGCTGCGCAACGGCTGTCTGCGCGGGTCTTGCTCCTCCGCTGGACAGCTTGCCCATCTGGACGTACTTCTTGTAGACAGCCATGCTTTGCTTGGAAGGCGCACTGATGGTGCACCCGTATATTTCCTCCATCGAGGGCAGACCGGAGGCCAGCGTGGCGGCAGCAGGTTCTGTCAACTCCGTTTGATTGGCCTCCTTCTCGGCAAAACTGGCACTCAACTCCTCGTCGCTGGAGCTGTCATCGCCCTCGCTGGAACTGGATGAGTTGCTGTTCATCGATCCCGTAGAGCTTTGTCCCGTCATCGAGGGATTCTGGCGGGCCTTTCGCGAGTTCTGAATCTGCCGCTGGAATGGGCTGTAGTTCGTGCGGAATGTGGGCATATATCGCAGTGCCAGCTGGCTGATCTCAAAGGCGATGTGCTCGCTGAGATCAGTCCACTTGAAGGACTGATGGTAGTTGGAGTAGGCATCGATCATTTCCAGGCCGCTGCTGTGCACGCGAAACAGCTCCTTGACCAGTTTATTGGAGTCGGCACACGAGTGGGGCAGACACTCGCGAACCTTGTGGCGCACCCAGTCGGTGAGGGGCTTGCTGTCCGTACTGGGCACAAAGGCGTTGTGCATGTCGTAGTCCGTCTGCAGTTCCCAGATGGGTTGACCCTCTGCGGGAGAAGACAGATTTAATAGTTTGATTGATTCTTAAGTAGTGTCCTGCGTGAATCATTAGATTTTTGTTTTATCATAGTATGCCATGAAATTTCTGATTTGTTTAATGTTTTTCTAATTCATTTCGAATTGAATAGATAGATTAATTGTAATGTTAACTGCTTAGAAAATAAAATTCATGCAAATCTAATCACAAAATGATGGCCCTTCCTTCTTAAAAAAGAAATTTTCGTTTGAAATATTTCGGAATTCATGCCATTCATTCATTCAATTCTATTTAACTCAAAATTCAAATTCATTAAATTGTATTAAACTCAAAATTCTAATTAATTCATTCATATAATAGAAAAAATTCAAAATAATTCATTGAATCCATTCATGCAGGGCTCTATTCCCAAGTGACTATAGACTTACGCTTCGTCAAACTAGGCTTATATATGCCCAAGAACAAGTTGATGCTGTGCTGCTTTTCGGTGTCGCTAAACGTGTTGCTGTAATAGCGACTGAGGGTCTGCATCACATCGCTACCCTGGGATCCCCAGGGGGCCGTCTTCCGGTATGTCTTGATCCTATGCACCAGCTGCGAGCCGCCGTACTGCAAAGCAAGTGTATCGCCATGCTCCTCGTACAAGTTCTCCAGCATGGTCACGCAATCCGAGTCGAATTCCAGCTTGGCGGACTTAACGAAGCCCAGCCGCTCCAGCTGATGACCCAAGGCACACTTGCCAATGGCAAACTGAGCCGAGTTGGTGCGATCCAGGCAGTCCACGCAGTTGGTGCGCACGATCCCGGTCTGCAAGCCCGGCTCACTGCCCGCCGCCTTGAAGAACATGCCCGTCATCTGGACAATGCTCTCGGCGTGAATGGCCAGTTGCTCCATGACGTTGCCGCCGCTCAGGCGACTCTGTCGAGCCATATCGAAGTGGATGTGCTTCATGCGATAAGGCGGAGGCAAAAACTGATTTAGATAGCGAATGCTGTACTCCAGCTCCTTGGAGATGATCGACTCGTGCTTGCGTCGCTCCCTTTTCTTCACCAGATTAAGCATAATAAGCGGTGCACCGTAGTGGAAGAGCAGGCGTTCGAAGTGAAGCGACGGGGTCTGCGCGTAGGGATCGCAAATGTCCAGCTGAATCTGCGGCTTGGGCACCATCTTGCTGATATCCTGCGACCAGTGCGATGGTATGGAGCCTCGCATCTGCGTGAAGGCACACATTCGCTGGCCATCGCTGACGATCTGCTCCGTCTCCACCTCGTTGGCCACATCGCCTTGAAAGTTGGCTCCCCGCTTGAGGAATCGTGTGCCGGCGAAGCGTGAGCTCCGGCGGGCCACCAGGCAAACGTTGACATGCCGCCCGAAGATGCTGATGCAGGATTGGCTGACGAAGCCGTGCGTGACCTCCAGGAGCCAGTCCTTCAGCATGATGCCCTCCATGGGCTGCAGCAGATAGGCGTTCCAAACGAAGCGCTTGCGGGAATCGCTGCGAAAGGCGTAGTCCACGCGCTCGTGTGCCTTTGCCACGTTGTTGGTTAGGGTATTCCAGTCGGGCAGCGGTTCATCCCGGTCCAGGTCCACCTTGGCGCCCACGAAGCGGGGGGCAGACTCATTGTACTGCAGCGTACGCGTCAAGTCGTAGGAGTACGAGAAGTAGAAGTTGCTGCGCAAATCGATGTTCTGGAACATCCGCTTGTAGCGATCCTCGTGCGGATGCGGCGGTCGCTGCGAGGTGACCTCGTTCACGCGCACCATCACCGTGTCCTTGATGGTGTACACCAGGTGGCGACCGATGTGGGCGCAGCACTTGCGCTTGGTCACCAGCAGCAGGTAGTAGCCCTCGAGGAAGCGCACGAATCCCAGGACTCCGTAGGCGGATGTTACCTTGGGCGAACCGGTGAGGGAGGCCACAAAGCGCCGGATCTCCAGGCTGTTGAACTCGTTGGCATTCTCCTCGATGCTCAGCCGGTTGTGGGCCAAGCGGTCAATGGTCAGGAGGCGGAAACGAGTCTCCCTATTGTTGCTGCCCACCAAATAGAGGCGCTGAAATGATGAGTAAGTACTGAATTAGTCGGGGGAAGGCTCTGCTGGTCTGGATCTCTCACCGCTCGAGTCTCGTAGAGCACCACCTTCTGGATGCAGCTTATCAAGGGATTGAAGACTATATTCGGGGTGTCATTGTTCATTTTTCCTCGCTTTTTCGGGACTCTGTTTTGCTCGAATTCCTGAGGCCGCTTCCACATAAACAAAAATCAGCTGATCAGCTTGCATAGAGATGCGAACTACGGCTAGTGATGACAGCGTGAGAGCGATTCGATTAATTTAAAAAAATATATTTATTTATTTATATAGAAGCAAATAGCTTTTAATAATCAATTAATGACGAATTTAAGAAGAAGCGAAATAGTAATAGATTAATAGCGTCAGAGCGAAGAGGTGTATTCGATTAATTGAATAAAAAAATTTTTTTTTATAAATCAAATATTTCTTAAGAATAAATTAATAAAGAATTTAAAAAAAAGATTTAATCCCACATAAAATTGAAAGAAGTGGGGACAAAAAATATATATTTTGTATCAAAAATAATTTTCAAAACTTCATAATACTTCAATACTTATGAATACACAACTGTGGCCTTAATCATACTAAATTACTTTGGTCTATCTTAAAGCAATGCTTATCCGTGAGCTTGGAGGATATGTCTTCCAAGTGTTCTTCTCTGCTTAAAGGCACTGGAACAGTGGGAACACTTAAATGTTTTCTCCGAACTGTGAACGAACAAGTGTTCCCTGAGGGTGCTTCTGAGACCAAAGGACTTGGAGCACTGGGAGCACTGAAACGGACGATCTCCTGAGTGGGTGCGCAGGTGTTCATTGAGATGCTGCTTCAGGGCAAAGGACTTTTCGCACTGGGAACACTGGTGGGGTCGTTCGCCAGTGTGAGAACGCAGATGGTTTTCCAGGTGAAATTTCCTGGTAAAGGTTTTCGAGCAATTGGAGCACTTGTACGGCCTTTGTCCATCGTGCGTGCGGATGTGCCGCTGAAGATCTGAGGATTTAATAAAGGTCTTGGAGCACTGGGAACACTTGTACGGACGTTCGCCAGTATGAGTCCTTTCGTGCGACTGCAGAGTGGCCTGCTGGGCAAAGGACTTGGAGCAGTGGGAACACTCGTAGGGCTTGGCCGAATTGTGTGTTCTCATGTGCGCCTTGCGAGTGACCCGATATCTAAAGTTCTGCGTGCAGTAGGGACAGGGAAAGGATAGTCCATCCTCGTGGGTTCGCATGTGCCTTATCCAGGTGCCCTTGCGTTTGAATCTCTTTGAGCATTCCCGGCATTTAAATGAGAGCTCCGTCCTGTCGATTTTCTCCTCATCATTTAGATCATCATCTTCGGAACCATATTCCTTCCACTTGCCTTCATCTTCTGATAGCTCCCACTCCTCTTCTTCGAGCAAGGTGCACAGTGCCTCCTCGATTCCTTCATCCCTTACTTGGCAGTAGAACTGGTGACTCCTCTCACAGGTTTGTCTTATGGAAAAGGCATTCTTGGCATCCTCCAAACACGGTGGACATATAGTTTCCGGAAGCGAATCGCCACGTCTAACTTCGTAGCCAGTACATTGTGCAATCATCTCGGCAATGGAAACCCTGGTCTTTCGCCGGGCATCAAATATGTTCACCAAGTTATCCGTAACTCCCAGGCAGACACGACAGATTTGCTCCATGTCCCTTATGAGAAAAAAGATTAATAACCAAACCTTTTTCATAAATTTTTATGCGTACCTGATCTTCCAATTTAAGAACTGGGTCTGTTCTACGTTTTACTCCTCGATATTTAACTAACTAGAGGAACTTTTCCGTTTTAGCCAGTTATTTTAATGCTAATCTTTAACTAAGCTCATTTCTTTGGTGTATTATAAAAATACAAAAACATTTCCATGGAAGTTTGTTTACAATGTGCAGAGTGCACTAGCTACCCTGTGCTCATCGCGATATGCTCTATCGATTTAATATCGAATTTTGAAATTAAATTTAATGCTAAACTATTTAAGCAAATTATAAGATCTTCAAATAATAGTTATAACAAAAATATGAGTCATTCGTTGTTTTAGACTAACATTTAGTGTAATAGAAAAATAAACAGCTTCCAGCTTAATTAAAAAAAAACTAATTCAAAAAATACTTCTTAAAACATACGTTCTTAAAATGATTTTAAATTGAAATCAAAATGTTATTGATCCGAATTCTTATGACTAAGAAGATGTCTGCGGAGTCCCTTCTTTTGGGTAAAGCACGTCTTGCACTCCGAGCACTTGAATTCCTTTTTCCTGCTGTGGGTTCGCATGTGATCCTTGAGCGTGGTGCTGTGCCTGAAGGACTTCGAGCACTGGGAACACTTGTAGGGTCGCTCGCCCGTATGAGTGCGGATGTGGGCTTGAAGTGCGACATTGTGAGCGAAGGACTTGGAGCAGTGGGAACAGAGAAACGGCTTTTCGCCCGTGTGGCAGCGCATGTGATCCTGGAGATGTGCCTTCCGAGAAAAAGTTTTCGAGCAATCCGTACATTTATGGGGACGTACGTCCTCATGAGTGCGAATGTGTCGCCGGAGATCAGAGGACTTTACAAAGCACTTGGAGCACTGGGGACACTTGTACGGGCGTTCGCCAGTGTGCGTTCGGATATGCGACTGCAGAGTGGCACTCTGGGCAAAGGACTTGGAGCAATGGGAACACCCATATGGTCGTTCTCCCGTGTGCGTGTTCATGTGCCTCTTGAGCAGCTCCTTGCGTCTAAACTTCTTGGGGCAGTGATCACAGGCAATGGAGGGTTCGCCATCCAAGTGGGTTCTCATGTGGCGAACCCAGGCTTCTTTGCTCCCGTACTTCTTCGAGCACTGACGACACTCGTAGGAGACTTTCTTGCTGTCATTCTCCTTGTCATCATCTTCGGTATCCGAAGGATTGTCATCCTCCGATAACTCCCAATCCTCCTCTTCGATAAACGAGCATAGCGCCTCCTCGATACCTTCATCCCTGACTTGGCAGAAGAACTGGTGGCTCCGCTCGCAGGTCTGTCTGATGGAAAATGCATTCTTGGCGTCCTCCAAACACGGTGCACATATGGTCTCCAGCAATAGATCTCCTCGTCTCACTTCAAAGCCGGTACACTGGGCAATCATCTCGGCAATGGAAACCCTGGTCTTTCGCCTGCCATCGAAGATGTTCACCAAGTTATCCGATCCTCCCAGGCAAACACGACAGATTTTCTCCATAGTTCGGGAAATTATAATATCACGACGACATTCAAAAAGGATTTTCTGTTCTGCGCACTTGCCAAGTTTCAATGAGTCACTAAACACCCTGTTTAGTTTACATTTTGTTTACATTGCCTTATCGATAATATTGAAAATGTTTGATAACAGCTGATATTTTTTGTAATAAAAATATTTTTTACATTTATTTTATTTGTACATTTTTTTAGTTTATTTCCGTATTACACGCTTTGCAGCGGCGAACGTGATATTTAAGTTCAGGCTCGTATTGAAACGATCTAGGGCAGTTGGGGCACTTGTGTACATGCGTATGTTTGCGTTTGTGTCGCTTCAGATCGTTCTCAAATTTGAAGGACTGTGAGCAAATGGAGCATTGAAACGTGGGACCATCGTGATCTTGCATGTGTAAACTCAGCTCGGAATGTGTCTTAAAGGTCTTCAGGCAAACGGAACACCTGTGCTTTTCGTGAACACACCTGTGGCTCATAAGATGGGACTGTAGCCTAAAGGTCCTCGGGCAATCGGCACACTTGAAGGGATCATTTCCATTGTAAGTCCATGAAACCATCGGCGATGGGAGTACATTTTGACTGACCGATTTCTTTTTTGATACTATAGGCGGGTGATTGTCTACGTGTTTCTTTAGAAAGCCTCTTTTTTTATAGGTCTTTGGGCAAAAGGGACACTGATAGAGTACATCCATATCCGTATCCTCCTGAAGACTACTTAATTCCGATGTCAAGGAAGTCTGACACGAGCAGGGAACCATTTGCCCTTCATCCTCCTCGTTTACTTGGCAATTGGGTGAACAAATATTACTGTATGCTTCGTTTCCGTTTGGCTCCCGCTTTACTTCTTCCTCTAATTCGATTATCTGAAATTCTTCAATACCAGGCGATACTTCCGCCTCGGATTCCAACAATATGCCATCTCCTTCCTCCGTTTCCTCCTCATCCACTGGATAGTCGGATATCACAAAGACTTCTTCGTCTAATGGGGGGTCCTCTAGAGCCGCATTTCTAACAATAAATTCGGATATTTCGCCGACTTGCCTTTCCTTAGATCGATTTGCTTGAGAGGCAATCGCTTCCGCCAGGCACATCGAGCATACGTTTTCGGGTAAGGAATCTCCTCGCCTAACTTCGGAGCCAGTGTATCGGGAAATCACGTCCGCAGTCGTAAGGACGCCATATGATGGCGAATCAAATATGTTTATCGGGTAGCATGATTTCTTCAAGCAAATGCGACACGCATCCTTCCTGAAATTACATATTTTTAGTGACAATAATTAATAATTATAGGAAAATGCTCACCAATCCATTTTTACAACCGAGACACAAATGCACTAGCCACCCTGTGAGACCCAAAGTGCTGGTAAACGCACAGATAACTGTTGAAGAATATCGATATTTTAAATTTATCCAGCTATCGCCAGATTTTTTAAACATAAGGGGGATTCCCTAAACTGTTGAATTGCTGAATTGTTGAAAATTCAACAAAAAATTTCAGCAATTAAGGGAACGACCCAAAATGGTTCCTGTTGAATTTTCAAACAGCTGTTATTTGTTGAAAAATTTCACGGAACTTAAAGCATGTAAAATTTGATTTATTATTGCTAGTTACTGTCTAAAAGTGTTACCAAGGTAAAACGAACCACAAATATGCTTTCTAAGTTGATTTCAAAATAAATAATGCGTACTGGTGATAGTAAAATGTTACAGAGTTGCCACGACTTTCAAAAAAAGGTCACAACTCTGGCTTTTCAGCAATTCAACAAAATTTTCAACAGCCCCGAGGCTGTTGAATTGCTGAAATTTCTGAAAGTTGACTTTGTATGGAACAGCTGATTAACAGCTGACCAAAATTCAACAATTCAGCAATTCAACAGTTTAGGGAATCCCCCTAAATATTTTAAATTCTTTATTGAAAGAGAAACTAAATCAATTTGTTCCGATAACTAACATAGTAGCTAATGTCTAAAAAAATTCATTTCCAATTTTGTTATGTTAATTCGAGTTTTTTTTCCTTTATGCATTCTAATGTGATTTTCAAGATTTCCTTTCCTTGCAAATGATTTAAGGCACAAGGAACATTGGAATTTATCCTTGGACAGGTCCAGAGTGTTATGATGGGAAAGCGTAATGTGCCTCTTGAGATTGCTGAGCATCGAAAAGGACCTCGAACATTCGGTGCACTTGTAGTCCCCCGTGTGAGTCTGTATGTGCGCCAACCAGGAATTCCTTTCCTTAAAGCTTTTCGGGCAGTGCTCACAAGAGTAGGGACTCCCCGTGTGGATCGTCGCGTGTTTCTTCACAGCGTAAGACGAAAGAAAGGGCAGTGGGGAGTGGAGACCCCACAGCCAATGCGCAGAAATGTGCTCCTTAAGCAAAGCGTCTCTAGTAAATTGCATAGGGCAAAAACTACATCTGAATTTGTATTTCGCGTGAGCCAGAAGGTGCGGCCCCAGAATATCCGGAGTCAAAAAAGTCTTGCCGCAAATATCACATTTATAAGGTTGGATGTGGACCCGTTGGTCGTGTCGTTTAAGGCTGTCAGCCGAAGGAAAAATTTGTTGGCAGTGGCGGCACTTGTACTCGGTAACTTTTGGTTGCTCAACTGGTTTTGTGCACAGTTTGTCGTCGAGTAAATCATCTTCAATTGGCTCGTTCTTCACCAGGCAATTCGACAATGGAATAACTTCGGATACCTGGCTGAATTCCTCTTCTTTCTCAACTTTTTCTTGTTTAACTTGTAATTCCTCATTACCATTTGATTCCTCGCATTCCGGTATTTTGGTAACATCCTCCTCCATCATATCTTCTTCCGATGGTTCCTTCTTGAGGAAATATTCCTCATCATGGAACTCTATGATTTCAAAGACTTCAGCCTCGCCGGCTTGTTCGATTCCATATAAATTCCGTGCATCCTCCAGACACATAGTGCAAATGGTCTCAGGAAAGGAATCTCCTCGTCTCACTTCGTATCCGGTATAACAAGAAACAACTTGCACCAAATCCGGCGTCCCATCGAATATGTTTATCATGGGACCTGGATTCAGATTGCAAACGCGACACACAGCCACCATCGCCCTGAAATTAAATAATTTAAATTGTCCGAAAAACTGTAAAAATGTTATTCTCACCTTTTTATTGTTTACAATTTCTACAGCTGAGAAAAGACCATAACTACCCTGTGTTGCCCAAAGTGCTGCTAAACGCACAAATAACTGTTAAGGAATATCGATATTTTAAATTTATCAAGCTATCGCCAGGTTTTATTAAAAATATTTTATAATTTTAATTAAAAGACAAACAATTAATGTGTCCCAAGGAAATCAACATGATTGGAAAGCAATTTTAATAGCTTCCATACTAAAAACCAAATTTCTAATGTTTTCAGAAGTTTATTTCTACTCTTATTTTTCTTCGTAATGCACTCTAATGAGGTGATTATCAAGATATTTTTTGCTTGCAAATATTTTGGGGCACAAGGAACACTGTATTTTGTCCTTGGAGTGGGAAAGCAGGTGTCTTTTTAGTTTATAATTGTAGGCAAAGGACTTTTTGCATATAGTGCAATGGAATCGCTCTTCCGAATGAGCCGCCGAGTGCGGGCCCAGTTTGGAGCGTTGTTTAAAGGTCTTGGGGCACGAGCTGCATTTGTAGAGTTTTCTTAAGCCAACACAGTATGCCATGTGAATCTTGAGACCGCTGTGCATCGCAAAGGACCTCGAACATTTGTGGCACTGGAAGGGCTGCTCCGCCTTGTGAGTCCTTGTGTGCGTCGCCCAGGCAGGCCTTTTCGTAAAGGTCTCCGGGCAGTATTCACAATAGTAGGGTCCCCCCGTGTGGATCAACTTGTGTCTCTGCAGATCGTCGGACGTAAAAAAGGACTTTGGGCAGTGACAGCACTTGTGAGGTCGCAAGTGCGTAGCAATGTGCTCATTGAGCACAGATTCTTCCGGAAAGAACAAAGGGCAGAAAGTACAGCTGAATGGGTTTTCCTCGTGAGTCAGGACGTGCGAGTCCAGAAGATCCTGAGTCACAAATGTCGTGCCGCAAGTAACACATCGATAAGGTCGTATGTGGATTGTGCGATCGTGTCTTTTAAGGCTGGCAGCCGAAGGAAAAAGTAATTCGCAGTAGCGGCACTTGTACTCGACGTCTTTTGGTTGCTCCATTGTCCACAGTTCATCCTCGAATAAATTATCTTCAACTGGCTCGTTCTTCACCATGCAATCCGACTGGCTGACTCCATCGTCTGCAATTGGCTCGTTTTTTATGCTCTTTGCCTTGTTTGATTCCGCTTCCTCGACTTTTTCTTCTTTCGCTTGGTACTCCTCATTACCATACGAAGCCTTATCCTCCTGAAACTCCTCATCTCCTTCTTGATGGACGGGGTAATCTTCCTCATCTTGGAATTCTATGATCTCGAAGACTTCTCCCTGGCATTCTTGTTCGATTCCATATAAATTCCGTGCATACTCCAGACACACAGTGCAAACGGTCTCAGGAAAGGAATCTCCTCGTCTCACTTCGTATCCAATATAAGCAGAAACAATTTGCACCAAGTCCGGCGTCCCATCGAATATGTTTATCATGGGACCTGGACTCAGATTGCAAACGCGACACAGGGCCTCCATCGCCCTGAAATAAAATAGTGGAAATTACCCGAAAAACTTTAAAAATGGTATGCTCACCTTTTTTTTGTTTACAATTTTTACAGCTGAGGAAAAACACTAACTACCCTGTGTTGCCCAAAGTGTTGCAAAACGAGCAAATAACTGTTGAGGAATATCGATACTTTAAATTTATCAAGCTATCGCCAGGTTTTATAAAAAATATTTTTAACTTTTAATTTAAAGAGAAACTAAATAAAAAGTACTTGCTTCTTGGAAGCAATTTGTATAGCTTAAATACCAAAAAACAATACTTCTAATGCTTTTAGAAATTTAAAATTTATTTATAAATTATATCTTATTTTATTCTCCTCGTAAAACTTTATTACAACTATTTGTTTGGACTTTGCTCGTGCTTACTAAGAAGGTGTCTACCCAGATTGGTTTTGGTTGCGAATAACTTGGGGCACAAGGAGCACTGTATTCTATCCTCGGAGTGGGTTCGAATGTGCCTTTTAAGATCGTTATTATAGGCAAAGGACTTGGGGCAAATAGTGCAATAAAACCGCTCTCCCGAATGAGCCCTCATGTGCAGGCCCATATTGGAATGTTGTGTGAAGGTCTTGGGGCAGAACTGGCATTTGTAGGGTCTTTCTCCGGTGTGGCACCGCATGTGCCTCTGCAGATTGCACTGCTGCGAAAAGGACCTCGAACATTCGGTGCACTTGTAGGGTTGCTCCCCCTTGTGTATCCTTGTGTGCGACGTCAAGGAAGTCCTATCAGCAAAGGACTTCGGGCAGTGCTCACAACAGTAGGGTCGTTCGCCCGTGTGGATCCGCGTATGTCGCTTAAGATCGTAGGCCGAAAGAAAGGACTTTGGGCAGTGACAGCACTTGTGCGGTCGCAAGTGCGTAGAAGTATGCTCCTTCAGCAGGGACTCATCCGGAAAATGCTTGTGGCAAAAACTGCAACTGAATGGGTTTTCCTCGTGAGTCCTGACATGCGAGTCCAGGGAATCCTTTGTCGAAAATGTCGTACCGCAAGTATCACATCGGTAAGGTTGTATGTGGATTTTCCGGTCGTGTCTTTTGAGGCCGGCCGCCGAACGAAAAGCCTTTCGGCAGACGCGGCACTTGTATTCGCTTACTTTTGGTTGCTCCACTGCTATTGTGCACAGTTCATCCTCGAATAAGTCATCTTCAATTGGCTCGTTCTTCACCAGGCAATCGGATACCTGGCTGACTTCCTCTTCGGACAGCTCATCTTCAATTGGCTCATTTTTTACTGCCACACGGAGAGGCTGTGCCTTGTGGATATTTGATTCCTCCTCCAGCAAATCCTCCTCAAACTCTTCATCTCCTTCTTGATGGGAGTCTTCATCCAATAGGTTCTCCTCGGGGAAATCTTCCTCATCATGGAATTCTATGATTTCAAAGACTTCTTCCTCGCAGGCTTGTCCAATTCCATATGAATTCCGTGCATCCTCCAGACACATAGTGCAAATGGTCTCGGGAAAGGAATCTCCTCGTCTCACTTCGTATCCAGTATAACAAGAAACAATTTGCACCAATTCCGGCGTCCCATCGAATATATTTATTAAGGGACCTGGGCTCAGATTGCAGACGCGACACAAGGCCATCATCGCCCTGAAATATAATAATAAAAAATTACCAAAAATATCAAAAAAGTTAAAAATGTTATGCCCACCTATCTTTTTGTTTACAATTTTAACAGCTGATAAAAAACACTAGCTACCATGTTTAACCAAGTGCTGTTAAAAAACTGTTAACTCGATAACTAAAATTTATCGAACTATTGGTTACCTGCAAAGGATTTGGATTATTTAAAAATTATTTAAAATGGACACAGAGACGACTCCTTTAGAGAATATCCACCTCCGGAGCAAGATCCGCGGATACGCCCGGGACCAACGCCTTGAGTGCCGCATGAAGGCGAAGGACGCGTTGCGCATTGGACTGGGACAGGTGAAGGAGGAGGTGGCGGCGCTGGAGAGCCTGGGCACCAAGGACGTCGTTGGAATGGCCGGCAGGATCAAGCGGCGCAAGCACGCCACCTCCGAGGATCTGTGCCGCCTGTCACTGGCCTTCCTCCAGGGCAACGACAACATCAACGCCTTCGCTGTCATCCCAGGAGCTATTCAAGTGCTCGTTAAGGAGCTCACTGGTATGCTTCCTATTCTCCAGTAATATTATTGTTATCCTATAAGAGTACATCCTTTGCAGGCCCCCACATCCAGCGCCACATTGATGCCGTCGAGTGCCTGTGCAATCTTTCCCTGGGCGAGGCTCATATCTCTGAGAAGATTGCCAGCTTAGCGGGCAGCTACATGGTCACCTACCTCGATGGCAAGGAGGAACGCCTTAAGAAGGCGTGCCTGTGGACCTTGGCCAACATTTTGGCCACCTGCGAGAAGGCCGGCAGGACTCTGCTGCAAATGCAACTGGTGCCCAAGTTGTGGCGGCTCTACAGCGATCCCAATGGCTGCCAAGAAGATGCGGGCATCTGCCTTTTCCTGGTGGCCACGCACTGCCTGCAACATGTGAGCGCCGAGGATCGACGGTACATAGCTCAGAATCTGCACGAGAAGAAGCCCGAGGATCCCGCCAGCGAATACTTCATGTACATAGTACACCAAATGGAAATTGTTGGGCAGGATCAAGAATTAGGTGCTCCACAAGCCGAATGCCTGGTCCACTTCTTTGAAGCCACCTTAGCCTCATCAGTCGGTAGCCTTTCCCTGATCTACGCAGTGCGTGTGATGGCCAATCTGATGGCCAAAAAGGAACCACATCTTTTGGGTTTAATGGCGGAGCCACAAATCCTAGTAAAAACCCTAAATCAGCTCTTTGCATTGCGAGACCCTCAACTTAGCTTGGATTTGATGCGACTGCTCAGGAATTTCCTGCAATTAAACCTGTCAGATTCCAACCAGTTACTAGATACTTTGCAAATATACGCTTAGGATTTAATTAAGTCTTGCGAATCTCTTTATTGGTCTGATTATGCCTATAAAACTAAAGCCATGGGCTTTGAGTACTTGAGAATGTGAAATGAACATGGATTATAGCTAGAGGAAAACAAAATAAAATAAATAAATAAAAAAACAAATACAATTTGACAAAAAACAGTGAAGCAAGGTGGCTGGCGAGATTATTAATTTAAATATATTCAGCCACCATGCATCGAAAAAAAACGAGTCTTTGGAAAACTTAAATGTCATCCTCGAAGAGGGCGATTATTTGACGCCTTTTGGCTTCGTCGTCGGCATTCAGTTCATTGCCCCGATGGACATTGTGATTGTGGACCTCCAGTTCGGAGACCGAGTCGAATACTAAATTGCACTGGCCGCATCTAGCTGAGAATATGGGGGCTGAAACCGTGCCGGGAGAGACGACAGCCCGTTGCAGCTTCTCCAGGAACGTGGCGCGCTCCTTGTGCTTGTCCAGGCCAATTCCCAGGCCCGCGGCTACTCCGCGAATGGGAATGGGCTTCTTAACAGTCGGCGTACTTTGTGAGTTTCTGCTTTCCGTACGCGCAATGGCGTACAGGACATTATTCTCCTCCGTAATGGGAGTCGTTGTGCCGCTGACAAAGTCAAAAAGGGCGAATGGCTGCTCCTCCACCGCGCGGGAATCGGGAATTTCGGCAGGAATGGTCGCCTCCGTTGTCTTCTCTCCGTTGGACACCTTTACCTGATTGAGCTTCTCGGCCAGAAGCGAGTCTATGGAATGTTCCTGCAACCACGTGCAGGTTTTGTGCAAGGCGAATATCATCCGCCGGATGAATTCATGCGGCGAGACCATTTTTTGCCGCCTAATCTCGAGCAGCTTCGTGACTTCAGTCACAAAGGTGACAAACTGATACTCGACGCAGTTGTCCAGATGCGTCTGCTGCGACTCCTCGAACATGAAGCGCTTGGAGCAGGCCGGGCACTTGCGCTCCTTCCACATGGGCTCCGGTATATTGACCTTGATGTCGCGCAGCTGCACTTGGTCCTGCTCCATGGGATCGTCCTCCTCGAAGTTCGTCTCGCTGTAGTTGTAGCAGTTCTTGTGCTTGCGCAGCAGGGCCGCCTCCTCGTTGTCGTCGCTGGAGCTGGCTACCCCGTAGTCATCCTCTTCGTCCTCGTTTTGGCCGCTTCCCGAGGGCAGCTCACCATCCTGAGGATTCCTTGACATGGCGTTGTGCTGCTGCTCCTTGTTGAACAGCACGTTCAAGTACTGGATCCTCTGCTCTTCGGGGGCCGCCTGGTGGAGCAGTCGCTTGTGCACCTTGTCCTTGGACGACTCCAGCTTGGCGCTGCTGTTGTTCAGCAGGAGATTGTGCACGGGTCGCTGCTCCACGAAGCGCAGATCCTCGGCCGTGAAGAGGGCGCTCTCCTTGTCCATTTTGTTCGCATCCGAGATGTTGACCCTCTTCTGCTGGTAGAGCTCCGCTAGCTTCAGACTCAAAGCATTCTTGATGCACTGCTCCCGGAAAGTGACGGCGTGCTTGAGATACGAGATGCACGGAGCGCATATGTTGCGGGGCAGGCCGTCATCCGTGGAGTTCTGGGAAAAGAAAAGCTATATATATCCAGTGGCCAGACAAAGGAATCCGAATCACTCACCTTCAGGCCCGTCGTCTCCTCGAGCAGAATGTTTATGGGCTTCTGCCAGTTGAGGAACTCGTTTGTGGAGCCGTGCAGGTAAGTGGGAATCTTGGCGAATATCTCATAGTCTGCGGGGCTGCTGCAGATGCGGCAGATATTGCCCCACGTCGTCATACTTATTTTAAACTTTAAACTTAATGCTAATGCCGGAAAAAACAAAAATTTTTCAACGCCGGCGAGTGTGACCCTGCCAACGAAGATTTAAAATTCCAAAGTCCGCCCCCGGACCTAGCTATTTTTTAGCCAAAAAAGCTTAACACTGAAAAAAAATCTATGCTGGGACCTATTTTATAAGACTTACTGGGGTTTTTCTTTATTTTGCTTATCAATTGCCTAATTTGTATGCATTTTTTTTTCAAAATTTGTGCGAAATTCTTATGTACATTGAAGTAAACTTTTTATCACCCCTATAAAGATATACATACTCGCCGGTGCTCCAGATAAATAAATAAATCTAAATAGCATCCTAATTAATAAATTCACATGTATGATTTTCTTTCGTTTTGTGTAGCACCATTAATAAATTCTACCCGAATACCCCCAATATTTTCAATGCAACAGTTGGCAACAGTGGTTAACAGTCGTTAAGTGGCTCCACTTGGTAATTTTAGCTCCACTTTCGTTGGCCACACTCGGTTTTATAAAAAATTGCATAAACAAACCTCGTTACTGGAATAAAAGCCCAAAAATGTCGTTTAATATAATGCAGAAGCTGACACTGCAGTGCCTGAAGGTGGACCAGCCACTGATGAGTAAGGATTAACCCCATAAAGATGAAAGGAACTAATGAATTCGCTTTTAGCCACCGTGCGCAATGCCAGTAAGAAAACCGGTGGAAGTACGAGGAACAAGAAGGGCCATGCGAGGCCCAAACATCGAGGATGGCGCGTCCAGGATGGACACCACGTCTCCGAGGGCACAATTCTGGCCACACAACTCACCACGCGCTTCCATCCCGGTCTGAATGTAAGTAGTAAATCCTGAAGTTGTCCTGACATTTATATCCCAATCTTTAATCCCTTCAACAGGTGGGATTTGGCCGCAATGGAACCCTTTTCGCCATGGAGCACGGCAAGGTATATGTGACCTGTGAACCGATCGACCCCAACTGGGACCACAGCTGGATTCAGCGGAACTACGCCGGTCGCCAGGACCAGACCATCTATAAGAAGTTCTTCAATGTTATACCTGAAAATCAGCACCAGCGATTTAAGCTTGTGGACGAAATCTAAATTGTTAAATATTAAACACAAACCAAATTAAAATATGATTTTTTTTTTTTTATTTTAGCGATTAGCAGACATAAGGTGCTTAACAGTAGCTGGAAAGTTAACAGCCCGCGCAATCGATTTAGGTTTAAAGGTGCTCCTATTTCTAAAATCAAATCATAAATTTCATTATATTTAACTATCATATTATAATTAAATTTGCTAATATAAAATGCGAAAATTCGGCAACCACGGGTTATTGATTTGCTGAAAAATAAACAGCAAATTCCACGATTCATGAATTTAACAGTTTAAAGAATACCCCAAATAATTGGCAACACTAAAATTAATCGATGTCTCGCAGCAAACATCGTTTGTCAAATGTAATCGATAAACATCGCTTTTTGTACCACCTCTACAACCGCAGCCAACTTCGCTTCTTTCTTTCCAAAAAATTTAAAGATGGTGAGTGGACGTCGGTAAATGTGGTGCACTTGAAATGTGGTTTGTGGGCAGGCAAACGCAGAGAGATGAAAAGAAAAGTTGTCCTAAAATGCAGAAGCTTGCCTGCCTGCCGACCGCAGGGCCAAAGTGAGCAAACCGAGTGAAGCGAATGCTGCACGTAAACATAACCTCCAGCACGTGGGTGAAAAATGTGAGAAATGCTGACTTAAAAACACGTTTCTGTTCTGCTCTTCTCCCTTTGCAGTCGAATATCAAGCGGAAGAAGACCAGGAAGCTGCGTGGTCATGTGAGCCACGGTCACGGCCGTATCGGCAAGCACCGCAAGCATCCCGGAGGTCGCGGTAACGCTGGTGGCATGCACCACCACCGCATCAACTTCGACAAATACCATCCTGGTTACTTCGGCAAGGTCGGCATGAGGAACTTCCATCTGCGCCGCCAGCACAAGTTCCGTCCCGAGATCAACCTGGACAAGCTCTGGTCTCTGGTCGGAGCCGAGAAGTTCGCCGAGTTGGAGAAGGAGAAGAGCACCAAGGCTCCCGTCATCGACTTGGTTAAATTCGTAAGTTTCCCCAGCTATTTGTGATTTATTCGCCTCTTGCTGCTGCTGCTTTGAACATGAAGAGACACCCAAGGCGATGGGCGGACAGAATGCGACCGTACAATTGCTCTCACCGTGTAGAGGACAGCCTTTCAGATCAAAGCCAGCAGCTTCTGTAGATGATGTGCCCTGTTTTCTTACCCCCTGTGAGCTACTAACTAATGGGTCTTCTTTTTATCTCCACAGGGCTACTACAAGCTGCTGGGCCGTGGTCACCTGCCCGCCCGCCCCGTCATCGTGAAGGCCAAGTACTTCTCCAAGAAGGCTGAGGACAAGATCAAGAAGGCCGGCGGTGTGTGCTTGCTGAGCGCCTAAGTTAAGGTAAGAACAATTCTACCACTCTTTCCTATCAAAATTCATAGTTTCCAGTACCTAATTGCCTTTTGTTTCGCTTGCAGATTCCTCCTCTACAGAAAAAAAGCAAGTGGACTACATTCGACCATCAAAAATGTGTTTGTTTTTTAATAAATCTAAAAGAAAAACAAGTATCTGCTATTCCTAAAATGTGTAATGTTTACTGAAAGCTTTTGGGGGCCCGTTTTACTCGTCTATTTTATATACGTTTGTATAGATGCATCTGAGTTAAAAATTTAGTCAAATTCTTTTGGGTAAAAATAAGGTTTAATTTTGCAAAAGTATTTCTCACAATTATATGAATTTAAAAAATTCTGATTTGTTGCTTAAATCCTTAAATATTAATTATTCAGAAAATGTATTGTAATTCAGTACTTGGTCTTTGAATATTTCTACTTTTTTTTCTTCTTCAAAATAATTATATTTTGCCGAATTTTTGGCATACAATATTTATTATTTTAAAAGAAATTATCTTTATTAATTGTTAGAACAAGAATGCAATTTTTTTGTTTAGTCCAAGTAGTTTTAAGGAAGAGTATAGATTAGTCGGTGTGTTCTTCCTCCCTTCATTTTTAGTACGATTCCTAACTGCGTTTTTCTCCCCTTTCCACCAACGGTCACACTTGACAGTCGGAAAAAGCTCGATTCGCGGAAAAATTCGGAAGCGGAAAAGTACGATACGCATTGCCAAAGGCGGAAGAAGATTACGTGTAGGTCAAGGTCGTGTAATAATGGGCGACCCTTATCTTTGACCCCGCTGTGAAGGATGCTACGTCCTTGGGTCAAGGACATGACCGAAAAAGGGGCAACGAGTCCAGTGGGTGGCATGCCAAAGTGGGCGGGGAATGCGATGCTCCAGCTAAATGGTGACTTAATTATGACCTCTGTGTTACAGCCAAGCAACCTTGTCTACCTATCTCACCTCTTACATAACCGAGAACTACAGCGAGATGGCCAACAAAGTACTGAGGAAAGTGACGCACTGCATCTTCGACATGGACGGCCTGCTGCTGGGTGAGTTTTCCCCTGCTTGAGTCTGCTTTTTGTGTTAACTGTTTGCCGAACAGACACCGAACGCCTCTATACGGTGGCCACCGAAATGATCCTCGAGCCCTACGGCAAGCCATATCCCTTCGAGGTCAAGGAGCAGGCCATGGGCCTGCAGACGGAGCCGCTGGCCCGGTTCATGGTCGAGCACTACGATCTGCCCATCTCGTGGGAGGAGTACGCCCGCCAGCAGCGCGCCAACACCGAGATCCTGATGCGGAACGCCCAGTTGATGCCAGGTACTAATCCCCGTTCTCACTTTGCCCTCACGTTGCAGACACTGAGCGGATTTACGAGGAGGTGACGCGGCAAATAGCCGCCTCCTTTGGCCGCCCATATCCGGTGGAGGTGCGTTTCCGGGTCATGGGCACCACGGAGCAGCGCTCGGCGGAGATAGCCGTCACCGAGTGCCAGCTGCCCATCACCACGACGGAGTACCTCAAGCGATACACGCAACTGTGCCACGAGCGACTCCACAACGCGCCCCTGCTGGAAGGTTAGCACCACGACCAGAAAACACTACTACAATCGGCTTTTTCCTCTATAAATATTCTCTGCACACACTATTCTATTGTTTATCTTTGTTTAAATCTAAATATTAATCCTTAATCTCTTTAAATTCCCCTTTGTTTAGGTGCCGAGCGACTGCTACGTCATCTGCATGCCAACAAGGTGCCCTTCTGTTTGGCCACCAGTTCCGGTGCAGATATGGTAGAGCTAAAGACCAATGAACACAAGGAGCTATTTAGCCTGTTCAACCACAAAGTGTGCGGCTCCACGGACAAGGAAGTGGTCAACGGCAAGCCGGCGCCCGACATTTTCCTGGTGGCCGCCTCTAGGTTTGGTGTGCCCGCCAATGCCTCCGACTGCCTGGTCTTCGAGGATTCGCCGAATGGCGTGACGGCGGCCAATAGCGCTGGAATGCAGGTGGTCATGGTGCCCGATCCGCGGCTGTCCAAGGAGAAGACCTCCCATGCCACTCAAGTAATCGGCTCCCTGGTGGACTTCAAGCCGGAGCAGTTCGGTCTGCCGCCGTTCACGGATTGAGCTTAGAACGGATGTACTTTTTGTAGCCGGGCGATGCTATTGCTGTAACTGGAAATTTATGTACCTACCAAGCAAATGATTTTAAGTGTAATGTGTTACTTAATATACACGTATTTGTGCATATGCGTATTTATTGTTGCCTATAATTGTTTATCAAGTTCTACTTCCCAACTGCTTCCAGGTTTTTGTGTATGTCGGGAGCAGCCTGGTTGGCCAGAGATAGGGACACCTCCTTGCCGTTGCCTGGAGGGGATTAGGTAGGGGGTTTTAATCTTAAAAAATATATAATTTGCATAATCTTCTCACCATAGCGGGCGTAGAGTCGCGGCTGAACGCCAGAGCATTCGCGCACCAGGATCGGAAGATCGGGATTGTTTTTCTTTAGATTCGGATAGAATCTTTCCACATATTCCCTGTAAAGTAAAGTTGCTTTGGGGTAAATTATATAATTTAAAGGGGCATTTTACCTCGCTCCCTTGGAGGCCGCCCCTTTTGGATCCAATATAATCCGCAGCTCCTTCAATTTTGGAGTAAAGCTGGCCAACCGGGAAAGAGTTAGACGCATTTTAGCGAAGCTGCTTTGAATTTGAAATGATATAAACTAAAGTCGATGGAAATGTCGTTACTGTACAGGGTTGTCAAATAACCTTGGATTGTAAATTGGGATGAAGGTTTTTTAAAAATGGTTGAAAAGAGGGTTTTTTAGATATTTTTTAGATATAAGACAAGGTCAAGCAAGTATTTCAGTGGAAATTTAATTTGAGGAAAGTTTTTCATTTTGTATTTTGATATAAATTTGTTAAGTAATAAATATTTAAATAGTTACTATTGTTAAATTTACTGTTGTTTTAGAATACGTTTTTAAAATTAATTTGAATATTTTTATCAAATACCCGACCCAGCAAATACACCAACCCAGGTGAATAACTCGGCTTCAACCAGGGCTACTTACTATATCGATAACTATCGATATATCGCCTAACATCGATATAAAGAAAACATTGAGAGACTGTACATCACTAATAAACAACAGCCTGCTTTTTAGAAAATATTTTTCCACTTAATTTAAGCCATTTTCAACTGTCAAACCACAAAAAACAAAGAATTTAAGCAGTCATGGCGTCCGTACATTGTCAACTGTGGATGGGCAGCGTGAGTAGCAATGTGCGTGGCACCAACAACGTGATTCTCAACTGCCGAATGGCCTTTTCAGCTGGAATCCTACATGACCGAGAACTTCATAATCGCCGCCTTCCGGAAGATGGGCGAGGATCCCACAACCGTACGCCTCATGCGCAACAAATATACCGGCGAACCGGCGGGCTACTGCTTCGTGAACTTCATTTCAGATGACCACGCGCTGGACGCGATGCACAAGCTGAACGGGAAGCCCATTCCCGGCACCAATCCCATCGTGCGTTTCCGCCTCAACTCGGCCAGCAACTCGTACAAGCTGCCTGGGAACGAGCGCGAGTTCAGCGTCTGGGTGGGCGACCTCAGCTCCGATGTGGACGACTACCAGCTGTACAAGGTCTTCTCCAGCAAGTTCACCTCGATCAAAACAGCCAAGGTGATTCTGGACAGCCTGGGCTTCTCGAAGGGCTACGGCTTCGTGCGTTTCGGCATCGAGGATGAGCAAAAGTCGGCGCTGTACGACATGAACGGCTACATCGGACTGGGCAGCAAGCCCATCAAGATCTGCAATGCGGTGCCCAAACCGAAATCGGAATTAAGTGCCGCTTTGGGCGAGGGGAGCACCAACTATGGGTATGGTGGCTCCGGAAGCAGTGCGTCCACCGGCGGGGGAACAGACTACTCACAGTACTACGACCCCTCGAGCAGCTATTGGCAGGGATATCAGGCCTGGCAGGGTTACTACGAGCAGGCAGGACCTTCTATCACAGATGCAGCTGCCTACTACCAGCAGGCCATGTCGCAGTCGCACTCCAATCCCCAGACCCTCGCCCAACACGCCGAAGCCTGGAGCGCCCAGCGCAGTGCTCAGTACGAGCAGCAACAGCAGTCGGCCTCCGCCGCCAACGGGGCTGAGGATGAGTACGGTCTGGTGGAGCACAAATTCGTCCTCGACGTGGACAAGCTGAATCGCGAGGCCATCGACGCCGATCGCCGGCTGTACGATGCCCTGGAGAGCTCCAAGTGGCTGCCCATTGAACAGCTGGAGGTCTTTTAGGCCAACTAATCTGAACTGAACCTTTTATAGTTGTAGGTTAGTTATTATTGGAAAATACATAAGCACGTATTTTAGCATTAAATTGGGTTTCTCTTGCACGTTTTGGGAAAGAATCACCATTATGTTCCTGTTTTTACGTTTATTAGCACTAATATGGCAAAAAACAGATAAAATATATTTTTATTTCTGCATTCTGTAATTTTTATAATTTTATTTTAATCTTGAAAGATTTTTAAAGGAAAAATATTGTTTCTCTTTTTACGATCATTAGCACAAATACGGCAAAAGATGAAATATATTTTTCTTTTTGAATTCTTTAATTTTTGTAATTTTATTTTAATCTTGAAAGATTTTTAAAAGGAAAAATATTATTTAATTCTAATCTGACTTTAAAACTTTGTACCACGGTACATTTTATTTTCGTACCTAAATTATAAACCTAGTGTGAACGGGGCTTGCTTTTCAAAAACCTATCAACCTATCGATGGAATACAAATCATGTCGGCAGACCTATCGATATTTTTCAGTCTCGGTTGTGTTCTAAAAAAAATCCCTGAAGATTTGTAATTCTGTAATAAAATTGCTGATAAAAGTGGCCTGCTGAATCATGAAGCGAGCGCGCCAACCGAAGATCACCACCCAGGCCCTGCTCGATTTCGACCTCGGGAGTTCCTCGGACAGTGACTTCCTGCCGGGCGACGACAACTGCTCCGACGGGTCGAAGGATGAGAGCGATGGCGACGAGAGCAGCGACGCGAGCAGTGAATCCGATTCCGGGTCGGATTCGGATGCGGAGAGCGAGGACTCGACGCTGTTGCTCCGCCAGGAGCTGGCCGAAATGGAACCGGCGCCCCTGGAGAACGGCATCAACGGAGGAGCTACTCCTGGTGCCGCTCCTAGACCTCCTTTGCAGCTGTCCAAAGCTCCCGCCAAGCGGATGTGCTGCGTCTGCCTGGGCGAGCGCAGCGACGACGTCAACGAGATCGTCGAGTGCGACTCCTGCGGCGTCTCTGTGCACGAAGGATGCTACGGCGTCAGCGACAACGTGAGCATTTCGAGTACAAACTCCACCTGCTCCACGGAGCCCTGGTTCTGCGAGGCCTGTCGCGCTGGCGTCTCGGAGCCCGACTGCGAGCTGTGCCCCAACAAGGGCGGCATCTACAAGGAGACGGACGTGGGCAAGTGGGTGCACCTCATCTGCGCCCTGTATGTGCCCGGCGTGGCCTTCGGCGAGGTGGAGCAGCTGTCCTCTGTTACGCTGTTTGAGATGCAGTACAGCAAGTGGGGCGCCAAAGTGTGCTCCCTCTGCGAGAACGCCTTGTTTGCCCGCTCGGGAGTTTGCATCGGCTGCGATGCGGGCATGTGCAAGACCTACTTCCACGTGACCTGCGCTCAGGTGGCCGGATTCCTCATAGAAGCGCACCACGAGGACGATGCCGCCGATCCGTTCTACGCCCACTGCAAGGTGCATTCGGACAAGGAGATGATCAAGAAGCGGCGACGCAACTATCACACACTGCGGCTGAATATGTTGCAAAGGGCCAGGGAAAAGGAGGCGACAGTAGGCGATCCACCTACTCCCCATCCAAATCCCGCTCAAGCGCGCATTCAGCGCAAGCTCCTCAAGATCCAGCACAAGTATGCGCGGCACAAGGAGCTCAAGCCCACGCCGTGGGTGCCCACGCAGAAAATGTCCCGTCTACTGACCACCTCGGCCTCCGCCTGTCGTCGCCTGTTGGCCAAGGCGGAGATTATGTCCGTGGATGTGCAGCATCTGGAGCAGCGCGAGGCACACATCAATGCTTTGACAGACATTCGCAAGAAGTGGCACATTGCCCCCGCATTCAGTGTCGAATTCACTGCCTACTACATGGACCGCATTGTCCGCATGGAGGACTTTCGGCAGCAGCAGCGGGAGCTCATCTCGCACAACGCCATTCTGTCCAAGGATCAGGACGTGCTGAGGGCTCAGTATGACACCGCCTTGGAGGAGCGCAAGGCGGTGAAGGCCAACAAGGAGTCGCTACTAACGAGCATCAAGTCGCTGCACGCCACTCTAGCACAAATTGCACCCAACATGACGCTGCCCAGCGTGGATCTCATAGCTCGTCCGCTGCCAGAGGTGCCGCCCAAGACGAGCACGCCCACTCCTCCCCAGCGACCCATTTCGGTGCCCACAGCTGCTGCCCTGAAAATGGGTGTGGGCTTTCCCTTGGGTCACCTGGGTCCACCAGGCAGCAAGCTGGACTCCTCGCGTATGCTCAGTACTCAGGCCAAGCAGGGCAAGCATAGTGCAACCTCCGTGGATGCTGCCCCCTCGGTGGCTTGCGGCATCTGCAAGCGAAGCAAGGATCAGCACCTGTTAGTCAAGTGTGACACCTGCAATCTGCACTACCATCTGGGCTGCCTCAATCCACCGCTCACGCGACCGCCCAAGAAATCCAAGCAGTATGGCTGGCAGTGCTCCGAGTGCTGCGACAAGTCTGAGGGATCCGATGCCGTCACGGAGATCTCCTCGGGTCCCAGAAAGTCCCGCAATCGCTTCAACAAGGATGGCCATCTGGTCTACGATCGCTATTCGCTGGACGATATTCCTGTGGCCGCTGTTCTGCCTCCCAAGGAGGCACCGTCCAAGCGGGCGATCAACAAATCCCTTCCAGCTCCTGCTCCCGCGTACATCGAGGATCTGACCAAGTCTCCGAAGCGACCCAAACTCCAATCGCCATACAAGACACCAACTAATGGTGAGTGAAGAAATTGTGAAGGAATCGAATTTGCACTTTGATTGACAAGAAAATGTTGCTTAATTTTGGAGTTTTTATTTTAGTGTTTAGAAATGTTAATATTTAAATTTGTTATTTGGAAAGTGCACATTTTGGTTAAATGTATTCGCAAATTTCAAGGATTATTTGCATAATTGTTTCTAAAATTTTGAAATTTATTACAATTGGATTTATTTGGGATTTGCAACAAATTACTGTTTATTGGAATTGGATTTTTCAATTTGTTATTTTGAAAGTACACATTTTGGTTAAATGTATTTGCAAGTTTCGTGGATTATTTGCATAATCGTTTCAAAAATTTTGAAAATGTGAAGTTCATTACAATTGGATTTATTTGGGATAAACAACAAATTACTGCTTATTGGAATTGGATTTTTCAATTTATTATTTTGAAAGTATTCGAAAGTTTCGTGGATTATTTGCATAATTGTTTCAAAAATTTTGAAAATGAGAAATTCATTACAATTGGATTTGTTTGGGATTTACAAAAAATTACTGCTAATTGGAATTCGATGTGGTATACGTTATAAACATTTTTGTATTCAAGAAGATTATGAAAAACTTGAGAAGTTCCCAGGTATTTTTAAAAACGCTTGTAAATTATACTTTTTAAAACTAATTTATCGGATTTTCTTCCGCTAGTTCCTGCCGCCAATGCCACGCCCACACCCGTGACTGCTCCAACGCTGTCTACGCCCAATGCTAGCGCCTTGAATCTATCTGGCTGCGAGGATTCGATTGACGACTCTACCGGAAAGCTTTCCCGCAAGGGTAAGCGCAAGGACAAGCACAAGAACAAGCACAACCTGTCGTCGGACACTGAGAAATCCATCGGCAAAGAGCACAAAAGGAAGAGAAAAAAGCGCTCTCATCTCGACGAGTCATCGTCTCACCTGGACACCGTGGCCAACTCCTCCGGCAGCACCATCAAGATCATATTCAAGGCACTCCGACTGCCCGGCGAGGATGCGCCCGAATCTCAGTATTTTTACGTGCCAGCCAACGCGGTGCGTTCAGTGGATGAAGCCTCGCGTCCCACATCGGTTGAAACGGTCGAGGACAGTGTTCAGGGAGCGGAGCAGGCCCTGGCCCCAATCGTGCTGCCAGCAGCGTCGCCACAGAAGATTCGGGAGCCCAAGGAGGCGGCTCCTGTTACCGTTCCGGTCACCACTCCCTCGCCAAAGCGAAAGGTTAGTCCCCGGAAGGCAACAACTCCCCGGAAGCCTCGCGTGGGTCGCCCGCGGGTGTCCAACACCAAGCCGAATGTGGAGATCAGCTGTTGCGTGTGCAGCCAGACGGGAAAGACCAACCAGGTGGTGACCTGCGACGAGTGCCACCGGCACTACCACTTCGCCTGCCTCGATCCGCCGCTGAAGAAGTCGCCCAAGATACGCGGCTACTCCTGGCACTGCGCCGACTGCGATCCCACTGACGAGGATGCACTGCCCAAGAAATAGAAACTATAAATACTTAATAAGCCTAGGTTTTTTACCATTTTGAGACGAAATATCTTGATAGACATTGCGATATTTACAAAATATGAAATTGAATATATCATAAAATTGTGCTTAGAAATATAGGAATAAACAATTGAAAATATTTATATATTTTTCTGATATTTTGGTTTTTAAGTAAGCGGGCTTGTAAATCTTTTTAAGATATGTAATATAAATTTTCGTTATACTGAATGTGAATTATTCAATTCTTTAATGAAGTAAATAACTTTTGTAGTGTAACCGGATAGTTTGAAAAATATTTAATAGTTTAAGGGCCGTTTTCTCGTCCGCCTGTTAACTTTAAAGTAGGGTTAAAACTCTGATTTAAGGTTTAACCTTAATTTAAATTTAACAAACGGACGAGAAAACGGCCCTGAAGAACATATTTATATTTTCGATAACATTTTTATGTGCGCTTAACATCAGTTTGCAGACCTACAGGGTGACTATGGCAACAGCTGCAGTAATCAAAACAAACTATCCTCAAAAGTTCTTTCCACCAAAAAGGTAAGCTAAAGTATTCTATTTTTTAGCAATTTTATACATTTTTATTATTCCTATTTCAGGGAAATGGCGGAAAATTGCCTAGTTTGCTTAGAGAGGTTGGAAATCACGGCAAAAGAGTTTGGCATAGCAAATATGATTTCGGAATCTACGGGCTTTTCAATTGAAAAAGGGAACCCTATTTCCGAGATGATTTGCCAGCCTTGCCATGAGAAAGCCCAAAACGCATTTGACAAGAGAAGTCATTCACTTTCCTGTCAGTTGAAGCAGGAACAAATAGCAAATGCATTTTACAATATAATGGATCAGGAACAGGACAGCAATGCAGGATCTTTAACAGATGACAGCGATGATGGTGATGATCTGGAGGTGGATTTCCAATTACCGTACAAGTGTCCTCATTGTCCGAAGAGATGCAAACTGAGGGGCAACCTATTGAAGCACATAAGACTCCATTCCGATGAAAGACCCTATAAGTGTGACCATTGCCAGACGTCCTTCAAGGATAGCAGCGCAATGAAGAAACACATCCGCATCCATACTGGCGAGCGCCCCTTTAAATGCACCAAGTGCCCGAAATCCTTCGCCTATTCCGGCTCCCTCAGGGATCACATGTTGGGACACACCGGCGAACGTCCTCACAAGTGTCCGCACTGCTCGACGACCTTCAGGTGGCAGAAGCTCCTCACCAGCCACTTGCGCACTCACACCGGCGAGCGTCCTTTCAAGTGCTCCGAATGCTCCAAATCCTTCACTGCCCGTTCCACTCTGGAAACTCACATGCGAACCCACACGGGAGAGAAGCCATTTGAGTGTCCGAAGTGCCAAAGGTCCTTCAGCATCAAGCAGAGTCTGCGGGTGCACATGAAAACTCACAAGGATTAACTTGCTGGCTGTGCCTTCTTATAATGTGTTCCATTGTTAAAACTAGTTTTACATATATTATGTAAATAAAATCCTACAAATTGTAAGCTAGGTTTTAGTAACCATGGTTGTTAAATGATATAAAAATATAAAAGAAAATTGTAAATTGAGATATATTTTATATTTACAATATTAAATTTTGTTGTTAATATGTACGACTTTTTGAAAAAAGTTATAAAGATAACAGATTTTTTATTTTTCTAACATTTTTGACTACGTATAACAGCTCTTTTTTTTATGCTAAAGAACATATGACACATCATATGCTATATCATATCATATTGCATATCGCACATGTTCTTCTCACTGACTGAAGAAAATTGGAATAAAGGAATTATTAGACTAGGTAAGTTCTATTGCATATATTGTTATTATACATGCTAAAATATTTATTATATAGGGCCGAGGCCATGGAAAAAGTTTGCAGGGCTTGCCTGAAAAGTCCAGGAGACGGAAACCTGGTAAACATTTTCGGTCGAGAGCCCAAACTGGATGTCTCCATAGCCGATATGATCACAGAATGCACCGGATTCGAAGTAAATCCAGATGATTCGCTCCCCAAGACCATTTGCCGTTCTTGTCTGCAGGATACGAAGAATGCCTTTCAGATCCGGAAGACCTGCGAGAGGAGCTACCAGTTCTTTTGTCAGGTTCGAGATGAGGGCATAGAAGAAGCCATATGCGCGTTGCTGGAGGAAGAGGACTGGGAGTTTTCGGATAAGGAAAGCGAATGTTCCCCTAATACTTTAAAATCGGAAGAGGGTAAAACCAAAGAAGAAACTGTTTCCCTTCCAACGAGCTCTAAGAAAAGGAAACGGAGGAGGCGGAAGAATGTTCTCCAGGGGACCTGGGTCCAGGGCTATCAATGCCCCCATTGTTCGCGGTCATGTGTCAATGAGCAAGTTCTGAAAGTTCACCTTCGGTGTCACACAGGTGAAAAACCCTTCAAGTGCCCACATTGCCCAAATTCCTTTGCACAAAAACCCACTCTTGTCTCGCACATTCGCATCCACACGGGCGAGCGACCCTTCCAGTGCACCGAGTGCTCCAAGTCCTTCGTAAAGGGTTCAGATCTCCTGCGGCACAAACGAACCCACGATGGAGTTCGCCCGCACCAGTGTCCGCATTGCAAGAAGTTCTTTGCCAGAAAATCCCATCTGAGGGATCATATTCGAATCCATACGGGCGAGCGGCCCTTCCAGTGCTCCCAGTGTCCGAAATCGTTTTCCTTAAGCCAATACCTTCGGGGCCACATGGCTATCCATTCAAAATCGTTTTCAACAAAAGGGAAGCTTAGCAGGCATAGTACCACTCACTCTAAGGATCCCCTTTTTCCATGTTCTCAATGCTCGGAGCAATTTACAAATCGCTATGATCTCGAAGACCATATGCTTACCCACTCGATCCATAAATGCTCCCAGTGCTCCAAAAGATATAATAGAAAGGGTCACCTAAAAAGGCACATGTTAACTCATAATAATCCAAATTTTATCTAAATTAGTAGAGCTTGAAAATTTTTAAAAATGAAATTTGTTGAATTTGTATATAAATGATAAACTGAAATAATTTAAATGTTTATAAAAATAGTACGGTTTTTACTAGAACAAATTTTTTTTATTATTATACATTTTACAATGAATTATGAATGAAATAAAAATATCACTTTGTTGAACTCTATAACTATCTTTGTTTATGAATATTCTGGTTTGGTATTAAATTCGGTAAATGAAAACTTAAAAAATATTCCAACAAATATATGTAATATTTAATTTGCTTTAAACGAGTTCTTGATACATATTTCGATAAAAAAATCAAGAATCTTTAAATTGAATTAATTTGCGTCCCCGCATCCGAGTATCTGAAAAATGACCCCAATGCACAAAGTATTTTATGACTCCATATAGACTCGGAGTATTAATTTGTCTCCCTTTAAATTTGTTCAAATTGAGTATAAAGTCATTAAAATTCAAGTTTAAAACAGATCTCCAAAGAATTAAAACTGTGTAACACATTTATTTACTAGTATTAAGAGAATGATCCTTAACTATATTTCCAAAACCAGCTGATACTTAAAGTTCTTCAAACGGACTGAGATTCTCCTCCTTTATTGTAATCTCCTCGTATATAAGTTCCGAATCTTTCTTCTTTTTCTCATGCCGTCTAGCGATGTGCTTAGCGAGATAGTCGCTTCTGGAAAAGGATTTTTTGCACTGTTTACAATTATACGGTTTTTCCCCCGTGTGAATGCGTGTGTGCATCTTAAGAGTTTGTTTGTTCGCAAATGTTTCGGGGCAATGAGAGCATTGCAGGCGATTTAAAGAGTGGGTACGAGTATGACGTTTAAGATTAATATCATTTGAAAACGTTTTTTGACAGATTAGACAGTTGTGTGGTTCTTCAGGTGTTTTAGTGACGAATTCCTTCTTTGTATGTACACGTAATACGTGATTTGTAAATGTCTCTTTACCCGTGAAGCACTCTGAGCAATCGGTGCAATTGAATTCCTTCTTTCGATCGTGAATCAGCATGTGTCTTCTAAGTGATCTTGAAGTTCTATAAATTTTCTCGCAATCGCTACACTTGTACTCTTTAGTTTTCTTTTTAATTGGAATTTCCTCCTTGTTGTGTCTTTGGATGTGAAGTTTAAGATGATCCAATTGTAAATAGGACTTTTTGCATTCGTTGCACCTGTAGGGTCTTTCACCAGTATGAGTTCGCATATGTTTTTTAAGAACGGAATTATAGGTAAAGGACTGCAGGCATTCGGGGCACTGAAAAGGACGTTCTCCGGTGTGCGTTCGAGTGTGTTCCCTGAGCTGCGCCGGAATTCTAAAGGTTTTCGGGCAATAGGCGCACGTAAGCGTTTTCTCCTTCGTATGAATCCGCATATGCCTTTTAAAATTCGAGACGAGATTGAAAACCTTCGAGCAGTAGGGACACTGTTGCTCAAAATGATTTCGTTGGTGGACCTTGAAATCATTTCTGCGCCGGCAAACCTTCGGGCAAAGAGGACATTTAAACATTTGAACACGTTTGCTGTCTCCCAAGTCGTCATCAGTATCGTGTGGATTAAAATCTTTATCATTCTCTTCAGAAACATCCTCTTCGGTGTCATCTAGTTCAATATCTTTCTCATTGCCTTCGAATATATCCACTTCGATGTCATTGAATGGATCAATTTCGTTGTCTGACATTTGGCATTTGACTTCTTCCTCGAACAAAGCATTGTGGGTGTGCATATGATCTATCAGAGCATCCTGGTTGTCAAAGAACTCCGAGCAATGGGTGCAATTGAAAACTGCCTTTTCTGGTTGAGCTTGACTGCGGGTTCTGGTAATTCTCTGTGGTCTCGTGGACGTCTTACAATGACTCTTGATGTGCGACTGAAGATTAGCCGGTTGTATGAAGCTTCTGTCACATTTGGAGCACTTGAATGGACGCTCGCCGGTGTGAGTGCGCTCGTGATTGACGAGATGAGATTTTTGTATGAAAGTTTTGAAACACTTGGAGCAATTGTACGGTCTCTCCCCGGTGTGAATACGGAGGTGGGATTGCAGATTGGAGCTATTGAGAAAGGATTTGGGACATTGGGGGCACTTATAGGCCCGTTTTCCAGTGTGAACCAGCATGTGGTTCCTGATTTGTCTTGCAGAACGGAAGGTCTTGGTGCAGTGGTCACAAGGGAACACTTGTTCCGTCATGTGTTCGTTTTTGTGAATATCCAGAAAGTATTTGGTCCGAAATCTTTCGGGACAAAGGGTGCATTTAAACGGGAGTTCTTGTTTGATTGGGCCTTCATCATTAACTTCTCCTATGGTTGTTTCATTGACTGGGCCATTGTATTGCTCCATTTGGATGTCTGGTGCCTTGTAGACATCATCCTGTACAAAGTCTTCTTCCAAAGGCTCGTTCTTCACGTGGCAAACAAAGGGTTCGGGTTCCTGGTCATAGTTTTCCTCGCCCTCCTGTTCATTGTAATCCTCCTCCTCCTCTATGATTTCCTCCTTGACTTGGCAGATAAACTGCTGGTTGGGAACGTAGGTGTTCCTAGCTCTAAATGAACTTTGCATATCCCGCAGGCAAAGGCGACAAATGTATTCTGGGAGAAAGTCCCCTTTGCCAACTGGAAAGCCGGTGGATTCCGAAATCATATCCGCTATGGAAATTTCAAGATCCTGTGCATTGTCAGTCTCAAATATCTGGACCATGTTTTGGTATTTCAGCAAGCAAATCCTGCATTTCCCCTTCATTTTCTGGAAATCGAGTGATTAATGTCAGAGGCAGTTGCATTAATTAATCGGGGCGGCGTACTTACGGTAGTTTGTTGTTAATTTTTATAATTGAAATAAATAATATTTTTCAGATGTTTTGTTTACGTCCTTGGTTCTCCATTGACAGTGCAAATTGTGCTGTTAGGCGCAGCAACACATGTTGCGCTATCGATTAATTACCGATCCAAGGCATACCGACATAACATAAACACGGCGAGCAATATTTGGTCATACTTATTTGAGCACCCTACACCGGGAACTATGAGCAATGCAGGTTTATTATTTATTTTATTCCAGTTAATAAACTAAAAAATTTATTGTTATAACCAATAAACTTTGTATTTTAAGCTGAATAATACAATGTTGACATTATTTCCAGAGCGAAAGGTTGAGTATAATTAAATTGATATAGTAGCGCATGGCCAAGTCGACCTGCCTGCACTATGCTCTAAAATCCAGCGGCTGCTGGAAAAACAGCCACGTAAAAACATAAACGCGCAAATAAAATACTGTCTGTTCTTGCACAAAGCAAACTGAATGAGAGTAAACAAGGGCCATTAGACGGTGCCACAGCGGCAAGCGACGCAGCAGTTGGAGTTGATATGTGACGTGAAGGAGTTGGAATAGATCCGGACCCCAAAAATGACCATGGACGAAAAGCTTAAGTACTCGCTGCTGCGCGGGGAACTGGTGGACACGCAGAGCATATGGACCAGGTGGGATTCTCTCTAAGCATCTAACTATTTCCACCACTAAGTAATCCTCCCCTCTCAACCCTTGCAGGCACGAGAAACGCGTGTGGTTCATCACCCTGATAACGGGCACCTGCATGCTCTACTCCACCCGCACCACCATGCCGCTCCTCGTGCCCGCCGTGGCCTCCGCCCAGAAGTGGAGCAAAACCGACTCCGGCACCGTGCTCAGCTCCTTCTTCTGGGGCTACACACTCACCCAGGTGGTGGGCGGCTACTTCAGCGATCGCTTCGGCGGCCAGCGGGTCATCCTGTGCGCCGCCATCGGCTGGTCGCTCATCACATTCCTGATGCCCACCATTATCTGGTCGGCGGGCTCCATCAAGAGCTATGCCATTCCCTTCATCGTGGCCATTCGCATCCTAAACGGCGCCCTTCAGGGCGTCCACTTCCCCAGCATGATCAGTTTGACCAGTCAGGTGAGCGCTTATGATACTTGATCCTCTATAAACTTTAATGTAAACTCCCGCAGAACCTGTGCCCCAATGAGCGGAGCAGCTTCTTTGGCCTGCTCACAGCTGGCTCCGCTTTGGGCACTCTTTTAACTGGAATCATGGGCTCCTTTCTCCTAGACTACTTTGGCTGGTCGTACGTCTTCCGGGTGATCGGTCTGATGGGCATTGCCTGGGCCCTCGTCCTCCGTTACTATGCAATGGCCGGGGAACGCAATCGGATCATAAACATAGCCACGCCCTCGCGACTGTGCGCTAATAAGAGTCCTGCCGAGACTAGCGCCGTGCCCTGGTTGCGCTACTTCAGTCGGCTGTCCTTCTGGGCCTGTGTGCTCACCCACGCCTGCGAGATGAACTGCTTCTTTGTGCTACTCTCCTGGCTGCCCACCTACTTCCACGACGGTTTTCCGCACGCCAAGGGCTGGGTGGTCAACATGATTCCCTGGCTGGCCCTGCCGCCATGCACTCTGTTCGCCAAGTACTTGACTACGAGATTGCTCGCCCGCGAGTGGCACACTACTACGGTGAGGAAATTCATTCAGAGCTGCTGCTTTGCCGCCCAGAACTTGGCTCTTTTCGTGATGAGCCGCACCTCGGACTTCCACACGGCCCTCATTTGCATGACCATCATCATTGGCGGCACGGGCTTCCACAATAATGCGGTTACGGTGAATCCCCAGGATCTGGCTCCGCTGCACTCGGGCAGCGTCTTTGGACTGATGAACACGGTGGGCGCAATTCCCGGCTTCCTCGGTGTCTACCTGGCCGGTCACATTCTGGAGCTCACGCAGAGTTGGCCCATGGTTTTCAGCGCAGCGGCTGGCATTAATCTGGTTGGTTGGATCATATTCATGGTCTTTGGCTCCGCGGAGGCCATTGTCTAACATTCTCTGGCACACTTTCCTCAGCAGAAACTAACTTATTTATTTATGTGTGTGTATATTAGAGTGGGTCGATTTATATTAATATTTATGATTTAAAACTAATATTCAATTGACGAACAAGAACTTTTCTTGTGAGATGTTAAAGCCAAAAATATGTAGTATCATGGATACTTTAAATCGATTCACTCTATATATATTAATGTATATATTTAAGACCGTAGTTTTAAGTAGCGAAATCTTACTGCTCCTAGCGTGATAAAATACAAATGTTTAATCCATCAAGCTACATTAAATGTTAAATTTATTAAAGGCCGTTTGGAACCTGTATTATATATTCCAATTAGGCTATGCTCTTGCTCATGTACGGTCCGTCCAGTTCGTACCCCAGCTTGCGATAGTAGTTCCTGGTGCCCACTCCCGATATGACCGCCAATTTGGTGCTGCCGTGCTCCTCGCGAGAAATTCGCTCCGCCTCCTCCATGAGCAACATGCCGAAGCCCTGGTGCTGGAACTTGGTGGGATCGCGGGCATTAACCGGCACAACCGAGCCATAAACATGCAGTTCGCGCACAATGGAGCAGGCGCCCTTCAGCTCCGGCCGAAAGGTGTCCGGCGAGCACTTGCGCAGCCTCAGCAGACCGACGAGTATGTCCTGCTCGGGATCTTCGTAGGAGAGGAACGTTTCCCAGCCGCCGTTGGCCACATAATCCCGGCGAATTAACTCGATTTCGTAGGGGCGCACCTTGTTGTGGATCTCCTGAATGCCCACCTCACGCGTCCTCACATCGCGACAGGTTGTTCCAAGGTCTTTCATTCGGGCCAGAGCCAATTCGCGGAGATTTCCGTGCTCCACGCCGGAACTAAAAGGGAAAAGTATGTCAGAATAATTCAAAATATGCCATTATGATCTACCCACCTAACCAGCGGCATGGGAATGTCGCGCTGCACGCGGTAGACTCGTGTCCAAGGTGGCACAAGGGCCAAAATCTTGGCCACCAAATCCACCAGCATTGATGGCGGATAGGACTTGTACCTGCCCGTCTTCCACAACTCATAGAGGCCTGTGCCGCGAATGACGAGTGTGGGATAGATTTTCAGGCCGTCGGAGCGGAAGGCGGGATTCTCGAAGTACTCGATAAACTGCTCGATGTCGCGCTCAAAGTCCACGTTCGGCAGATCGGGCATCATGTGCGTGACGATCTTGTAGCCGGCATCCTTGCCCAGCTGGAAGCTTTCGCAGACCGCCCGTACGGTGTGTCCTCGATTCGTGTCCCTGGCCACGTCCTCGTAGACCGATTGCACGCCGATTTCCAACCGAGTGCAGCCGTAGTTAAGCATGTCCGAGATGTGCCGCTTGAGGCAGTAATCCGGCCGTGTCTCTATGGTGATGCCAATGCACTTGGTGCGCGACTTCTCCGAGTAGCGAACGGCCTCGGCCACATTGGCGCTGCTGTGACCGGAGAGCGCGTCGTGCAGGTTGCGAATGAAGTAGTCGCGATATTCCTCCGGCAGGCACATGAACGTGCCGCCCATCACGATGAACTCCACCTTGTCCACGCTGTGGCCCAGCTGCTTAAGCTGCTCGACGCGGTGGCGCGTCTGCAGGAAGGGATCGTAGCGAGCCCGGATGGCACGCATCGAGGTGGGCTCATAGCCCGTGTACGATTGCGTGGAGTACTCGAAGTCGCTGTCCGGGCCGCCGGGACAATAGACGCAGATGTTGCCGGTCATGTTGATGTGGGGGCAGCGATGCGGCTTGCACATGACGGCCACCACGGCAATCTGGATACAAATTCAAATGAAAAGATTGCTTAAAAAAGGCAGTTCCACTTACTCCACTGGCTGTGCGAATGGGCTTGGCCCTTAGCTTGGGTAGCAGGATCTTTTTGGCGTCCTGCGGAACGGCTGCAATGATGTCAACCAGGCGCGGCGAGCTGTCCAGTCCGTACTTGGAGGAAACCAAGGATTTCATCCTGTTGAGGTTCACATCCTTCTTGGCTTCGTGCGCCTGCAGCAGCTCCTGGATGATCTCGCCGATAACCAGCACCTGTCGCTCCTCGCGGCTCAGGCCGACACCTGTAACGCAACTATAGATTAGCAGGTGTTAAATATATATAATTCCCATCGTTAAACTTGCCCAACTTCTTTTTTGGCTTCATTTTCCGAATGAATTTCGCCTAAATTGCACGTGTGACGTCGCAGCAGCTGTTTTGTTTTGGTTATCGAGCGATAGGCCTAGAGATGATCCATCGATAGGCTTGGACCAATCGAAGAAGAAGAGTTGAGTCGATAGGTCTGGACATCTATGTCTCTCCACCTCTATTGTTTTCGCATCCGTTTTTCGGGAGTTCACAGAATAAAATGACTAGCTGCGTGCCAGCGCAGCAGCAAAAGGACCAGGAGCAGTTGCTGAAGGAACTGGCCAGCAGCGGCGACGAGATGGACGACCCCGACGATCCGGACCGCAACCAGCATGCGATGGTCGAGCCGACGTTCTCTTTTTCGGTGTGTATACAAGGCAGAACAAGCGACGTTCCTGCTCGGTTCGTTGAATAACGCCTTTCCTGCCTTTCCAATATTCGCAGAATAGCAACACCTGCTGGGTGTGCAACGGCTACTATGGGCCCAATTTCGGCGAGCCCTTGTGCGGCGCCTGCCACGCCTTCCTGTACAACGCCCAGCGGGCGGAGGAGCTGCTGACGGAGCTCTCCGATGACGAGGATTCCGGGAACGACGAGCCGCCGTTCAAGGACAAGCAGGAGGACGAGGAGACCGAAAACGATGTGGACATTATGGGCTTTGAAGATCTGGAGGATCCCGAACCGCCGGCCGGCCCACAGCATGCAAATCCCCAGCCAGCAATAGAAGCGCAGGATCAACAGCCAGTTCAGCCTGCTCTGGATCTGCCCCAGCTGGCGAACGAAGCGGCACGCGAGTCGCCGGAGCGTGACTTCGAGCAGGAGCGGGCCATCAATCCCTTCCTGCTGCCCATCAAGCGCCCGCGGGCCATGGCTCCCCTGGCGCTGCCCCATTACATGCATGAACTGGCCGACGGAAGGGCGAGAGTGCATGAATATAACGCTGCCAGCGGAAGCAGCAGCAGCAGAAACATCGTGAACCTAATACCCGTCGAGGTGATGCTGAAGATATTCGCCTATCTGGACGACATGTCGCTGTGGATGGCCAGCGAGGTGTGCAAGCAATGGCACGACATTGTCGGCAAGAACACGGCCCAAAGCATGTGGAAGGCGTATATCAAGCAGCGCTGGCCGCTGTTCGAGAGCTTGGCGGACAATCCCAACTGGTACCGGCTGTACGGGCTCCTGTGCTCCTCCTGCTTCTGCCGCACCTGCCTGATCGAGATGGGCGGCAGGGGTCAGGAACGGCAGCAGCAGCAGCAGGCGGGCCAGGAGCTGGTCGAACGCCAGGAGCCGGGCAACGCGATGCGCAACAATTTCCTGCGCGGCGAGGCCAATCTGCTGAATAGCTACGATTCGGAGGGCATATCGGCCATACCGCTGGATCGACAGAACAACTACTGGCAGGCCACGATACTGGGGCCACCGGGCAGCCCCTACGAGGGCGGCAAGTTCTTCCTGTTCATCTACTTTCCGGAGCGCTATCCGATGACGCCGCCCACCGTGCGATTTCTCACCAAGATCCTGCACCCGAATGTGTCGCGACACGGCGACGTGGGCATCGACATCTTCCAGAAGCAAAACTGGTCGCTGGCGCTGAACGTGGCCAAGGTGCTGCTGTCGGTGCAGAGCCTGCTGACCGACCCTTACACCGAGGTCTGCATGGAGCCGGAGGTGGGTTACATCTACGAGCACGAGCGCGAACGGTTCGAGCAGCTGGTGCGTTCGTGGACCTGGAAGTACGCCATGTTCGAGCTGATTGCACCGCGCTAGGAGATCGAGATCGCAAGGAGACTGGACTGAAAGTTGGAAACTAACCCTCTGCTACGTTGTAACTACATATGTCTGTGTATTTAGCTTAGTTGTGCCATCCGGATTGTTTATTTTGGCCTCCCTCTCACTTTTCCCCTTCACGTCCCCCAGGTCACAACATAGTCGAAATTACTTAACCTAATAATAAATGTATGCTTTAAGTTACGACTGACGTCGCCTCACTTCGTCCAGGAAACCTTGGGGATGTCAAAGTGCTCGGTGAGCGTGTCCAAATGCTCGTTGAACTTCTCCACGCGCTCCTTGTGGGTGGTTTGCGCCTTGTCCATGATCCGCTTGTTGCGCATCTTCTCCTGCTGCTTCTTGCTGGCCAGCTCCGCCTTGGTGAGCTTGCGTTCGTAGCCACTGCCGGCGGCAGAGGAGGAGGAGGAGCTGGTGGCAGTCGCCTCCGCCAGGTGCTGCTCCACGTACGCCTTCTGCAGCTCCTTCTCCTTGTTCTTGTGCTTCTTCTTTTTCTTCTTCAGGTCCGAATCGTTCTTTAGCTTGAGCTTTCCCTTGGCCACGCAGGCGTACTCGTCGGACATGGCTAGTTATCCTTTATTTTTAATGGCCAAAAATGAAAGATTTTCTTGTTTTTGTTTATACTTTTGAGATCTAGTGATGACACCCTCCAGCAAACGTGATCTAGACATCGATTGTTACTATCGATATTATTGACTTATCAAAAGGATAGACATTTTCTCGATAACATTTATCGCGATTTTTTTTTAAATTATTCTAATCAAAAATGTTTTATTGTACATCTTATTCTGTTTTTTTATTTGATTATGTTGTCTGTTAAATTAACAGTGAGTATTTTAGTATTTTTCGAATTTTTCTGAATTTTAAAAAGCAAATTTAACATTGTTCACAGTAAACAAGTTTGCTTATTGATTTGAATCCTAACTTAGCTTTATAGAAATAAAGCAAATACATTTTGTATTTTAATCTAACCTGACCTAAATCAGGTCTAAGTGCGTCATACTATCTTTTTGACATATATAATTACCTTTGCTTTCGCTAAATGTTAGAGTTCCTCTTTAATTATAGCCATTAAAACAAGTTCATAATGCAAATGTGTATTTTGATTGAGTTCTATTGAATGTTTGCTCTGATCAGCTGTCGATTGACAATGCTTTATAAATGCCAGAAGAGACTCATCAGTTCAGTCCGAGTTGTGATTGGAAGGCATTAAGATGCATCTAGCTACTTGTCTTTTTTTGGCGGTTGCCATTTTCTTGATTGCAGGATCCGAGGCAGCCCATTACAAGGGTAAATTTGAGGATCCTGCCCATCCTGGAAAGTGTGTCGTTGATGGCTTGGTCCTTGACCAGGGTCAAACTGGTCGTCACCCAAAAGTGTGTGGACGAGTTGGGTGCGGGAAGAATAGCCAAGCGGACGTCACAACGTAAGTCGAATTTAAACCAGTTCTAACGACTGATTTTAAATTAATTATATTAATAAATAGATGTGGAACTGTCGGAAGTCCTCCACCCGGTTACAAATTCAAAGAACCTCCACCAAACGCTGAATATCCCGCCTGCTGTAAAACTGATCTTGAAAAGGAGTAATGTAAAATTTTAAGACAAATAAAAAAAAACCATGACCATCTCGACGAGAAAAAAAGTTGATTAGTTTAAATATTTGTTTACAAATAATAAATCAGCATTAAAAACCAAAAAAAGAAGTGTTTATCTTATCTGACATATATCTTATCTTTTGACAATATTTTTAAAAAGCTTTGTTGTATACATTTTATTGATCTATGCACTTGTCTTATCATTATAGTTATCAATCTGTCTCGAAAATCATATAAAAGAGACAAATTTAACACAAACTCAACAGTTTGGCCAAAATGTTTCTAAAGCTTACTTCATTATTTGTCTTATTGGGAGTACTTTCCTTGTCAGCGGCATACAAAATAACACCGAATGTCGTTAATGGTAAGATAAACAAGACAGAACGAGAAAAAATAGACTTTAATCATTGGAAATTTAATCAAAAAGGAATTCCCGGGTCACTAAATATATCTACTGCTCCATTCCTTAAAATCGGTGGAGGTTATTATAGAATCGAAAGTAAAGAGGTTAATTGGTATGCTGCATTTGAATCCTGCCGACAAATGGAAGCTGAGTTAATTGCGTTTGAAAACTTGGAGGAAATACAATTGATTTATCAATACCTTATTGATAATAATATTGTTGCACAATATTGGACCGCAGGCACTGACTTGGCCGAGCAGGATAAGCATGTTTGGTTCTCGAATGGACAACCCCTGTCTTCGGATCTCTGGCTCCCGGGAGAGCCAAGTAATTCTGGAAAAGCTGAGCATTGCGATGAAACAAAAATCGCTGAGGGAGTGGGAATGAAACTAAATGACAGGAAGTGCGCTGATCTCATTCCTTATATTTGCAAGGCACCCCAACCAAAAACCGCTTCTTTTATTATCTGGTAGAATGTAAAATTTAATGACATTTTAAATATACTCTTTATACGACAATCTTATAATTGATAGCTATTTCCATCTTCAAAATAATTAAATATATTATTGACTTTGAGTTCGCCGCAATGTACAATTTGCGCGTGCTTGCAATTAAAAAGCCATACATGAAATGAAGATGGAAAAAAATCATTGCCAACAATTAAGCCTATCCGTAAAAGTAAATAATAAATAAATAATTATTGTTTCGTGTTAAGAAGTATCAACTCAAAAATTCTATGTACATTTCCTTTCTTTCACTGTAATTTAATTTTCAAGTGTTTGCAATTAGGAGGGAAATAAAGATTAGAAAAAAACATTGCCAATAATTAATTAAGCCAAGTGGCCAATTAGTCCACATTGATATTTTTGTATCTTATCAAAGATCTTTATCGTTTGAAACGTATTTAATCAAAGTATTTACATTTGAATCAAAGACCATATAAATAAGTCGGTTTTATTACATTTTGGTGCAGTCTTCTAAAAATGTTCTTAAATGTTTATGGACTTTGTGCTTTTTTGGGAATACTTTCCCTGTCTGCGGCCTACAAAATAACACCGAACGTCGTTGATGGTAAGCTTAAGAACTACAAGACATTTTATCTACCAAGATGATTATGGAACTGATTTGTGTGCATTCCCATAGGAATTCCTGGGTCTTTGAATATATCTACTGCACCATTCGTAAAGATCGGTTCAGGTTATTACTTGATTGTGAAAGATGTGAGAAGAAACTGGTACGATGCTTTTGAAACTTGTGGACAAATGGAAGCTAATTTATTTGCACCAGAAAGTTTAGAACAATTTAAACTGGTAGCTCAGCACCTTAATGAAAAAAACACCGGAGGTTATTGGACCGCTGGAACTGACTTGGCAGAACAGGGCAAACATGTGTGGTTTTCGAATAAAAAACCCGTGCCTTCGAACCTGTGGGGTCCTGGACAGCCAGATAATCATAATAATAACGAGCACTGCGATGAATTAAAATTCCACGAAGGAGGATGGTTTGAACTGAATGACGCTCCGTGCACTTCTGGCGGATATTTAATTTGCGAGGCGCCGCAGCCTAAGACAGCTTCCTTTATAATATGGTAGACTGTCATAAAATAAATAAAAATTAAAAAAATATTTGATTTTCATTATCATTCACGCCCACAGAATTCGGCGCAATGTACAATTTGCGCGTGTTTGCAATTGAAAAGCCATAAAAGAAATTAAGATTAAAACACATTTTTTGCCAACAATTAAGCCTAGCCTTAAAAGCAAATCAAGTATAGAGCATTGGGGTATTTTTACTATCTTGTAAAATTTTTATAAAGGTGTGATTTCTTTGGATGGTAAGATAAGAACCTGATTTAAATTATATGGTTATTTCCTTTTTATACCCTTGCAGAGGGTATTATGATTTCAGTCAGAAGTTTGCAACGCAGTGAAGGAGACGTTTCCGACCCCATAAAGTATATATATTCTTGATCAGCATCACTAGACGAGTCGATCTAGCCATGTCCGTCTGTCCGTCTGTCCGTCCGTCTGTCCGTCTGTCCGTCTGTCCGTCTGTCCGTCCGTTTCTACGCAAACTAGTCTCTCAGTTTTAAAGCTATCGGGATGAAACTTTCGTAAAAGTCGTATTTCTATTGCAGGTAGTATATATGTCGGAACCAAACGGATCGGACAACTATATCTTATAGCTCGCATAGGAAGGATCAAAAAAAAAAAACGTAAAAAAATTCTAGCTCCGGTGTTTTTTTAAATTTTACCTTCTACTCTTGGGAACATTTTTTTTTATATATTTCTGAATTTCGGTTTTTTTGTTTTTTAAATCGGATCACTATATCATATAGCTGCCATAGGAACGGTCGAAAAATTAAATGGAAATTAATGGGAAAAAAATTATATCTTTGTTGGTTTTTATTACAGTTTCTTCTACTCTGGGATATGACTATTTTGAAATATTTCCGAATTTCGATTTTAATTTTTAAAAGATCGAACTACTATATCATATAGCTGTGATAGAAACGATCGAAAAATTAATGTGAAATAATAAGAAATTTAACATTTTTGCGATTTGTAAATTAATAGAATGATCTGCAAGGGTATATAAGCTTCGACTTGCCGAAGCTAGCTTCCTTTCTTGTTTACTGTAATTTAAATAAAAAGAGTATGTAGATTACAAAAATATATGGCCAACAATTAGGTCAAGTGACTCATTAATTCACATTTATTTAGTTATCTTATCTATCAAAGAATTTGTATTTGTATCAAATTCCTTATAAATATGTCTTGATTATTATATTTTGCTGCAGTCTTCTAAAAATGTTCGTAAAGGTTTTTGGTCTCTGTGGCTTTTTGGGAATACTTTCCTGGCTACGGCCTACAAAATAACACCGAACGTCGTTGAGTTTAATAACTAGAAGACAATTTATTTACCAAGATGATTATTACGCTGTTCTCTTTAGAAATTCCTGGGTCTCTGAATATAACTACTGCTCCGTTCGTAAAGATTGGATCAGGCTATTACTTTATCGAAAGTACGCTTCTAAAGACTTGGAACGAAGCCTACAAAACTTGTCGAAATATGGACGCAAACTTGATTAGCGTTGAAAGCAAGGCTAAAATGATTAGGTTCATTTTACCAAATATCTCATAGAAATGAAACATTTTAAACTATTTTGGTCCTCTGGTATTAATTTAGAGAAACAGGGAAAACATATTTGGCTTTCGACTGGACAACCCGTGACTTCGGATCTGTGGCTTCCGGGAGAACCGAATAACTTGACAAATAATGAGTACTGCGATGAATTAGAGATCCACCCGGAAATTGGTGGACTGAATGACAAGAGCTGTAGCAGTTTTAATTACTTTATTTGCGAGGCACCCCAGCCAAAAACCGCTTCGTTTGTAGTGTGGTAGGCAGATAAATCATTAATTTTGTTTTTTCAGTTGCACTCGAAATGTTAATAAATATTAAATGTAATAAAAATATTTTTTAACTACAGAGAGATTTTTTGTGGTTTTCGTGCAAGCAATTATCAGCCTGACAAGTAAGTTTTGCAATATAAAGCTTGCTTAATGGCTTGCCATTCATTCATAAGATTACAATCTTTTCGAACTGGCTAACTAGCTCTTCAGATGAAGCTTCATCTTGAAGGTATTAAGATGGGTCCATCAAGTGTTTTGTTGATCATCGTTCTTCTATATTCAGGATCACAGGCTTACGTTTCATACAGTACATTCACTTACAATCGAGAACACCCCGGAAAGTGTTATATTAGAGGAGTTGGCCCGATCGAACATGGTAAAAGTGTAACGCATCCAAAAAGGTGTGAAGATCTTATGTGCATGTACAAATATACAGTCCAGAGACGATCGTAAGTCTGATATTACATAAATAAATAAATAATAAATATATAAGTATAATAAATATGCATTTAGCTGTCCCGGCACCAAGCTTGGATCCGACAAGCCACCCAAAGCTAAGTATCCCGAGTGCTGTAATGAATTAGTTAAACCATATATGTTAAATTAATTAACCAATTATATAAAGAGCTATATACACAATTTTATATAAAAATATAAATACATTATAAATTATTCATTGCATTAGATGTCCCGGTGTCTTGAAGCCTGGATCAATGATTGTATAAGTGTTCTTACCGCTGTTCGTAAATTAAATATTAAACACTTGCACACAATCCCCAGAAGAAATTGTATCCATGTGAAATTTAAATAAAACTACTTTCACAAATAAAGGTTTAGCGAATTAAATCTTAAATTAACGACATCTGAAACTTATAGCCGTCGTTAATGCTGTTAAGTTAGGAATTTTTCGCCAAGTTTATACTGTGTCTCATGGAAAAGTATTATTTCCAAAATGATTCTTAAACTAACTGGACGTAATGCCTTCTTGGGAATACTTTTTCTTTCTGCGGCCTTTAATCGATCCCCGAATATTGCTGACGGTGGGATTTCTTTTGTTTCTTACAAAGATATTTAAAGGAAGGTAATTGTTTGTTATTTAACCTAGGCGCTCCTGGGACCCAATTTGTAAATATCGGATCAAGTTATTACTACATTGAAACAAATCTTAAAAAGAATTGGTTTGATGCCTACGAATCTTGTCGACGAATGCAAGCAGATTTAATAACGCTCGAAACCTTGGATGAATTGATCGAGGTGAATAAATACCTTGTCAAGCGGAACATTTACAAAAGATATTGGACCTCTGGAAATGACCTGGCCAAAGAAGGAGAACATGTGTGGTTTTCAAACGGAGAGCCATTACGCCCGAATCTTTGGTACGTGGGAGAACCAAACAATAAGAATAGGACGGAGCATTGCGATGTGATGGGAAACGAATCGAACCCAGAAAAATTACCTGGAATAAATGATAGAAGATGCCTCTTGGAAAGTAGTTATATTTGCGAGTCATTAAAGCCACAGACTGTCGTGACCTGTGTAAAAAATTAATAATTAATTGTATACAAGTCAGAAATACCCTTTTATAATTTAAAAGGGTAGAAAAAAATAAATGATGCTTGTGCATAAGTGCTTGCTTTAATCTAAACATTATTTTAAATAGGTGCTCCTATTTAAGTGCAGCGCATTGTGTGGTTTCTCTTAGGCCGCGCGATGCGCTCTTTCGCCTCTTTTCCGGCTCTCTTGCGCCACCCACGCCGAGGTCCGTGCGGAAAGCTCGGTGGAAATTGCGGTTGTGCTCGCGAACTTGTTAGCATTCCGCCAGCATTCCGCACTCGGGTTCAGTTGTTCAGTTCCAATCCAACGGGCGACGGAACAACATACCGTGTGTGCTGTGTTCGCTGGAGGCGCGTCTGTAAATATTTAAAAATTAAAAAACATATTCATAAATGGCCCAGGCCAGAAACACTGCGAGAAAATCCAGCAGCGAAGTGTGATTTCGAATGAGTGGTTTCAAAGTGACCAGTGCGAGCCAAAGTCGTGTTTTGTGGCCATACACAGAGAAAAAATATGATAATAAATCATAACAAATGCATTTGAAATATAGAAGTTGAAAAGTAAAAAAAATTATAAAAAAATTGAAAGTGCGAAGGTGAAAATTCTGCTCACTCTCTTTGGTTCTCACACTGCCTCTCTCTTCGCTCTTTTTCCTGCGGAAACTAACGGTTTAGGCAAAAAAGTGCCGTAAAAGCTCGCTCCTTTCGCACATGCGTGTGCGTGTGAGAGTGTGTGTCGGTGTGCTAGCATCCTGTAGCAAGTTCTTCACTCAAGGATAACAGTCGTAAAAGCACAACAATGTAATGAACAATATCAGAAAATATCATCATCATCACCATCACCATTCTCATTCTTATGGCGAGGGAAAATATTACGAGTGTATGCGTGTGTCTCGCAGGTTCTCTTGGCTCACAAACTTTAATGTCCTTCTTTGTCACTTAGTTTTATGCGACAGTCGCCGTCGAATGCGGCAATACGAGGGCATTTGCATACGATTTACGATTCCCGTAGCCTCCAAAACGGGCAATCCTACGGGTTAAGTCTGCTAGGAAGCTGCGGTTCCTACTCCCAAAACCCCCTTTTCAAAAACACACGAACACACACACTGATAGCCAAGGGCATGTAACAGGTAACACAACACAATTGACACCTGTCTCGCTCTGCATTTCCGTCGCTCTCTCGCTCTCCGAGCTTCCTTTGTGTAAGGTCCTGTAATACTCGTTCCGTCAATAACAACAGTTGCCACAAAGAGCCATTTCAATGTCATGAAACCATGTTAAGTTCTCATCAGGCGAATTAAATGCCAAGGAGATTTCTGATCGAGTGAGTTTCCACCAATTCACTAGGGAAAAATAGATCAATAAATTATATAAAATATTTATTTTTAGATCAATGGTCCTCGATAAAAAAAAAAAAGTAACCCTTTATTACGACTTAAAAAAATAAATTGCTACTACAAAATTCTAAAGAAAATATATACCTCCAAAAATAAAAGAAATAAAAAGTATAATGAATTATACTTCAGTTTTTCTATGTAATATAGTAAAATGGAATAGTTTTTGATCGAAAAATAATTGATTTACAGTCCGTACTTAACATCTTTTTAGCTCATTAAAATTGTTTAAAAATTCAACATTTAATTTATATTGTACACTTTCCGAGATACTTGCTAAAATATCAATTTTAAATTAATAAAACTTTCTGTATGTATGGGGTCACTGAGAACATTCTTAATTTAGAAACGGTCAGCTTTGGCCAGCACATGTTAGTCTAGAGTTTGTCCTGTTTGTTTAAATCCCTTTTTGAGTGTCCAAAGTTAAATGACGAAGGAGAGGGCAACTGGGTTGGGGAAAAGTCGCCAACTTTTTCATTACAGTTGCACATCAAGTTGAAGTTTGTCGCATGCTGGATGACCTTTATGCAAAATAGGTCCTGTCACAGTCCAGGACCTCCCCCTCCCCCTGTCCTCTGACTCTCCCAATGCATTCGTGCATTATTAAGCGACAGCTCTTCTATTATTCAGCACACACATGATGTCTGTGTTTGGGCTGTGTAATAAAAATTGATTCATTATTCATGCAAAGGCTTCACTGTGGTCAGCCAGCAGTTTTTCCTGCCGTTCTTATTGAAATGCCATTAGCGAAATTCGTGCGATTGCCAATGCGCCGACGCGGCGTATACGCAATCTGGCATTGAGATAATATTTATTCGGATGGTGGAAGCGGGAAATGGGGCATTTGCCAGGTGGGCAGAGATTTGCATTAATATTGGCGGAACAATGCTGGCCATAATCATTACGAATGCAGATAACTGGAAGCCCATAATGCCAGGTAGTTCAGCCTAATTAAAAGAGAGAGGGCAAGTGGAACAAAGGCCAAGAAGATTGCCTTGTGGTGATGCGTGAATTTTCGTAACAACAGCAAAGAGAAAAAAAATTACAAAAAATAAAAAAAAGGGGAAAAAAACATTGGCAACATTTCGTGGTTGTTTTCAGCGAGTTGATTCCGTTTTTGTTTGTGTTTGCCTGCCTTGCCGGAGCACGCGTGTGTCTGCGTTACCTTGGACAAGAATAAACCATCCAAACATCCTGCAGCAACCAAAGCAGCCGAACATCCAAGGCATCCCAGCACCCAGGCATCCATCTACTTGCCCATTGTGGTTGTTCTTGGGCTCTTTCTCCTCGGCGCGGCCTCACGTTCATCCTCATCTTTTGTGAATCCTTGGCGCAGCAGATTCTAGTTGGTGGCCTACTCTGAAGGTGAGTGCAAACATTCGTGGTTTTTTCCTCGCTTTTTTTCGCTTTTTCCTGGCTCAATCGATTATTCCCTAACTGAGCTCCAACTTAAATGAGCCATAAAATCGCATAAAAACCCGAATGAAAAATTCATACTCATTTGGGAGGCCTGCAAAAGAGAAATCATAATAAATGTTTAAAATGAAAACGCCCACATCAGCAAATTATTCAATGTATTCTTTATTCCCCGGAGATAAATAGTTTTATTTGCTTGTGGGGCATTAAAAAAGCATCTAAATCAATTTGGCAGTCAGGCATCGATTTTTTATGATAATGTTTACAATGAGGCGAGAAACGATAATAATCAAAACTATTTTGAATACAAAAATCAGCATTTGTTGCTACATTCATTCACATTTTTCTGAGCTAATTGAATTTCACTCATCGTGCTTTTTGTAATAAAGAATTTTTACTTCAATAATTTATTTTTAATTTTTTATGAAAGTAAATTATATAGTTTTAGGTATTGTTATATTTTGATTCAATTTAAATTAAGTTTTAAAGGAATAAAGTAGATAGTCTTGCAAACTTTCATTTAAATTTATGTAAAATCCTTGTATTCCCCCTTTTTCATCTCTATTCTTCAAGTTTGCTGACTATTTCCATAGCAAATATTACCATTTGGCTGAAAAGAAATAACGCTCAAAGCGATGAAGAAGGCGAGCCACATTCAAACAGTGGAAAATGTCAACAAACTTTTCGATTTGTGTCACGACGAGTTCTCTACGCTGAACTTACGTGGATAAACGACCGTCTAAAGCTGAGATTGACATAGCTAACACCCCATTGACACGCCCATAAATATAGGCAATCCACAGACGGGGCGTGGCATAATGGGCGTGTAGTGAAAACAGTTTGTTATAATTAGACAGCAGTGACCGGCAATTAGAGTAAACTAGTTACTCGCTAATGGCCTCGATGTTGCCTACTTTTGTGCGCTCTGCAGAGGGAAAACGGGGCGGATACGTTATTTTGCTTAGAACAATTACTTTTACCACTTACGTTCGATTTAATTATAACGTTGAGTAGATTTAATTGTAAGCTAAAAAATAAACAAGACAATAAAAATGAAATAACTGTTTTAACAACTTTAAAACAAATATATTATTATACTTGAATAATGTTTCCCATTTCTAAAGATGAATGTATTATGATGTATCAATATTATCGCAAATCGGAACTTGTTTTTTAGTACACTTGCTGCGAGAAATGGGTTTCAAAGCTGAAAACAAATGTTTTAGTCACATTTGGTAACAAATCACGATCGATATTTACCAGATAAGCGTTTCGTTTTCCGATAACAGTTGATTGCCTGCAAAATACATGGATGACGAACGGTATAATAGCATTTGTTATCCCTGCTGGCACATCCGGGGTTATTTTTTATGGGACAGGGTCTATCGCAATGTTCCGCAGCAACACAGGCTTTTATTTTGGGAATATCTTTCAGTAAAAAAATACAACAAGCCTTTGGGTTAGTTTACCTAGTAAAAGCAGGCAGAAGAGCTTCATCTTCTGTAGGTGCTGTAAAATATATACAAATTGACTAAGTTAGGGCTGTGAAATTAGCATAACTAATTCCATAAAAAATATTACAAAATATATATAATATTTCATGCATGAAATTTATTCAACTATGGCCTTTCATAACAATATACATTTTCCTATTGAATGCTAGTCCATGAATAACAAACAAGCAGATGGGTCAGAAGATATCTGCTTCATAATTCATGGCAAACATTACGTTGCGACTACTACAAATCATGGCGAATAAAAATTCGCTCGACCCCCCAAAACATTTTTATGGCAACCATCTTTGCCAACAGCTCGTAAAACAAGAGCAACAGTCCGCAGTGCTTTAGTCTCATAATTTATTTTGCATACACACTCCGACTGGTTCGAGCAACAAAATAAGAAACAAAAGGAAAAAACCAGCAAAACAAGGATACACTCCTCGCAAACACACATAAGCGAGCATTGAAGGAAAAAAATTCAATTTCAAATTTTGGGGACCACAACTCCTGCAAAAAGAGCAGTGAGAAAAATAAATGAGAAATAGTTTGCCACTTTTCACCAATTGAAAATTAGTTGGGAAGAGGAAGCCATTTATATAAATTTAGGGAATTGATATTTTGCTCCATAAACTCGTGACAATTTGACAACTATTTTGACAGCATAAAAAGCGTTATATTAAAAGCTGGCCCAATATTTGATTTATTGCGTTAAAATATACACGTTATTCACATATTGATTGGCAATCATTTTAGACGATGTATAAATTGTGGTCATTAAATGGCAAACGATTCTGTTGGTAGATTAACGCGGTGTGCAAATAAGCTTTATTGATTTTTTTAGTTTTGGGAAATGAATAAATTATGGTTTTAAAAAAATAATCATTTTTGTTTAACTTTTTTCTATCTATATTTCTATATTACTGGAAAAAGCTTATTATACAAATATTTGTTTTTATAGTTCCTTTAGTTATTTTAGCGAAATATAATTCCTAAATATTTAATAAACATTATATCTTTTCCTTAAGCCAAGAATTCAATTTCTAGAGTTGGCTTCTGTGAGTTGAGTCCCCTTTTTTTTAGAGGGTGAGACCAAAGACAGCGCGTGAAAAGTAATGAATAAATAAAGTTTGGCTGTAGTTCGCCAGTCGAGCAGTTAAAGATTTTCCCGGCCAGCCAGCCAACTTGGATATGGATATTGTACAAAGGTGCGAGGGCTTGTGCGTTTGCATATTTTAAGCTGCTGCTTTGCACCTTTTACATTTTATATGCCGTGCGGCGGTTGAATTTGAGTTTTTGGCCCGTCGACTGGCCCTCGACTTTTTCCTTTTCTGCGCCCACTTTTATTTCAGTTTCCGTTTATGTACACATTTGTAGCCCGGCCAACATCCACATCACCTTCACCTTTCGCACACACCGAGAGGTCACCATTCCCTGCCAATTTATAAATGCTGTATGTACATGTGTTTTCACAAGGCTTTAACTTTGGCCTCTCTTCCCACAAAAAAACAAAAAAAAAAGCACAGCAGAAAAACGAAGAAAATAAAAAAAGTGTAATATTCACTTTTTATGCTGAGCCTGGCACTTCTCGCATGCGACTAAAAACCAGCTGCGGTTCCCCTACATTTCTCTTGCATTTCTCGAAACTTTGCGGACCCATGGTCAAGTTTCGGTTGGGCAAACAAAGAAAACCCGATTTCTTTGCCAGTCCCTGCCGAATCGGAACTTTTGTGGCGTGTTTTTTGCTTTTTTTGTTTCGTTTTTTGGTCCTCTACTCGTTTTTGGATTTGGGTTAATGGCCAACAGCACACACATTTTCACATTTCTCCACCGAATTCCAAGGCATTCCTCATCTTTGATAAGCCAAAGCTAATTTTAATGGAAAATTTGCAAATGGAATGCGTGTAAGTTGAAATTAAATCCGCTGCCAGTACATCAGCTTCATACACCGACTTTAATTAGTTTCAGTTTCAGTTGAATGCGTTTAACACGACCACCAAATTAATTTCTGTTTTGCGGATTAGCTAAAGCACCTCTTATCAGGTTGATACTCGAGTGGATTAGAGATGAGAATTTGTATATCAATTACTAAAATAGTTAAAGGTTAAAGTTCTACAATTATTTACCTTTTTTTATAATAGTAATTATTTATTTAGTGCAACATATCAAAATCTATTAAACTCTTTTCGATGTAAGCAATTTAAAAGTATCATAGAAATGTATAAATTTAAATATTCTGGGTATACTAAGCAAGTTATTTGATTTATATATATTTTTTTATTTTATTTTATATTGTAATTTTATTAAATTTCATTATAGAAAATAAAGAATTTCTCATTTAAATCAAAAGTAGGTATTTTAAATAATATTTTATAAACAAATGCTTCTCCTAGCTGCTCATCTCTGTCACTAAATGTTGATTTGATGGTTCTAAATCGAATTGAATAATTAAACAGTTGGCTGGGGACAACTGTTCATCGGCAATCGATCACATAATTGAGATGCGACTTTGATTGCATTTTGCTGTGGAAAATTAGAGAGCCGGGGAAAGGGGGGAAAAATGCTAGCCTCTGATTGTGTGGGCGAGGACAAGAGGGAGGGGATCGGGGTCTGGTCGGGTCAGAGGGCAATTGGCCTTAAACCGAGATGCCTGTGAATTGGGAGCAACTGTCGAGGTCGTCACATTTGACCCGCAATGCAGCCGGGGCTTAATCTGCCCCACAGTCGCATTCAAATGTCAATTAGTGTTGTAGCTGTGGTTTCAATTTCTCCACCTCGCCCCTTTTATCTTTCCGGTTCTCTCTGCCCCTTTTCCATCCGACTTCCCAATCCCCCGGGAAGCCATCGAGAGATTGAAGGCCACATCCGGATCCTTGGCCAGCGGTCAATAAATCTGGGCCCCCATCTGAATGGTCTTCTGCCAAGAAAAGAAAAGCTCCATAAACAGTTTAGCTGGCTGGGCGGAAAATTATGACCCCCAGTGCAGTAAATAATAAACACTCATATTTATGCGAATCTGTAAAATTAGCATAATTTCAGCGGGTCTAATCGATTTATTCAGCTCGTGTTTAGCTGCTTGGCTAATTTCAATAAAATTTCAGTTCATGACATTGACCTAATTTAAAACAAAAAACATTTACCAACTAGAATTTTCAATTGCACTCAAGTTTGCGATTGCAGCAATCTGGAAAGTCATCATCCCAGTTCAGATACTCCGTATAGCGACAATCATCCGGTGGTACTTTCTTATCGCAGCTATATTTGGTTAAAAATATTAGTGGTTTTTTGATTAATATTTGTAAATATTATTTATAGATTTATATTATTAATTAAATGTTGTATAAGAGATGAAAATAATGAATTCCTAATATTAATAATAATAACAATCTTAATATACTCTTATTTTAAACGATCTTAAGGCTTTCGGCTGCTATAGCTCTTCCATAATGTAGATAAATTATTAAAAAAAAGTAAGAAATGACCTACTTGAGTGATTAATATCATTCTTTAATTGAAAGTGATGTACAAATATTTCTAATATCTGAACAAAAACCGAAGAACTCACGTGAAAAGTAAACCATAGCCATCTCCACTGCAGAAAATAGTGGTACAGGGCAGGGACATTAGGCGAAATGCCTCGCCCAATTTGAGCAGCACCAACGAAGAGCCAATATCGATAACGCAGCGATTGGGATAAGCTTTAAAAGATTTTCCAGATTTAATAAGTACTCTCCTAACCCATCATCAAACTCACCCGAATCTGCGTAGTTGTTAAGGGAAATATCAGCAAAGGCTTGGAATATAACCAAGCTCCAGAGAAGTCCGAAAAGAATAAAAGTTTCTGGACCGAACGACATTTTTGTCTTAAATCTTATTAAATAAATATACGATTGAAAACGATAGATCAGCCTGCCTAGTTGCAGAGCTGAGCTCTTCTACAGCACTCCGGATAGGGGAGCTCTGGCTTGATATATTCACCGTGGCGGCAAGGTGGTGACAGGACAGTCACTCCGCAACTGCCAAAGGACACAATTAGATTTGCATTTTTAGCTGCAGGAACTTTCAGCCAACGCACCTGTGGAAAACGACCCGTCCGTTGAGTCCACACACGATTTTGCGGCACTCGTGCGTGGGATCCTTGATGCTGACACCCGGATTCAGGACGAGTCCCTGGTTGATGGTGCACTTACCAGGATGGTCTGCGGATGTCACGGCGAAAGTGAAAGTGGACCTGTCAACTGGAATTGTCTGCACTCACTCGGATCGGAGCGGATTCCTTCCCATTCGGCCGAATGGCCCCAGCAAAAAAGGATCCACAGGAGCGTGACGCCAAGGATAAAGCGAACCGAGGCCATGGGTTACCCTAACTTCGCAGATTGGGTTTGCAAAATGGAAGTATTAAGAGTACTTTTTCAAATGCTGTTGTTCCGAAAGCCAGCTTGATTTAAATTTATTTTTAAATATAATCCATTTTTTATTCACTCACTATGCTAGTAAAATTTGTCATACTTTTCCTAAACGTAAACCAAAAATTTTAAACATAATTGCATTTGAAACTCATCTCGCAGCAATCGGGAAAGTCAGCATCAATATTCACATAGCCATCATTCACACAGCCCTTTGGGGGATAATTCTCCTCGCAACTGGGTGTTTACAAATATTTTAATATTTTTAGTACAATAAAATAATGCGGATCAGTGCTGCCATTTTGTCCTTTTTCCGGACAGATCTGTCCTTTTTTTAACGGGTTTATCCGGAAAAAATTTCAAACATCCCCTATCCGGAAATCTGTCCTTTTTTCAAAAATAAGGTTTTGAGTGTTATTTTTGCCAGTCGAAAGTGTGTAAACCTGTTTTTATATGCTAAAACGCCTTTTTAACCATCAATCTTACAGTTCGGCACTTAAAAAATAATTATTTTTACAAATTATCAAAGAGACGTAAAGCAGTCGATGGATTTTCTTTATAGTACGATTTTTTCTGTAGCAAAAAAAAAGAGGAAAACACTTTAAAAATTTCTCAACTTTTACTCTCTGTTTTTTTGTCAGAAAAAAATTTCAGATTTTAACGTCTCTTATTCGGGTTTGAGGCAGATATTGAATTTTTTTGTATTACCAATATAGTTACTTGAAATGCTCTTATTATTTTAATAATTTTAGATTATTACGTATGGTAATAACCATTACCATGGTAAAATGTTCAAACAAAGAAGGATGTGAGTCGGGCGCAGTAGGTCATTACATAATTGAGTTTAATATAAAATCCATTTAAATTAAGTAATTATATAACACATTGGTAAAACAGAAAAATGGAGGCGCATTTACTTTTGTCCCTTTTTTTGTCCTTTTTTAAAATTTTTTGTCCTTTTTTTCCCTGTTTTTTTTGGCTTATCTGTCCTGTTTTTCAAGCTGAGTGATGGCAGCACTGATGCGGATAAGCCTACCTATAGACCAGGGCCCAACCATCCCTACCGCACTCGACTCGTGCGCATTTTGTGGGATGGTGGACTGATTTTTCACTCTCGATAATGACCTCACCATTGGGACCCTCGATTACACACTTGTTGGGATGCCCTGTGGCAAGAAATGATATCAGGATATTAAATAAATAATATTAATTAATAAATAAAGAGTGGGGTTTTAAATATGTTTCAATTCATTATGCCCTGTGGCAAAAAAAAATGTCAGGCTAGAAAATTAGTAATATTAATTATTTTAGCTTGTTGCTTTTAATATATTTTACAAAACAGTTAAAAGATAAACTTAAACTGAACCATAATGAAATTTAATTATTTTTAAAAAATCCTTTTAGTGGAAAGATATGATATAAGAATATTAAATAACCTATATTATTAAAGCAATTAGATTGCCATTTAAATATTTCACTCGATTAGGATGCCCTGTATCAATTTAAGAATAGTGTGAGGTTAAAAAATAAATAATATAAATCAATTTAGCTAATTGGTTTTTAGGAACCAAAATTTAAAAACAAAATCTTCAAAATAAATTGCAGGTATTTGTTTAAATTTGAATGTTATTATTTAAAGCAGTTTATTACTTCCATCATATTACACAATCTACATTATATTTATAAATATCCCTTAGTTATTCTATTTACTGTAATTCCCTATTGATACCTTTCTTACCGTCAACCGCTAGAATTTCATAATTGATGTTGGCTGCCAAAACGCCATGAATCATTATAATTAGTGCCAGGATAGTAAAAACTCTGGATTGCGGCATCCTGTGTCTGTGCTCCTCTGTCGCTCTGTCTGTCGCCTGGTGTATTTTCAGGAAATTTGACTAAAAGATTCGATTTTCCGAGCTGTCTGTCTGCGAATGTGTGTTTGTGGAGTGCCAGGCCTGCCTCGTTGCAAATTCCATATGCGCATTTTAATTAAAATCCATTCAGAGGACAGACAGATGGGAATGGGAATGGGGATGGGGATATGCTGATGAAGTTATCGAATATGTTAATGCAGTTATTTGCAGCTGCATTCGGCTTGTGTCATCTGTTGATGTTGTTGCATAATTCGATTAAGTGACGCTGTCTCCGGAGCTCTGTGTCCTCTGCCCTTTGCCCCCTGTGTCTTCCCTCTATACAGTCAATGTAAATGTTGGTTTATTTGCCCGTCTGTCCTCTGTGTCTCTTGTGTAAATTGTGATTGCTGGTGTGTGTCACTCAGCGGCTCATTCGCAATCCATTTGAATCCGCATACACAACCGAAAGGCAGACAAATTTGTGGCAGCCATCTAATTGATGCAGCTGTGTACTCACATATCCTTCCTTTTTGAAGGTGGGCTCACCTTCACTACCCACTATTGGGTGAAGTAAAGTAAATGCGATTCTAGCTGGCGTGTTGCTTTGATTACCTTACCTCTGGCCTGGCTGGCCAATTAGCAAGCGACCTCCATTGTTCGCCAGTTGAAATTAATTGAATCGAGTGGCCTCAGCTGGGCCTGAAATATGCACTTCAATGAACTCATCTCGACCCCACTGGCTGGCTAATTAACCGACCCACTCGAAGCTCAAATAAACACAGCAGAATTTGCCAGCGAGAGTGGTTGGTTTAAACGAAGGGAAAATAAAGCGTTCTATTTCAAGTAAATCTTAGATGTTGAAGGGTCTTCCTAAGCTGCACTTACAGTTTGGTTTTGGATTACCTAAGTTTGGATTTCTAGTTAATAAATAATATAGAAAATTCTATAATTTCGATTTTATTTTAAAGAACATTTTTAAGTTAAATGACATATTTGAACAAAATAATTTACTGTACAAAAAAAAAACAATTAAAAATGTGGGTATTTAATTGGAATTGTTAAGGGTAATTGATTTTATTAAGATCATTAACTGCAACATATTTTGGTACTTAAGTTAATGGTTTTTGGGTTCGTTGAACGATTAAATTTGTGTGTTGTTTGCACAATCTCTTTTTGAAAAGATCCTAAAGAGCTGCAGTTGATACTCAGTATTAGAACTGGGCCATTATTATCGCCTCTGGCCACTTAATTGAGCTATGTCTAGGTTATAAAAACCAATAAATTTGCGTGTAGTTCCCACGATAAATTGAAGAATTTTATTGGTCCCTCAGTATCGGATTCAAATTTATAAGCTGCACGAGCCAATTGTACAAGTAGTCGTATTTGTGAGTTTTGCGCGAAGTATGCCATTTGGTTAAGAACTTTGTATCTAATCGGTCGAAAGTTGTTTTTTTTGCTTGCCTGCTAAAATCCTATAAAGACCAAAATTCTTTATTTGTTCTAACAGTCTTACCAAAATGTTTCTAAAGCTTACTGGACTCTGTGCTTTCTTGGGAATACTTTCCCTGTCTGGGGCCTACAAAATAACGCCGAATGTTATTGATGGTGAGATTTAATAGTTAATATAAAAATTATTTTGAAAGCTTATTTTTGTGTATACAAATTAGGAGTTCCTGGGTTCCTGAATATAACCACTGCTCCATTCGTAAAGATCGGATCTGAATATTACTTGATTAAAAGTAATGCTGTAAATTGGTATGCTGCCTACGAAAATTGTCGAGATCTGGATGCAGAATTAGTCGCGTTCAAGAGTTTAGAAGAATTTCATCTGATAGCTCAGTACCTTAGGGAGAACAATTTGATTAATAAATTGTATTGGACTGCTGGCACTGATTTGGCGGAGCAGGATAAACACGTTTGGTTTTCGAACGGGCAACCTTTATCTTCGGATCTGTGGTTACCTGGGGAGCCAAATAATCGAAATAATGTGGAACACTGCGATGAAATACAAGTCCGTTCGGAAGAGAGACAGGGACTGAATGATAGGGACTGTTCTGTTCTGAATCACTATATTTGCAAGGCGGCACAGCCAAAGACAGCTTCTTTCATAATCTGGTAGATAATTTAGATGCTTGAATTCAAGAAAGCAATGTACCCCTTTTTAAAAACTCTTTCAAATAAATACTGTTTTATAAATATTATAATTACTGAAATTTTTGGGTTTTTGGGCCAGTGCTGCCAGCACTCAGCAGACAAAAAAAAAAATTAAAAAAAAGCAAACTGGAGGTCAAACGTAACTTCTTCTACACATATGTGTTTTTATTATTGGGATCCACTTTGTACTTAATCTTAATCTAATCTTTTGCCCCCTACTCGATACCATTTTCGCTTGATCATTTGATCGTGCTAAAGTTTTTATGCGCTTACCTATTATTTAAATAAGGCACATTTTATGTCATTGTTTCTACGTTTATGCTATGAGGATCCTGATTTTTTAATAGCGCGATAAAAACTTAGGTCTGTTTATGCGAGATGCCAGCGCTTTATCGGACTAAAATTAATCTGACTGCATGATTAATGCTCGTGGAATTTTTCAAGAATTTTGCACGAGCTACATAAGTATGTCAGCCACTTGGTAACCTTTTTGCACCGATCAGAAGCAATCCAAATTTATCTTATCGGTCGAATTTTTTTTTTAACGCTTAAATCCTATAAAAGTTCAGAATTCTCAAATAGTTCTTACAGTCTTACCAAAATGTTCCAAAAGCTAACTGGACTGTGCGTTCTTTTGGGAGCACTTTCCCTGTGTGCGGCCTACAAAATAACACCGAATATTATCGATGGTGAGGTTGAAAGTTATATAGACTAATTTGTTTTTGGGAACTAATTTTCAAGTGTTCTAACTAGGAGTTCCCGGTTTCCTGAATATAACTACTGCTCCGTTCGTGAAGATCGGATCAGATTATTACTTGATTGTAAGAGAGGATGTTAATTGGTATGCTGCCTACGAATCTTGTCGGCAAAAGGATGCATTCTTAATCTCGTTTGACGACTTGGAGGAATTGAATCTGATAGCTCAGTATCTTGTAGATACGGATGCCGATGTATCTTATTGGACGTCTGGCGCAGACTTGGCGGAGCAGGATAAACACAAATGGTTTTCAAATGGGCGAGCCTTGTCTTCGGATTTGTGGCTTCCGGGAGAACCAAATAATTCTGGAAACGTGGAGCGTTGCGTTGAATTTGGTATTCGCCTGGAAGTGCCAGGTTTGAATGACAGGAACTGCATCCGACTTAATTCATATATTTGCAAGGCGCCCCAGCCAAAAACCGCTTCTTTTATAGTCTGGTAGATTGATGAGACTGTAAAACAAAATAATATAATTAAAAAAGTAAAGCCCGTTCGTAAAATATTTTAAATACATTTGGCTTTACAAATTTATTAAAAACTTTTTTTTAGTTTGGTCAGTACCAAATGTTTTTGAGAATTATATGCTATTATATATATATGCTATTCTTCATTTTGTTAGCGGTTTCTTTTTATAGCGGCGGTCGATAAACTACTTCATGACATGAGTACTATTTTTGATTCTGTTAATTTATGATGCAATGTTCTCGATTTACGTTTAATTTTAATAGGTGCCAGGCAATCGATTTCCGATTTTTTATTAATTTATGTGTACATCTAGATAACAATTTCTTTCCTTCCGGTTCTTGGTATTATCAATTTCTGCAGTTGTTAAGCTAGATTATATTTGTCTGGGTTTTAAGGGCCAATAAATTTGGGTGTGGTTCCCACGATTATTTGGAGTATTTAATTGGTAGGTACCTCCGTTTCGGATTATTTATGCGATTATTGCTCTATAATTCGTACAAGTGATTATTTTTACGCATTCTGCTCGATGTATGGCATTTAGTTATTAATTTTTACCTACATATCTGAAGTGGAGCGAATTAATCTTATCGATCAAAAACGCTTTCCCGTTTCTTGATCGCTCGACCTATAAAATAATATAGAATGTTATGGATGGTGAGAATTAATTATTATAATTGGAAGCTAATTTTTGACTATAACTACTGCTCAAATCGTAAAGATCGGATCAGACTATGACTTAATTAACAGTGACAAAACGGTTAGCTTTCTTTGAAGTTTGGTAAATTGGGTATATATACTTCAACTAAAATTAATTAAATGATATACCTTTTTGATTATCATTATTTTTAAAAATGTCTTTAAAAATGAATTCCAAATTGTTAACGCAAAATCAAAAATATAAATGGTGCCAACTAAAGTGCTAGTCCAATTATTTAATTTCCCACCTTTGCTGTTGCCTATTTTATTTTTCATTTCTTTCTTTGCACCTGATCCAACGAATTCCTGTTTCCGCTTTTGGCATAAATAAAGACCAAAATTGTTTCGATCGATAGAGCAATAGAGCCATCTACACACGCACATGGGCCAAGGTATTTGCATATATAAAGAATCAACACATATATGTGGCATAAATAACAAATTGGCCGGGTGAACGCATTTTTCGGTGGGTAGGGATTGGGTTCGATGGGTCAAATGCCGGGTCAACTTTTGGTCTTCTATTTTTTTTTTGGGGATTCAAAGGTGACCAACCTTCAAGTGTTCCACATATATATATTATTTTTTTCTGTCCCGAGGCTTGGAACCCAGAGGTTCAAGAGTTTCGTCTGGGCTTTCGTTTCGTTTTTTATGGTCTCACATAAAAACACACATCATTATAATTTCAATGATATTAAAGTCCATATCAAAGTGAATGAGATACAAGCGAAATGCTTTATTTTTATTGCTCTACTTTTTCGGCGCTTTTAATTTTTGTGACGCCTGCCCGGTGACCCCAGGTGCCGCCCACCTGCCCACCTGCTCACCTGTTCACCTGGGCGAACACACTCGCATACAAATTGCTTCCTGTCCCAGTCTCCCAATCTCCCAGTGAAATGTCTGCGTTAAAAGGCCAACGGCCATGTGTTTTATTCGGCATTTATTTACGTTCGCAGGCAGCCAAAGTCGAAAAAAAGGGCGAGAAATATATGTACATATTTGCGATATACTGGGAATGCTTTTAACCGAAGTCATTCATCCAAACACACGTATATTTTTACGGCTGCATACATATCTTTGCGTATTTGTAATTCTAGCTTTCCACGTATTTATAGTTGAGCAAACAGATATGACTATGTAGCCTGAAGGTCAGGCGCATATTTCATGTATAAAAGTTTTCTTTTAGCTTTCACCTGCAAGAAAACTATTTTGTTCTACAAAACTGAATATAAATATTCCCCCATACAATCAAATTTAAGGATGAAATATTCCCATTTCTTAATTTGTATAGAAATTAAATTTATTTTCACGCTATAATAATATTTCTCAATCAAATATGAATCGAAAGCAAATCTGGTATTTGTTCAATTTCTGATTTCGTACGAAATTTCATTCATATTAAGTATACGCACTGTTTCCCCACTGCAATTCAAAGAAAAACATTGTAACAATAATTTGTTGCACTTACACTCTGTCAGCCTTATTATATATATTATTGCATTGCAATTATGAAATATTCAATATCGTTTCGCTTCACTGAACAATTCATGGCCCAAAAATAAACGAACGAAAAACAACGAAAATTTTAAACACAACGCATGCACACTGAGTGAGCAAAGTGCAGTAAACAAAATTTTAGAATCGAGATATTTATGCTGGAAACAATAAAATCCTATTAAGTCGGTCCAATATCTTCTCCCTAATTTGTTCTTCTATACCTTCTGCACCTAAAAAAATTTCTTACTGCATACTAAGCACTTAATAAATATTTCTAAAAAATGTGATATATTTCGTTGAAGATTTATTATAGAAATTGTAATTTTAAAAAAGGTTTCCAACACTTAAATATAGATTTATATTCTTCGAATTTCAGAATAAAAATAAATAAAATTTAAATTAAATCATTCAATATTTAATTTGTTACAACTTTTTGGAAATTATCTTTTTTTCTTGTGTGCATTTTTTAGAGCCTTACCACAGACAACAACAACAACTGCAGCCTCCACTGCAGGCGACCTTGAAAATACCAAAATTGAGTCAATTGTTGTTGCTTGTGCTTGTGGTTTTCCAGTTTCCCAGTTTGTTTGTTTGTTTGCTCGCCTCGTTGTAGTTGCTTCTATTGTTTTTGACAGCACCACACTGAGTTATTAAAATTTGCTTTTGCAATTGCAGTCCATAAACCGCTTACCCTTTGTTTCACTTCGAGCAACGAAATACTCTCGAAAATAGATCTCTGTTTTGTGTCCAAAAATGTGAGATGCAGTGGCAACAGCTGAGTGGAATCCAATTATAAACAAATTGAGAGCTGTGAAAAGGGTGGAACGAAATGCACTTTTCAGCTATAAATAATTATGTGTTATTGGAACAAAGAAATATTTTGTGATGGGTTGGCAAAAGTGCGGGGAATCAAGGTGGTAATCTATATGGAAATAGTTTTGACCTTTAATTGTAATTAGAAATAATTAGAAATAAATTAAATAATTTCAATAATTTTTAAACTATATTTATATGATTCTTTTCCTTTACTTACAGGTGAGGATTTGGATTTTAATAAATTAATCGAGTAAACAGTTGACAAAAGCATTTGGTAGGTTCATAAATTATATTTTCCATTGTAATGGGCTTATAAAGCAAATTAAAAGGAATAAATGAAAAATATCCCACTCATTACCCTTGATTGACTTTAAGTTTTCCATTTAATTAATGAAAGCGAATCGAGCTCGAATTGAAAACCCTTTCCCTCTTTTGATGGCAGTAATTTAATGTATTCCCTGCCCCTTCTTTACCCTTTTGTAATTGTTTTAGGGAATTATTATCAGGGATCAAAGCGATACGAAAACGTTGTAAGTCGAAGGATAATGGACTTGTGGCTGCGAGCCTGTGTGAGTGTGACCAAACAGTTCGGATTAACCCAGACCCGGGAATTTATCCTTGGCATTTAACAATGCTTGACTTGCCCTGCCACTCTCTGGTTTTCACTGCTGTTGTTGTTGCTGGAGACCGCGAAACTGTGCTTGTTGAATTATTTAAGAGACACAAGTGCGCACCGCCCAACCAACCAACCACCCAACCACCCAGCATCAAGTACAAGGATAATGCCAAGCAGATAAAAGTGGCCGCAATGTAGCATACATTAAGGCGTCGGTGGCGTTGGCGATGCCGCCACTAAAGTCCTTTTGGCAGCGGCAGCTTGATTATGTCTCGGGACTCGAGACTCGCGACCCGCGACCCGCGACCCGAGTCACTTCGCACAAAAAAGAAATTAATTAATTTTTAAGCGTAATTAAATGCAAAGCAGCACTCGGTGGCGAAGCTCCGCTCCCTTTTGCGCCCTTGTACACTGAAAATAATTGGTATTCAGTACCTAATTGGCTCATTAACTGTACATAATTAGCTTAACATGTAATTATATTTTAATGCCCCGGAAATCTATAAAAACGAATGGAAAATTGGTCTAAGCAACAGATAATTGTGATTTTAAATATTTTCAATATATGGTTTCATGAAAAAATATTCCAGTTGTTTGGATAAATTAAATTAACATATTAGAGGGTTTACATTTAAGGGTTTTAATTTTTAATATTTTTTTAAAATTTAAATGATAATATTTTTAGTTTTTTCCTTTCACTCAAGTTAACCTGATCTTCTTTCGCATCAAATTTTCGACAAGTGCAGGTCGACCTGGCTTTGTTTTGTTGGCCATGAAGGCGCAAGGCTAACAAGTGGGTGGCCAAGGACGCGAAAGAGGCGCGGTGTAATAATTTTCGGGCCCCGAACAACATTTCTCGAAGGAAGTGATTTCTTTGAAATGAATTTCGGGCCTCCTTCGCCTCGCACGTTTTTCCTTCACGCAATTAAAAATTTCACTCGAAGCCGGGGCCCCGAAAAAAAAGGTTATCCACTCGAGCGCAGTTAATGGGCTTCGAGTTCGGTTTCAGTGGGATTTCATTTTATTTTTTCTTCTTTTCCTCTTCGCATTTTGTTTGTTCTGGCCCTGCGAATGATTGGCAAAGGGCAGAGCGCCCCAAGGTGGCTGGAACTTTGTCTGCCATTGACTTTTGCATGTGGGCTGGCCAATCAACGCCCAAGAGGAGCCCTGGAGAAAACCAGGAGGAGCCCAGTCAGTCAGGAGGTCAGGAGCAGGTCCAATACGAGACCCCTGAGAAACCTGAGAAACCCGAGGAGCAACAATGAAGCTGAAGCTCACGGGTTTCTGACTCACATTCACATTTTGATGGCTCGTTTCGCTCGGTTTTGCCGCCTTTAGTCAATTTCACTTTTATGTGTGTAGTCATCAGCTAAATGCCTTTCCAATATATAGTATG